TTATTAAACTCAATAGGCATGTGTAGAGTCAGCATTTCTTGGGAAATTCCGTCATCACGTTTTCGTATAAACATTGTGAAAATTTTTATCAAATATTTAAATATTTGTGCAACAATATCGTGTAAATTTTGCTACCAACAATATCAAAAGTATATATATTAAACAGTGAAAAAGCTTCATCGCAAGTTGCTAAGCAAAAGCCGGCACAATAAGATTTTCTTCCTATTTTTTATGACACAAAGAAACCACAATAAACGGAAATTATTTCCTCTACACTCGCACGTCCTGAACTGAACCGCACAAGAAGAAGTCAAGGGTCATAAAATCGAATTGAATTTCCCAGGGAATTTCCATTGATTTTTCACACGAGAAAGAAAACGAGCAGTGCTTACCATGCTTCACAAACAGATTAAATTTTCCTTCACTTCAATAAATTCACAAATTAGAAAAAGAATTGTATTATTATGAGTGTTGAAAATTTGCTGACGAATAATCGCGCGCTGATGCTCGCTTGAGAGTTGATCCACAAATGATGCTCATCTCGGGGGATTCCTTTCAATTTAAAGCCTTTTCATTTGGCGGCCCCTTATCAACGTCGCAGCCCATGTAACAGGTTGTATATTTCCACACAGACGAAAAAAAGTATTAACGTATTTCTGCGGTTATTCCCATCATCAACGCGATCCCCCACCCTCGCGCTCTCGCAGTTTCCAATTCAGCAAGACGCGCCAAGAAGGAGAATAACAGCCATGGCAACCCCACCTGTTGTGCTCGGGTCCTAATGAGAAGTGCGCCTTATTTGCATATTTACGCATCACCAACAGTCATGTTTTGTGGGTTTTCTTCTTCTCCACCCAATCCGATATCAATTTTTTATTATTCTCTCGCGGTCCAGCCGACATGTCCAGTCAATCATCTTGCTTTGGGGGGAAATACGCAAATTAAAATTTACCCACATGCTTCGCACTTTTTGCCACACATTCCATCTGCGGAAATGTGTGCCTATGACATGTCTGCAGAGGTGATTTTGTACACAGCAATGTCATCTCTCTACTACATGGATTTTTATGAATGGCGCAGAAGACGGTTGTGCAGAGTGTGGTACAGAATGTGTTCTTGCAATGGGAAACACGCCGATGACGATGTAATTGATGGGTGAGGGGGAATCAAAACCAGAAGGCATACGAAAACCTGTATTTGGCGCCTTCCAGCATTGAGACAAGTTAAAAATTCCATTGCTGGTCTATTTTAACTTGGAGAACACACTCTATCGCATTATAGAGTGAAAATTGAAGACAGACGAGCAAAAAAACGGCTGTGAGAAGTCCCATGACGCCAGCAGAAATCTCTATTTGTTGCTCTTGTACATTGACACACAGCGTGTCTCGCGAGTGATTCTTATATTGCATAAATTTCACAATGATGCCATGATAAATCCATTTTCAGCAAATGTTTACTCGCTTGTCGCATCACTTTTTTACCCCTCGTGAAGGATGTCAAGGGACCATTTAGCTTCTACAAAGACGTCAGAGATAGTCAGAAATTTCTCAGAAGGAAGAATGGAAAACCGCACACAAACTGCTGACGAAAACAAAGTTTGGAAACTAAGCAAAACATTCATGTGAAAATATGTTTAGGAATATTCTTGAGCATCCATTCAAAATTCGATCAAATCTCATGGGTTTTTCCGAGCGAGTTTAGGCAAAGAATTAAACATATGTCGAAAAAGTAAACCAACTGGAGAATTGTAAAAGAATTGTAGCATTATTGAAGTGGCAGCAAAAGGAGAGACACAAGAGGAAGATAAGCAGTATAGACAGCAGTTTTGTTGCCCGCCCTTTCAGACGTTCTACTCTCGTTTTCGTTGAGCCTATATAATTTATATCTCATGTTCTCGTCGCTGCCAAATGTTAGGCACAAAAAGTGAGGGAAGTGAAACTCACATATTCCCAAATACCAAAGTATAAAGTACCAGAGTTTATCGCCCAATATGCCCTTTTCCAATTCCCACACATTGGATTCTAACCGGAAGCATCTTTGGTTAGACTGTTCTCTGAGATGCAATAAACATGATTAGGTTCGGCTGGAATGCCATGAGTAATGCAAAGTGTTAAGCAAAAGACAGATTAATTGTCCCGTTGTTAGCTGTCCAATTATAAATTCTCATAATTTCAACATTCAAACTCGATTAAGCATTTTGTTAATGACATTTTATACAAATGAGAGGAAGTTGTGATTAAATTCTAGATATATAAATTGTACCTCTAGAGCTTCAGTAGTGCAATAAGAAAATGCGTCGTAAAACCACAAAAGATAATTGACTTTCAATTTGATTGTTTAATTAACTCCCTATATATCTTGATATTATTCATAAAGTGCCACTCTTATTGCTACTCCTTGTGTGTGTCCCCACATCTTGATGGCGTTTTGCAACAGTAAGAATTTATTGTGAAATGTGGACAACTAGAACATTAATTTACATAGTGATTTCTCTTTTGTGTGCAATGCCGAAGGCACAAATATCCGCTTGGGCGGACTCTCAAGAACACTCCTGACCACCCTTTGTCGCCCAGTGTGTATTTCGGGATTCTCACACACGGAAGATTTACGGCACTTTCACTATCATCTCTACAAAGTTGCAAAGTCAGTTCGAAGGCTTAGGTTTCGGTCTGTGGTGTCTTGTATGAATTTTAATCGGATTACACGGCTTGATCTTCTCTGTCTGTGAAATACTTCAAAAGTGTCAATGATGACATGTTGGATTCTAATTAGTTTTTGCCGCTCGGTCTCGAGTTCGAATCCATTGTTCTTGTGGTTTCTTCTTCCTAAAGTGCTGACCATGCTTTTTAGTCGCAAATTGTCATGCATTGTTTGATATTTTGGACACGCTTCTCATGTCTTAATATCCTCATTTGGCTAATTTCCCAATGAGAACTTTGCCAAAGTGCTCAATATTTGACTGAAATCGCCAGACTCACACTTGGCCAAGAAGATCACTCATCAAATTATCGGAGATTAGGTTTACACCTTTGGCTTCCATGTAATTTACTCGTAATGAAACAGCACTCTTCATGACTCATTCCCGCAGCATCCGAATGGAAACTTTTGTGCAAGAGGCGCCACGCTTTTGTCGATTCCAGCACACACCGAAGAGTCCATGAAGGGGAAATTTGAGCAGAGCGCGATTTGATTTGCACAGTTCGCGCGAAGTTTCTTACGCGACACTTTTATCGCGAGGTGGACTTTTAAAATTGAATGAATATATATTGGCCGTGGTGATCACGCGATGTTTATGGTAATTTATTCAATTGGCATGCGAATATATGGGGCCTTTCAGCCGAAATACTGTCCACTCACGGGTGGTCGAATCGGTGGGGATTTCTTTTCCTTTTGGCCACTCTTATCTCATGCGAGCACTTAGTGAGAAACGATTTTTTGCATCTCCCTTATCAGCGCTTGTCAACAGTTGAACCGCGCTCGCGGCAAGGCTTGCGGTGAGGGGGAAGATTGATGAATTTTCGCGGGAGACGATCGCAAGGAAAAGAGAGCGAGAGATGTTGAGAGTGTGTGTTAGAGATTCTTGGGCTATTTTTGGGGTATGTTTCGTGCAAAAGTGTTGAGCCCAAGAACGTCAGGAAAAGTGTGACTACACAGTTGTATGTGCGCCCGAATTGTATATAGGAGGTATATAAATAAAATGTGTGACCAATGTAGAGAGAGAGATCCCATGATTTTGAGTTCAACACCTCAAATTGCATTGAGAAAAAGTGTATCAAAGGAGGACAAAAGTGTCCTTGTCGCTGATTCCTCAAGGTGTGTGTCTCTCAAATCTTTCTGGCTTTCCCAAGCATCTCTCCTCCTCACTCTCCCGCTGTTCGACTCCTCGCTTCCGCTCAATGGCTCATGAGCAGCTGCTTGCCATTCACAATGCTTAATTGCCTGTCCATTGTATGACAATTTCGTCCACCGTAAAAGACTCTCCTGCTGAGAGTGCGGTTTCTTCTTGGCACTCACCGGAATGCTCTGCAATAAACTTTCTCACTATCCCTGTGTGCTTTCTGCCCTAAAATTATGGCCGGGAAGTGCAGTCAGAACAGTAAACGCGGGTGGTCACGTTTCTCAATGCATCCTCGTTGCATAACGACGTTGAATCGATAATTGCTGGGTGATTTATGGCGAATCGGAGACAACATTTGGCCAATTGGATAAATGCACACAACTCGACTATTCCATATAAACTCGCTGAGACACTCACTAGATCAAGCGGAAGCGTCGAGGATAAAATGTCCGGGGAAATTTACAGATTCGCAGCTGCACACTTTCATCGTCAGTCATTGCAGCAACACATGATTTCCTGCTCGAATTCCTGGGAAATGCGAGCAATTTTTTTTCACGTCGCCATATTCTGGCGCTATCGATCCGGAACTGTCGCGCAGTCAGCAGAGAGAAGTTTCTCGGACGCGAGGCCTGGCCCGAGACACACGTGGGAGTGAAGGCGCAGGAAGTGGACTGAGCCAGGCTCAAGTGGAGCTCATAGAGCCGATGAGACATGGCACAGGATCCTCATTTCACCATATGTCGGGCCCAGCCTTGTGGTGGAAAATGGTGCAATTCACTCATGACAAGTAATCAATAAAATCTTTTTCGCCCTGAACACACACACTTGGCAAATTTCACCGCACGTCGCCTGGGTCGCGAGAAGTGGGGGCTGTACAGATGAGGGATGCAAGTGGGTATTTAGCTGAATATAATGCGACTTACTTATTGACAATGAATTAAGTTGGAAATGGCTCGATGTCGCACAACACCAAACACTTTCAATAGAGTGAGATGATTGTAATCACGGGAAAATTCAAACTGATGATTCTGTGGCTGCACGAAGCGTTGATATACCCCGAATCGGCCGCAAAACTGACAGCATCATGTCAATACCGCGTGATTCGATGACATCGATGAGAGCTGTCAGATCGATGAATCGATGACGTCATATGTCTGCGACCAACTTCGTGTGGTGGGTGAGAGTTTTGTGAGTCGCGGCGCGTCAGATAATATTTCTCGTGTATTTTTAGCGTTTTTAGGGTGAAAAGGTGCGAACATGAGTGACCCGGATATGCTGTACGGCACCACGCTGTCCGTGGAGTCGATGAAGGTTATTGCTGAGAGCATTGGCGTCGGAGCTTTGCCGGATGGAGCGGCCAAAGAGCTCGCCGATGACATTTCTTACAAGCTGAAGCAGATTGTCCAGGATGCCGTGAAGTTCATGCACCACGCCAAGAGGACAAAGCTCTCGATGGGCGACGTGGACTACTCCCTCAAAGTGCGCAACATTGAGCCACAGTATGGGTTCTTCTCCTCAGATTCCGTGCCTTTCCGCTTCGCGTCCGGAGGCGGCCGGGAGTTACACTTTGTCGAGGAGAAGGAACTCGATTTGGTGGACATTATTCAGGCTCCGCCACCCAAAATCCCTCTGGACGTCTCTCTGAGGACTCACTGGCTCTGCGTGGACGGAGTGCAGCCAACAGTGCCTGAGAATCCACCGCCACTGTCAAAGGAGAATCAACAACTGGACTCTGTGAATCCCATTAAGAAACTCGAGAAGACCAATGCCAGGGATACCGCCGGAAAGCCCACAACAGGCAAGACACACAAACTGAAGAACGTGGAGACAGTTCATGTGAAGCAACTGGCCACTCACGAGCTCTCCGTGGAGCAGCAACTCTACTACAAGGAGATCACGGAGGCTTGTGTGGGATCTGACGAAGTGAGGCGCACAGAGGCTCTTCAGTCACTATCGTGTGATCCGGGACTTCATGAGATGTTGCCCAGGATGTGCACATTCATTGCTGAAGGTGTGAAAGTGAATGTGGTGCAGAACAACCTGGCCCTCCTTATCTATCTCATGCGAATGGTGAAAGCACTCCTGGACAATTCGTCCCTGTACCTGGAGAAATATCTCCATGAGTTGATACCTTCGGTGTCCACGTGCATTGTCTCTCGACAGCTCTGCATGCGTCCCGAATTGGACAATCACTGGGCACTCAGAGACTTTGCTGCCCGTCTCATGGCTCAGATCTGCAAGAACTTCAACACTTCCACAAACAATCTGCAGACCAGAGTCACGAGACTCTTCAGTCAAGCGCTGCAGAATGACAAGACCCACCTTTCATCGCTCTACGGCGCCATTGCGGGCTTGTCCGAGCTGGGCAGCGAAGTCATTAAGGTGTTTATAATCCCACGACTGAAGTTCATCTCGGAGAGAATCGAGCAGCATCTCCAGGGAGCCAACATAAGTAATACTGACAAGATTGCAGCCGGTCACATTAGAGCTATGCTGCAGAAAGTCAGTGCTCCTGTCCTGAAGACCATCCGAAATGCTCCGGACATCGTAGAAGACTACAAGTGAGAGATCATTGAGCTGCTCAAAGAGTTTTCTTAGTGGTAACGAGTGTTTCATTGCAGGAGAGACTATGGTTTCTTGGGTCCCACTCTGCATCAGGCAGTTGTAAAGGCGAGAAGTGCTCCGCCAGCGCCCACCGTTACTACTCCACCAAATAACAATAGTGTCACTATTGTCACCACACCAATAGCTCCGTCTATCTCCAGGCCTCACATCCCGCAGGTCATCAGCCAGCAGAGGATTGGCGGATTGTGAGTATTTTGGCGGCGGGAAACATCCCAAAACTGATCATTGTTCTCTCTTCAACAGCAGTCAGGGCACTCCTGGGATTTCCCGGCAATCCTCGCAGTCTGGTGTGTCTGACGGCCAACAGCCTGGACAGAAGATTGTGATTGTGACGCAGAGGCCAAACACACCACAAACTGGTAAAAGAATTAGCCTGTTAAGACAATAATTGTGATTTGAGCTTGAAACTGAGATTTCTCTTCTCTGATCTTCAAGTGCAATCCACTCAGGTGTTCACAATCAGCAATTCCACAGTCACACAATGTCCCGCCCCTCCGGAACTCGATGATTTGTCACATTTGGAGTAGAAATTCCCTGTATTTTACAGTTTTTTTTTCACAATAAACACAATTGACAACATTGTAAGGTGAATTTTTTAAGTCTCTTACAATCTAAGTAGGCACTCTGCGGCAAAATTTGATCCACTGTATAAAGAGTAAGTATCTATGGTTAACGAGACGTTGGTGGTACAAAAATGTCTTAGAAAATAAGTTTTAAGCACTCTCTGAAGATAAGGTAACTGTCCTGAGTTACTATTTAGCACCCTCTTTCAGTATTTGATAAGTATCTAAGGCGATTCTCTTGAGCGTTTCCGACTCCCTGTCTCCTGTCGCCTCCACCATATCGCGCAGGAGTCCATAGTCGTTCTGCAGAAGCAAGTGAGGCACATCGAACTCTCGAGCCTCGCCTGCTTCCATCACAATAATTCGGTCGGAATCCATTACGGTGATCAGTCTGTGGGCCACAGTAAGGACGGTGCAGTGCTTGAACTTCTCCCTGATGGTCTTCTGTATCAGCGCATCAGTCCTGCAATACAACAACTCACATCAGTTTCTTCTTAATTCATAGAAAACACCAGAAAACTCACTGAGGATCAACATTGGCTGTGGCCTCGTCCAAAACTAGGATCTTATTGTTGCGCAGAATAGCTCTGGCCAGGCAGATGAGCTGTCTCTGCCCAACACTAAAGTTGGTTCCTCCCTCCAGCACAAGGTAGTCAAGATTCTCAGCCACATGCTTGAGTTCAACTTCCTCCAACACACGATAGATCTCCGCATCGCTGAAGGCGTGGAAAGGATCAAGATTGTATCTTATTGTGGCGGAGAAGAGAACAGGATCCTGAGGAATAATTGAGATGCAAGAGCGCAATTGATCTAGAGAAATATTCCCCGTGTCGATGCCATCAATCAAAATCTCTCCCTGAATCTCATATAGTCTAAATAAGGCGCTGATCAGAGATGATTTTCCAGCTCCAGTTCGTCCAACAATGCCCACTTTCCATCCAGCTTCGATCGTCATGTTGAGATTTTTGAGCACAGCTCCTTCAAATTGATTATAAATGAGGAACATCCTCTTGAATTCAATGACCCCATTCGTTGGCCACTTCTCAGGTGCCTTGAGGGCTGGAGACTTCTCTGGCGGCAGATCTGTGTAGTGCAAGACACGCTCAACACTCGTCATTTGCTGCAGGGATTCTGTTGTCTGACGGACTCCGTACTGCACCATTCCGGTGAGAATGAGGGCTTGAGACACGGCCAGACCCACGTTCCCGCTGAAAGTCTCGTGAAGGGCGAGGAAACTGAATGTCACAGCTGCCACAAAGGCTGTGCTGATGCAATCTAGCCAGAGACCGAGAGCACAGTTGGTTGAGTAAGTCACTTGCCATACGCCACTGTGGACGTCCTGGAGGCTATCAAATTCACTGGAGATTCTGTTCTGTATCCGTGAAGAGCGAATTGTGGACAATCCAGCGAGACTGGCTGACACGTACGAGAAGATTGGACTGCGACCTGCAAGAGACATAATTTGAAGAATTTCTAATATGCCAAGAAGAAGTTAACACTCACAAATCCCTTCGAGACGCTTGAGATCCTGAGAAGCCGGCAGGTAGAATTTGAGCACCGTTGAGAAGAGGAAAACTGCCACGGCAAGAGCAACGAGCAGGAAGGGATTAACAATGCTCACCATGGCTAGAATACCAATCATCACCAAGCCAACTTGAATAGAATCCATCATTGCCTTCGGCAGCATCTCATCTATCGCGCCCATGTCCCTTGAGAAGCGATTGAGGATCCTTCCTGAGGGATTCGCATCAAAGAACAGCATTGCCGAGTGCAGAATGCTGCCAAACATCTTGTTATGGAGTTGTTTAGAGGCTCTCATGCAGAGATTGAAGAACATCCAACCACGAATAGATGTCATCTGAAAGCGAAAAAAGCCTTAGAAGAAATCCTTGCCAGCACAGAATTTGATTTACAAATATCACTCCGAGGATCAGCAATCCGTAGATGATGAGACACTCTTCTGTTGTCAGCAATGTTTCACGATCCATGCTTCTCAGGAACTCCTGTTGAGTCCTGTACACGGAAGGAATACATGAGAATATACTATAAATAGAGATAAAGGGTCCGATGAACTGACCAGAAGTTGACAAAGTAATCCGAGCCACTTGTCACGACCTGGGATAACACGAACACAGACAGCAAGATAAGTAATCCAAAACAATTGCTTCCAGCGTAAAAATATCTCTTCCACACGTCGAAGGAAACACTTCCTTCAGCTTGATCCTCCTTCTCCTCTCTGTCATCTTCGTAAGCAGGTTCAGTGGAACTCTGGAAATACAAAAATAGTCGTGTCTGTGAAACATTACACTCCCTTAATAGGGTTCAACAGAGATCAATTAGACATTATCCGCGTTATCAATTGATTTGCTTCATCAGCATATCGCTCTCAATTGCTTGTATGAATTTAGCTCGCGCATTTCAATTACTCCAAATAGATTGTGCAAAGAGCACAGTATAATGCCGAGATATTATGGTTCACAAATTACCTCAAGCGTCAGTTAATTCTAGAGATCAAAGGAAACATAAATTAATCCACGAAACAACAATGCTCATTTTTGGCTAATCTCATAGACAAGGCTTAAAAATACTTGACCTACATTTGCAATTATTCTCACAAAAACATTATAATAATAGAACTTCAGATATCACTCAAAAAAAATTGTGGAAAACTATTCAATAAATTTTCACAAAAGCAATTTTGGACCTTAATGAATTACAATTACATCTATTTGTCTATTTGCCCTTCACGTGTCTCTTGTCCATCAAAATCTGTGACATCACTCACCACTTTGCTTTGCTTTGAAGACTCCGAACTTGAGCGCTTCTTCGTCCCAACGTACCCATCGATAAAGGGAATGTCTTCATCGTCCGTATCAACGTCCAAAGGAGTCACTGAAGTCCCGACTTTCTCCTGTGTCTGTTCGTCTTTTTGCAGAAGCTTCGCAAAGTCCAGATTGCTGTTCGAGAGATCTGCATAGGTGCCCTGCCGTGAAATGCTTCCCTGAAAGTGAAAGTGGGAATGACGGCATCGCTCAAGGCAATCAAGAGGCACTCACATTCTCAATGATAATGATCCAGTCAGCTGATTTGAGATAGTGCACTTGGTGAGTGACCAGCAGACGCGTGCTCTTGCCACGCGCCAAACACCCACTCTGGCCGATGACTTCGTCGAAGAGATGCCGTCCCACGTGGGCGTCAACGGCGCTCAGTGGGTCGTCGAGAAGGTAGATGGAGGCTTCGCGATACACGCAGCGCGCGAGGCTGATTCTGGCCTTCTGGCCGCCAGACAGAGCGGCTCCGCGCTCGCCCACCATCGTCTGATCGCCGTTTGGCAGCTGCTCAAAGTCTGTGAGAAGAGCACAGTGACGCACAACTTCCTGATACCGATGCCGATCATACGGCTGTCCGAAGAGAATATTGTGCCTCACGGAGCCCGTGAAGAGCCACGGTTCCTGGGAAGCGTAGGAAATTGTGCCATTTATCGTGGCTGTGCCCGTGTGAATGGGCATCTCGCCGAGGAGAAGCTGCAGAAGACTGCTCTTGCCAGATCCCACAGGACCGATGATGGCACAGAGCTGGCCAGGCTTCACACTGAAGCTCACGTCTTGGATAGTCTTGGCCTTGTCACTCTCCCAAGTGGCTGATAGCTGAGACAGCTCAATAGCCAGTTCCACATCCTTGGCATCTTCTTTATGCTTCAGTCCGGGCACCACTTCATCCTGCTCTTCAAATTGCAGATAATCCCCGATCCTTTCCACTGACACGCTAGATTCCGCCCAGATAGACAAGGCCAAGGGGTAGAAGATAGCCGCCGTGAGCTGAAGGATGTTGAAAAACTGTGCCATGGAGAAGACAATATCCGCCGTGATGGGATATCCGAGATAAACACAGGCGGCGATGGTGATGAAGAGAGTTGATCTCTCTGTGAAGACCATTGTGCTGAGGTAGATTCCGCGAATGTACGAAGCCCATCGGATCTGCTTGACCTCCCTTCGTCTCGCCTCCGCCACGATGGCCTGAAAGGGAATCTCCCAGGCGTAGGTCTTGATCAGTTTGATTCCCTGAATCAATTCGTTCATGATCCCAACTCGGTGATCTGTCCTCTTGGCCACTTTTACTCGCAGCATCGCAGAGAGGCGACTCAGGCCAGTTTGCACTGGGATTGTCTTGAGCAGTAGACCAATTACTCCCACCAAAGATGCCACTCCAACTTGTCGCCAGATCAGGTAGCTTATCAGGACTGATTGGAAGGGCAGAATCCACACGTAGTGCATGAATTGGAAGACAAAGTCAAGGCGACTGACATCGTTGGAGAGAAGATTCACCAGATATCCGGTCGAAGTCTGTCCGGCAGCCTTCTTGGACACTCGCAAGGTCTTCCGGTAGATCAGGGCGCAGCAGGCAATCCTGAGTCGCGCTCCCAGCATTCGGAGGCGCAGATCTGCGTGATGGCTAAACACACAGGCCACGAATGTGAGGCTGACCACTCCTGCCGCCAAACAATACACATCATTCCAGACGGTGGACGTCCACTGGGATTTTGTGGACATTGGGAGGTCATCGAAATTGGCCTCTGGCGGGGGACCGAGAGCGTTATCTGTTGCATTTTGGGCGATGGCTCGGACAGTGCGATTGAGTGGCTCGAAATCAGAGCTTGGCGACAGTCCCACAAGGAATTCCGTGGTTGGCGAACGTTGGAATTGTAGAAGGAACTGCGCCAAGACAACGGGAAGCAAGGATCTAAAAGAAATCACAGGTGATCTGAATTCGTCTTATATGATTCCACTTTGAGAGACTTACTTTATCAGAACGAAGATAAAGATGAAGAATCCATCCAAGATGCAGAGAGAAAAGTACACTCGGATGATCGCTGACCTTAAATTGGGTTTCCGGTGTTCCTGATTCGCTCTCTGCACTTCCTTCTCCCATTCCTGTTCTAACTTGTCGCCCAACTTCTCAGATTGATCCTTCTTCAGGCACTCTGTGAGATCATCAGTAGACAAGCCCTGCCGAGAGGCCTGGAAGAGCACAGGAAATGTCCAGGTGAAGAACAACTGTGAGAGGATTGAGGCTCCGGCACGTGGATTTGACTTTTCCGGCTTCCTCGAGGAATCCATGCCTGCAGAGGAAATGCATATGCAAAAACACTGTAAGTAAGTGCGTTTAGCGTGTGAGAATGCGTGATTGCTAGAAAATTGTGATAGAAATGAGGCACAAAAGATAATTCTCGGAAATTAGATAAGAACGGAGAATTGGGGACAGAGTTTCTCACATGGAGTTCAAGGCTCCACTTCTCTCGCTTCTCACGGCTTTCGCACTGATTTGCCTTACTCTCTGTCTCTGGGACGTTGCTGTGGAGACGACGGAGGAGCTCCTTGCATGGACTGTACACTCTTCTGGTCACTATTCCACTGAGAAATGCCACTCCATTCGAGAGCTCCAGCTGCGTAAACTTCGCGGCCTCACTCGAGTGGAAACATGCACACTGAGCGACAAAAGTGCCGCTTAGCTTTCCCAGTGGCGGCGAGAAATCGCTCAGTTCTCATGCTTTGATTTAAATTGCTGAAATTTTCTGTATTACAAATGATACGACATTTCTATGGGATCATTTTTGCTTTTATTAATGCCTTCTCTAGACACTCAGCTCTCTTAGCTCGCAGTCAGCTTGTTCTTACGATTCAGGATTTCCATAACAGCTGCGGCTCTGGAGTCGCTATTCTCATCTTCAATGTTGATTGTTTTGGCCCAACGAGTCAGGCATCGCGTTGATGGCAGAGGATAATTCAGAATCGTTTTCACGTAGTTGTAGGCTCTATTCCCAAAGGAGCGCAGAACGAAAGCCTTGGCCAGCTCTTTTCGGTTCCATTTAATTTTTTTCTTCCGCTTGAGAGCATAATTCAATTGATTCTCAGTGAAAACTCCAGAAAGGCGTTTCTTCATCGAGTTGAAAATTATCCTCTCCAATTCAGCATCATTACGCTTCTTCATCTTCGCGATTGTCCTTTCTAATTCCAGAATTTTCAAGTCTTTGCTGTCTACAACACTCCCATAATTGAGAGAATACTGCACTGGATTGACTTGGTTTTCATCTGAGTCTGACTCTTTACAGTGATTCTCAGTGCTACGGAGTCTTTTTCTCTTCGTTCTCTGACTTTGTTCAGGTATGAAAGATGACGAAGACTGCGAATCATACTCAAGATATTCTGGACTTGATGCGTCTGTTAGGAAGTTTTCTTCTTTATCGGTGTTTTGCACAGCAACGAAATTGATATGCTCCTCAAACATGAACCTGTCGTTGGGTAGAGTGATCTGAGTTGCCTTCACTTTAATGTAGCTGTGATCCTCGTGATTCCTGCCATCCTCCGCACTGTCGCTAGACTCTTTATCATCGCCCGCATCTTCCTGATTGTTTGATATATTGTCAGCTTCTGTGGTGTCCGGACTCTGGCGATTCTCAGGCACTTCGATTGTTGGATAAACTAGGAAAGAAAACAGGAGTTAATTTGTAAAGGAATTGGGGAATATCTCTGCTGTGTACCTCCTTTCTTTAGGAATCGTTTGCCGCTAAACATATTGACGTATTCCTCAGACGTCGCAAAGTCCTCCTTTCTGAAGTGGTTTCCGCAAACGATAACAGTCTTAAATGAAGTCTTGCAGAAGTCCCTCCACTTCTTCTGCATCTCCTCACTGGCGTTCTGGGGCATCACATGGATTGACACATTAGGATCGCCTTCATTGCGCCGTCCATTTGGGCAGTTTTTCACAGTACACTTCTTGCCGCTTCCCATCGCATTTGTTTTGCTTGAAGCACTGGCGTAATCTGTCATCCAAAGCATGCTTTTCATTAATGTAATTGCAGTGAAAATTTCACTGAAATATTTCATTAGAGATTTGCAAGAAACTCAAATTATGGAGAACGAGCTTTATCTTTTCAACTCATTCATTTATCCCATTTATCAATGTTTAGATATTTTCATGATAGTTTTTCCCCATTTAATAAGAGCTTTTCTCATGCTTTCAGAATAAAATTCCCGAGTTTCATTTCTTCAATTTGAAACTCATCGATTGCGCTTCAACTCAGCGACTTTTCGAGTCCCCTGCAGCATTGACAAATCGATTAAATGCTCAGCCCTGCCATTGCAGCTGAGCCGATGATTTGTTATCGTTGTGATAAAAAGTGTTTCTTCACGCATTCCTTATCTTAATTCCCACTCTGTGTGATTACGGCACTTTAGACGATTACCCACAGACACTACAGATGCTAAGCAATTGAAGAATCTGCGACGCGAGAGCTGAATAGAGTGAGTAACATTCTCTTCGAGCACAGCTTTGTTTACCTTTGGAAAATTGATTTTTCTCTTTTCTGGGGCGCTGCTTCAGGTGCACGATGACCACGTACCGCCCGAAGGGAGCTCTCGCGAGGGCTGTTTACGACAAGGTGCACAATGACCAGTATCTCGATGGATACGACATGAAGCTGGTGAGTTGGAGATTCTGGGGAGTGAGAAGGGCCTGGAAAGTGACTGTTTCGGCATTTGCAGTGGTACGAGATGCCAAAACCCCTGGCGAAGAGGTTCCAGACCAAATTCATAGACTTTAAGGAGCCCGACAACATTACGATGGAGTGGCTGGACAAGGCCAAGTTTAAATCATCGAATCTCTGGGTTCAGGTGTGGCATATCGTGGCCCGCCTCTTCCTGGGCATCTTCATGACCCAGACAGACGTCAATGGGTGAGATAGAGGAAAGAGAGTGCAGGGCAGGATTGTGTGACTAATCGGAGTGTCTTTCCAGCCTCCTGAAACGTGGCTCTATGTTCATCTTGTCGGAACAGCAATTCATGGAACTCCTGAGGGCTGGAGGCTTTCGCATTGACCAATTGGGCGATGCCTTCGACATGCTAGATATCGGAGCCGGAGACGGCGAAGTGACCACCCGCTTGGCTCAGGCAGTGTTCCGTCTGGGTCCTGAGAACATGCCGATGCGCGTGTTCACGACTGAAACCAGCTGGACGATGCGTGAACGTCTCCAGAAGAGGCATTTCACTGTGATCGATAAGATAACGGATGTGCAGCAAATTGACCTGATAGCTTGTCTCAATGTCCTCGATCGCTGTGCCGATCCACACCAGATACTCAGCGACATTCACGCCACGCTGTCGCCACGGGGAAGGGCCGTCTTTGCCCTTGTTCTGCCGTACAGCCACTACGTGGAGATGAACACGTCACACATGCCCATCAAGCCTCTTCTGCCCCACTGGCCGCACAGCCAGCGGGTGCCGTTCGAGGAGGAGGCCACTGTGTTCTTCGAGCAGCTTGAGGAGGCCGGTTTCCGCGTTGAGGCCTGGACGAAGGCGCCGTACTTGTGCGAAGGGGATCTGCGGCAATCCTTCTACTGGCTCATCGATATTGTTGCTGTTGTTTCAAAGAAATAATTCACAGATACGAGTCGTGCAACTGCCAATCTACCAAAGTTCTCTTGACAAATCAATTTTGTTAATAAAAAGTTGTAGGAAATTTCAGGCAATTGCAAGATTTTTTAATGGATTTCTGGATGTTAAAATCCCGCTCAGCGTTGAGTGTCTTGACTTTCGGGCTGGTGGCGAATGTCTAGATGGCGTGGCAACTCGCCGAGATTCGCTTTGACTGAAAGAGAGTTTAAATGAAAACCGTCGAATGAAAATTATTGGACAAATGTTACTCAGAAGAAAAACTACAAATATCCTCGTGAAGTTTGTTTTTTTACTAGATTAGTGGCAATTGTGCATATTCTCATAAGTGTTCTAATGTGCTCAGTGGCAAAAACAGAGTCAATAGTAGATTAATGACTATGCGCGGAAAAACACGGATATCGTGTGCATTAAAGCGACTTCTTCTATTGAGCCGCGGTGAGTACAATTAAACTGTGTAATCTAGCAATAGAGAAACACTTAACATGACGAGGAAGAGCTGATGAACGCCGCCAAGAAGACACAGTGAGTAATAATTAAAAATCAATTTGTGGGATGAACAGTGACAAATTGCGAGATCTTACACCTCAATAGCGACGTGAATATTTTGCAGAATACAGAATATTACATTGATTGTCCCAATCAAAGTACACTTCCTGGGTGAGCGTGGCGAAGTAGACGCGAGTTTTTGTGGCATCATAAAACATATACGGAAAATTATGCAGATTTCCCAGAGCATAATTTGGCCAAAATTGCCATCTTTGTTTTTTTTTATCACATATTTGCGTGTCCCGGAATATGAGTAGAGTAATTTCCACCTTCATGACGACACCAGAGAGCGTCTCTTGTGTGCTGAAGAAACATAAATCGGCGCTACAATTTTTCCCAACTTCGTGCACTACTCTCTTTAATAACACTGTCAATATTTGCGTAATAATCTCTGTTGTTTCGTCGTGTCTGTATCAAAAATATCGCGCGCCGTGTTGTTTTTCCCTGAACTCTTCTTCAATATTCTATTTTTTTCTCTTTCCTTCCAAAATACTACACACGAAGAGAACACAATTTTTTGCAAAGCATTTTCCTAGGCAATTAGAATGTATAATTTTCATGATAGTCTCTGATTTTGTGGCGCCTACAAGATGGGGAATTTTGCAAGAGCGAGGCATTGTGTGCAAAAAGGTACGCGCGAGAGGGAATTCACTTGACATTTTAGCGTATTTCACGAGGAATTCTCAACTTTAAATTCAATTTGTGCTCTCCATTCCAAGCTTGATCGATGTATCATTTTCTGAGATCAAGAGGTCTTGAATTATTGATTGGTGTTTTCCACGCAAAAAAATGTACGTGAATTATTCCACAGATACACAAGACGAAAGGGGCGACAATCGTCTTGATAGCTTATCACACCCAGTGAAATTGTGGGCATCATTTGAAGGCAGATCGTATCGTTCGGGGAATTGTATCTCGATTCTTTTTTTTTAGATGGTGATAATGAGAGTTAAAGTACTGAGGAAATGGCCCAGTTTTTTTACAGCGATTCTTAGAAGCCAGTCTAACTTTAGAAAATCTTATCTAGAGATGACAATAGAGGAAATATTGATGCGTTATGACGTTGTACATTCTTGGAGCTTATTACGAAGTCGAGGTTCTAAGAGGATTATGACGTATGGAAGCAAATTATAGAGTTTTTGTTGGGTGCTAAAGATGCATAAATATAGAGAGAGATAATTAAAATATTTCTTCAATTCAATGATAATTTCTATACGTTTTGGGTAATACCCATATGAATTTATAGTTAGCTAGAATTGAGATAAATTGTTTGCAGATGTTGTTGTAAGAATTCCAATTTGAGTGTGGAAAAATTTCTGGCAGAAAAACTCTGTAAAAGATTCTCGAAGCGTCTCTCTTCCTGACTCTGTCTCATTTCGCAAGACTTCCATAACAAGACAGTTTGCGTCTAATTTTAAAATATGAGCTCCTCAGGAGTGCTTAAAGATGATCATTAAGTGGACAGAAGTCACGATAAAGTCATTGGCAGTGTTCTTATTGAGAAAGCAGATCACGTTTCTCGCCACGGATATTTTCCAATAGATCCGCAATGGGTGTGCGAGGGAGGGCAATATCAATAAAGAAGTGCATTAACGTAATTTGTCCCACAGAACCTTTTATTTTCCTCTTGTTGTCTTTGTTGCTATTGTGAACACCGCGAAGAGGTGTGACGCAAGGAAGGGTCTTTTCTCGCCGCTATAAAATATAACTCTCCTCAATAAATTATTCTCTCTTGGGCACAATTGAAAGGGAGACTGAAACAGGTGCGGTTCGTGAGGAAAATGGCACATTTCGCGAATGTGACTGACGGATTGTGAGGAGTGACAAATATATCTCTCTCCTCGCGCACTTTTTTTGTGGATCACTTCATTGGGTCGAAAGCGAAGGAGTGATATTGATGTGCTTCAACATGCGTGAGCACGTGATCTTATTACGTTGATTTGCTTCACGTGGTTTCAGTCCATTCGATGATTTTATTGCGCGTGCGAATGCAATTGAGGAAATTCTTATTATCTTACCTACAATTTCTTTTCACTTGGCATTTTGTGTGTCCTCGAAAAAGTCTTATCAAGTCCATTTCTTGTCTTGTCACTAATGACTTTGCACATACCAACAGAGACTGTGAGATGGAGTAATCGAAGGAATTCCGCTAAGAGATTCTTTCAACTATCAGTGACACCAAAATACTAATCAATCTTCGGGCGCGTTTTCCACGTCCTACCGGGAAAATGAGCAAAAACAAACGGAATTCGTTCGTTATGGGGGGCGAAACGCGCGGAGGCACAATTTTTACCATTTTAGCCACTAATTATCGAGTCAGTTGTATATTTTCCATTACGCTCACTGAACTGATTAAATTAATTTCCACATATTTGCACGTTTTTCATCTCCATCTGTAAGTGTTTCTCTGCAATTATTTCTTTATTAAGATGATTTTTACTATTTCCCTGGTTTTTTTGCGGTGCGCTCTTTCTGTCTCTCTTGCGTGGTTGAAAATGAAAATTAACGTATATTCACAATATTGCCGAATATCGTCAGCGAGAGCGAGAGAATCCATCGGCAGAAAAAAGACGTAGACGCGCGGTAAAATTGTGGAAAGTCCCCAATGACATTGAATTGTGTCTCGCTTGTCCAGAGTGAGACACAGAAGATTGTCTTGAGATTACGTCTCTTGATTTTCAACGCCACTGTCTACAGTTTTATTTTATTTCCCTCTTGCATTTCAAATCTCTGTTAATTCTGCTCATTAAATGAATAGAATTGAATCAAATTTACTGCTGATGCGCGAATAAATATTAGATGAGGAAAAACTCATGGTTTTACCACGAATGTACTGGGAAGCGCGGAATTATCGAAATTTTCACCTGTCTCGTCGCGAACGAGGAGAGACAATGGAGGGTGGAATTTATATTATCAATCCTGCCAGAAATATCACTGAGAATTTATGTAAGACATTCACTCGATTGTTGCTTGATATTTTTGTCTCGCAAGCCACACACCATAAGCACAATAAATACACCACGATTGATATAATTCTCATAGAGTTTTATCAATAACACGACAGAGATTGCACGCAACTTTTTTTGCCCGAGGCATCGTTTATTCCTTGGTGGGTTATTTTATATATTTTCAGTGTGTAACTGAAGTTTTGGAGCGCGGTAAAGTGACCCTAACAAGGAGAACTAGCGGTTGATAAGAGTTGCTGACCGCGAAATGGTATTCTTACTTTCTCACAACATACAAATATTTCCCCTATTTTCATTGCAGATTGAAGACATTCCTCGATGGAAGTGAATCTGCGTCGCTTCTTCAATGGTAATCGTCCCTGAAGGCGATCTGATTTGCTTCGTGTGAAGGAAGTGTCCAGAGAGAGAAGAGGAGGTCATTTGTTGGCACGAGTCGTGGGAGAAGTCAGTTTTTTTTCTCTCGATCACTATCAGGTAATTGAAGTTTATCTGCTCCCTCATTTCCTCCCCATCAGCTAAGCCCACTGATGAGCTGGTCTGGAGTCCTGTGACGCGCGCTCATCACTGAGCGTGCCACGATTGGGCGCCACCGCGGCAACTCGCGATGCCTCGCGAGCGGCGGCCCAGTGAGAAATAACTTAAAATGATGTTGGAGGTATATTTGGACTGACTCTACTCCGCTTTCTGTCATTCCGCTCACGACTACCAAACGGTTTCCACGCCCGCTGCAAGCTCTCTCACAGTGTTAGGCGCATAAAAATTGCCTCGCAAGCGTTCATAACTTTTCTGCTCTTGTCCACGAGCTGTTGTATCAACAGGCAACCGCCCTGTGGTGAGGACATTATTGGGAAATTGTCATCTGTTGCGCTGCACGACACAATTTTCAATTTTCTGAAACGGTAATTAAAAAGAAACACCAGGATTTTTCAGAAGCAGAAAAAATTGTCAAAGAGCGCACAATTAAGAAACAGAACCACATAAAATTAAACCACACATTGTGTAAAAAAAAGTGAGTGATTTGTGATGTTTAGTTGTCGCAAGAGGTGGACATCCCGTTAAAGATCTGCTGATCTCTCTCTAAAATCTATTTCAGAGTTAGGAGAGTCTTGTGAAATTGTGCTTATTTCGATGGGTTTGCCATTGAACATTGGGCAAAATTGGCACAGAGTGCTTTAAAATTGAAATATAAGAGTGATATTAATTGTCTCACACCTGAATTAATTTCAAGTATTCACACACAATGTTTTTGTACTAGAAATGAAAAGTGCGGAACAATTTTAAAAGTAATGTTATTATTTCGAAACAATTTTACAATATTTATTCTTCATCATCAGCAACTGATAAAATAAGTTTGTGAAGCTGCGTATTTTCAGACAAAAAAGAAACACACTCTTAATTCTTACGAATATCATAAATGGATAAATTTATTGTGTGACACCTTCACTCCTATTGTTGGAATAAAAAAAAGTGAAATTGAATGGGCACAAGTTCTTGTGGTTTTCGCGGTGTTTTTCTTTTGTGCAAAAATATAATAACAAGAATTTCCATTAATAAGTCAGTGGTTATCGCTCGTAGGAAGATTAAGATGAATTGTCTTAAGTAGTTGGTCTAAAAGGCAAAAAAGCAACAAACAACCTAATTGATTAGATATTTTTTCTGTTCTCTTTCTTGCTATTCGTGCAACGGTCATCGCCTCGGGGAAACTACCAGTGGATTTCGGGAAAATTCTTGAGAATACTTCGACTGAAAGACAGTGAAAGGATATTTGAGGATCTCAAAGTACATTGGGCAAAATGTCTGCAGACAATAAGGGTGAGTCAAGCACAATTTTAAAATATTTCCACCTGAGCTACCCATAAATCTCCTGCAATGTGTATGCCTTTCAATTAAAAGTATTAGATTTCACCTGTAATTGAAATGAGTGATTGGAAGAAATATTGCCTTATGTCGCGTTTTTGGTGTGATTTGTGGTATCTCCTATTGCGAAGAGGTGAATTTTACAGTTAATAGCAGAGCAGAGTGAAATTAATTACAATTTTAGTGTTCTCAAACTACCAATATACTTGTCTCGTGGGCTGCTATTATAGCCATGAGAGCAGAATCTTAAGTGGAATTGAGGAGACGATGAAATTTCCGTGTCTATTGAGGTGAATCAATTTTTGAAATTAATACGCCAAAGCCTCTTTCACTCTGTCTTGGTGCTGTATCATGTAATTTCCAGTGGAACATGTTAGTGAAATGTTCTACCTGTCTTCACCGTTCGAAGAAGGTGGGATGCCTCAAGCTTTCACAGTTTATAAAATACATACACATTGTCAACGAAATTAGAGAGGATTATTCCTGCAATTCGATAGCAAAATCTGTGAACTCTTCACAGGGAGTCGCATTTGAGAGACGTTACCTAACAATTTGCCGATCGAATCGCAAGGGTGAAAGCTCTGGAAGCTATGAGAAAGATCTCCAGCACGAGATAACACTCCATTTGCTCTCTGACCACTAAACTGGTCATTTTCTGCCTCATATTCTCTTCACCGTGGGTCTCTGAAAAAGTACATCGCTCAACGTGCAAAAGAGCCCAGATTGACCATGATTTAATGAATATGAGATGCATTTGAACTCTGTGATCGTAATGTTGGTGGTCAATTGAGTGCACCTCAATGTGATGGTTGTAATTAAACTTTCTAATCTGCCTTGAATTGTGAAGACGATCTCGATGATGCGCTAAATCTTCTCAACTATACTTTATTGACTCACTTTAAGGTCGTGCACAGAAGTGCAAATAAAACGGAGAAAAAAGTTTCTCAAGAAAATGCATCCACCCAGTGAAAATGAGTTGGTATGCTATAGGAAAAGTTTTTTTTTATGGAATCTCGCAGTATTAAATTAAACTGTGACTCACTCATTTCACCACTATTTATCTCACATGAGAAATTTTTACTTAAAAAGAGATAAAGAGTCAGGCGATATAGAGAGAAGATACCTGTCGACACGTCCATTTTAATTACTATGAGGGTTGTGCAAACTCACGCAAATTTTGCATACATACCCATACATTTTTTTCTACCTTTCCCAGATGAGGTGTGCGTGCTGCTTTTTTTTCCTCACAATCGCACCAACTATAAAATAATTCAGTGGGTTATTGGAGAAAAAAGCTCACGGTGTGTGTACGGGCATTTTGTGCGTACCACAGTCAACATGAGAACAAGATCATTGGCGTTGAGCTTGAGTGTCAATTTTTGAACTATTAGTCATTCATCATTGCACCAATTTTCTCATTGGGAATCAGTGTGATTTGCACAGAGAAGAGGTCGATGGAATGCCAACTGGAAGATTATAGAATTGTGCGGTGTTTTGAAAGCACAGTAGCTCTGCTTGACGCGCTATAAAGCATCTCTCTCATAGAGCAATTAACGTATGCAATTCAGAGATGGATTGTCGTCGGATTGAGCGATAAAATTGCGAAAAATTCGGGCCTATGCAAATTTAAGCACATGAGGCTGAACAGATTTTATCTCTTCATGCTTACAACATTCTTGTAGTTGAACTGGGAATTCATGAACTTTGCGCAATCTCTTAAATTAAGAGATGATCTGTTCCATTTAATTCAATATGAATTTACGGTGCAACATAAGGACCTCAATTGACTTGATTAATGCTCCGTGTGCGACTGTCAGCGAATTTGCATGTGTGGCCCGAAAACAGTAGCTTTTTGCACACTTCTTGGGCACACTTGTGGTGAGAAAGAGCTTTTATTTGAGCACGAAAGTAAGAGTAAAATTGCCATTTTCAAGGTTGCCAGTCAATAACCGCTCTCTCGGTGTCAATTCTTTGGCACCGTGCTCGCCGTGAATTGCATGGGAATTAGATGAAAATATGTGTATGATCGAGAGAGGCTTGCACGGTGCAGCAACCCACAGGTGCCTTCCACCTCTTCAGTTTTCGTGCCATTAGCAAATTACCACCCAAGATTGCAATTATGTCACTCACCCATTGAGAATCACTTTTCTGCGTGTCTCCAGATATGAATCAAATTGATTTCACTGTAGCGAGCATTTTTTGCACACTGTTCACAGGATCAAATTGACATGCTTTTTCTTGATAAATCTCAGAGGAGTGACTCGCGACTTTGCAAGCATTTTATCTCAATCGAGAGCCATTGTTTATGGCAGATTTTTATTGTTGAAACGAAATACCACGGACGTGTATCACTCATGAGAGAAGATATGGAAAGAAAGAGTGAAAAAGGCCAAATTGAGAGTGTGCGAATGAAGGTGTATTTAGAAATGGCACACGAGCAATTAAGGAAATTACTAGTGAATGTTTGTTACGTGAATCTGTCTCATTTGGCTTCTTCGCTTTTAATACGAAAATGCGAATGTTAATGTCTCATTAAATTTCATGAAAAGGAAGGGTTCGCAAGTAATCTTCCGAACACTCGTGATAAATGATCTGCATCGAGATTGCTCGAATGGTAAAATATCCATCAAGATTAAATGAAATATTGATGAAACACAAACAATTCATCAGCTTTATTAGATAATTTCTACTGTCTTAATGTGTGAAGAGATATTAACGTTTTTTGTAGATTAAATGAATTGTAGTTGTATTCATGTTTTTGATGTCCAAAAATAAGTTATAAAACGATACTCATTTTACCTTCGAAATTGAAACGCTATCTTTTGCATGAATTTGCATTTTAATTCCCAAGGAAGGCGTAATTAAGCGAAAATTTCCCGTATATCCTAACAATTTTATTATACCAGCGAATGCATTTCAGAAAATTGCATGAATTTATTAGAACCTTTTTGGTCTAAATAGCAAGTAATTTACCGAGCGACCAATTTGCCCACTGTGTGTATTCTTCGAACTTCCGCTGAGAACCAAATTTATAGGCAAATGGTTCTGCCTCAGCGATTGCGTGAAATGGGATTATTAAGTGAAAATTTTCACATTTTATTTCATATCAATTGGGCGAATAATGAAAATGTCTTCTTTTTCAAGGCGATCTAAAGAAAGAATCTTATCTATTCACCCGCAAATCCCTTCAGCATTGGACTAGAAATCGCACGAGAGCGGGCATCAGAGAGATTTACGACATTTCTTTGTTGATTTTCAACTTAAGTCCGAAGTAGAATTTTTTTGCTTGCTAATCTCTAGCAGTAAAGCGTGATTACTGTCTGCTTCGGCTGAGCCGAGACCAGAAATAATATTTAATTAGCAAATTATTGTCTCTCTCTCCGGTGCTCGAGCAATGCAACTTATGGTGTTTGTTTGATTGCAGTGATAAGAAGAAATGGCTTAATGTGTGCAACTTGTAGAGAGAATGTAATTCACGCATTTGTCATATTCCCATTTTTACCGACAATTAACCACTGTGCACAGCAGCCGAGCAATTGACTCCTTATCTCAAGAGTGCCACTCTTCGTGCCACTGAATGTCGAGCGCTAATGGGAGGCTCTCTTAGGTGCTGGTGCATATATGCGTTTGGGCCAGGAAAGAGAGGCTTCAATAGCGGTAATATCTCGACAAATAATGAATGAACTCAATATTAGTGTGTTGGAAGGAAGGAGGGTCAACTACCTCATCGGATAGAGACAAATGTGACACAGATATTTAGCATAATATGTAATTCTCCATCAACTAAACTGGATCGACAAGTGAATTGTCGCGCGAGCTCAATTTAGCTCCGTTTTGCTCGTGTTCTCCCATCACAAATAAACGCCGTGTTTAGCTCTCAAATTATTCCTAAAAGCCTCTTTTTTTTCGTCTTACACTCTCTTCTTGCAATTTTTCATTGCGACACACATCAATTATGTGGCGTTTTTCTGTACATACAAGTTACTTCCGAACAGGTTTTTGCATTCTAGTTTCATTCTATGCCAGAATTGCCATTCGTCGTGCGTAATTTATTTAGTAGAATGCATCTCATAAGTTCACTTGAGACACACTCGACATTTCACTCCTTTGGGCGGGGATGAATGGGTGATAATCAAGTGGAAGTTGTGAGCTTTTCAGAGTTACAAAAGAGCACACGCCCGTAGAAATGCTTATGCAACAGTCTCTCATTTCTTCTCCTGCTCACCATGCTCAAAACGTGCTAAATGAACCTGACATTGAGGTGTAATTAATTGGCAAGAAAGTCAATACTTCTCCCTCTTCCTTCTTTGCATCTCAACGTGAACAATTAATTATGCACAACGTGAAAGAATGTGCATTTTTTTCGCGAGCCATTTCGTCAATTTGTCTGTTATCGCGCGCCAGCAGTGGTAATCATCATGAGTGAGTCAGGTCTCTCACGGGGTTTGCATTAATCACATTTTCCCACGTTGTGGCCGAAAAATAGACTTTCAAAGAGAACGCTAATCCCGAAGCCCCCCGTGTATGTGTTTCTATGCGATATCGCAGAACTTTCCAATGTAATGCTTCAATAAAAAAAAAATTTCCGTCACCACAGATTTTAGCCTTTTATCCTCGTCTAATGTCTCTTCTGCGCTCATTTCATTATCAAGAGATTTCTCTTTAATGCCCATATAACACCTTATTGTAGCCCCGCTCAAGGCCAAGATATGGCGTGAAATTGCAGCTAATATAACGTGAAAGAGACCGCGAAGATATTGAAGCCACCGCAAGGACGCTGTGCTCTGAAGAAATTATCTTCCTGGGGAGAAGAGCGCATATACTCTTAAATGTTTCGGGGACAAGAACTCTCGTAATATTATTGAGTGAAGTGTATCCGAAATTTCTGTCAGACTGTGACCTTTGATTTGCACATTCGCATAACATTGCGAAGAGTGAAATCTCGTAATTTATGTGTGGGATACAGGTGGAATAGATTGATGAATTTTGGTCTTTAATCCCGCATTTATTTATCTTCGCTTTATCACGGGGGGAGAACTCTTTTCCCTCGAGCGTCAACACTCTCTGTCAGTCTAGATATTGAAGTGTTATCAGTCATTGATCACTTGGGTGGATGCAGTTTTCATTGAACGTGTCTGCAGTTGCTAAATAAATCTCCTCTCAGACACACTTTTCAGCATATCAATTAACATTGCTGCCCTAATTTGTCAATTCTGAATCCTTTAGTGACTCTCTGTTGAGCTTTTAGCAGTCACTTCACTCCTCGCGAAGCCTTCAATTGGCTTTCAGTCGCATTTCAGTGCTATTGAGAAAAAGAAAAGTTTTCCACCAACCTCACCGTGTAAAAACACACAATGATTCCCGTAATTTCAAAGCTGTGGAACCGTGAAAGCCTGCAGGAAGGTTGGTTGACAATTGTGCAGTGGCGAGAGCGATGTGGTACAAATAATCGCTCGTGTGCATTAAATACACACACTCGGACGGTGTGATGCGGAGGGTGTTTGGCGAACATAGCAATTTCTTGCACAGTATAATAGTGATTTGTCACGACAGTGAGCACGTTGGGAGCAAAAAATACTCTATACTTAATTTATTTGCACTCTCTATTAGGATTTGTCGCGGAAGACTTGGCGCATTTTGCTAATTTGCGCACCCATGTAAAGACGTACAGCGCAATCTTGCACAAAATCTCTTCTCACACCTTCTAATTTGATCATTCCAGAGATAATATAGAGGATTGCGAGAGAGTCGAGGGCCATTTTCCAATATTTTTTTGCACACTTTCTACACTCGAGCCATTTAATATTTATCTGTGGCCAATTATTTCACGTGGCTTGTAAAGTCATGATGCTTGTTCATTGAATTGACAAAAAAGGCGCGGTTTATTCATTGATCGAGAGTGCTGCAAGTATGCACAAGTGAGTGGATTGTGTATCAAATTGGGTGTTATATAGTGAATTTCAGGTGCATTTATCTGACATGGGTCACAAATTGTCTTCAATAATTACAGGCGGAATGAAAGACATTTCTGCAAAGACAGCAACTATATGGGAAAACGTGCTAAATTGGCGATAATGCTGGTGGCAAAAATCACGCAGAACATTGACTTTTCATCGATAAGAGCGCGCAACAGCGTGTTAAGAGATGAAAATTGCCCGCGGGCAATTGAATATCTGCCAATTTCCCAATTAGACATGAATTTTTAAATTATACATGCATCGAATTGAATGTAAATACTGCACCGTGTGGAAGGTCATAATTACAAGAAGCAATTGACGACAATTTCCCACCAAATGATTATATATGGGATAGGGAGGTGTACAAATCCCACTCAATTGAGATCATTTTCAAATAATAATTTATATTCTATCAGCGCACGCGGATTTCGTGTTGAAAAATCGCGTTCACGCACACACTATATATTTTCCGTGGTTATTAAGTGTTATTGAAAGGACGCAAAAATTGCCGCTGCAATACACTTTGAATAATGTTTTCTGCATGCCAAATTGCTGGTGAACTTGTTGTTGGCTGTGCGATGAAAAAAAGCAACAAAGAGTGAGCCAGTATTGAGATGCATGACTTGGAGAGAAGTATCTCAACACTTTGATATTTATCGCAATAATTAGCGTGATTGACGGGTGATTTATATGTTTCTGTGTCAATCATCGTGTTGGCTCCAACCCCAAAAATCTCCCATCAATAGATGAATTTTTGCACCTGGGAAAATTAACGCGTGTGAGATTGATTGGCCGGATTAATTTTTTAATGCGACTTTAGTGCAATTTAGACACCGCGAGTGAGTGTGAATTTTTAATAACATGACCTTTTTCTTTTCATTGCAGGAATGAAGCAAATTGTCGGGGTTTCTGACATCACAGACAACCGCAATATTTGGAGGATTTTGATTGCCGAATTTCTTGGAACCTTCCTTCTTGTGTCAATTGGTATTGGCAGCACCACAGGATGGGGTGATTTTACACCGTCATTGCCACAAATTGCCTTCACCTTCGGCCTCGTGGTCGCCACTCTGGCACAGGTGAGTTTAATCAATTGAGCGCGTCTGCGAAGATTTTTTCACATAATATGTTGCGATATTTCTGCAAAGGGGAATTGCAAAATCATGCGATAAGAACAAATTGTATGAATAGGATTATTGCGGAGTTTTTGTTAATTAATAGCAGTTAATACCGTTAATACCGATAGCGCCAAGAATTATCTGTGGAAATACTTAAGACGCGAGATAAACTTTACAATAGGAAAAATTTAAGTCGATAGATTATGCAATACACAGCATTTTTACCAATGTTGCCCACCGAAGCGTCTCTAAGCAATCAATCAGATGATGAGCCTCGAGAATCTGCGTGAGATTGTCAGAAACTGAAGGAACTCTAATTTGCATTAATTGTCGCTATTTTATTTGAGTCGTAAAATTCTGGACAATGCGGAACATTGAATACGATTTTAATAGACAACACATTAAATACGGTATTTAATTCGTTGAGCATCACATTATAGGCGAATGTCTAATCATTTATTTATACGATAGATCAGTTTATGCTGAAGTTTTTACAGATATTCCGTAGGTCAGGCAGTATTTTCAGAGGTTCTAATTGATATTCTGCAATATCCATAATCGTCTGTCTTAACAGAAGAAATCACAGTGGATTTCATTTTATAGCCACTCAAGTTTTATCAGCAACGCAAATACATACTGTGAAAAAGCTCATGTGAGTTAATCTCATAAGTTTTCGTAAGAAGCTCAATATCACCACTATGGTGATTCCCTTTGGAAGAGCATTCAACAAGCGCGACAATATACAAGTGTGCCGTAATAGGTTTATTGATATCATAAATTTTGTGCGTACAGATAAGATTTCTGTCGTCTTTTACAATGTGTTAATTTGTGAGCAGGAAGACACCGTCTGATTAGTTCTTCCGCCAACTTGTTGTTTTTTTCTCTTTCCTCCATTTCCACTCACTTCTCGGACACTCAACCAAATTTGCAGTGTGACAAAAATATCAGTTGTTTTGGAAGTTGTGTAAAACAAAAGACAAACAAAGATTTTTCAGCCAAATTTTCCGTCAAAAACTGGTGAGACACAAAAATCAATTAGCATTTGACATCCTGATGCAAATTATGCTAATTGTGAGGCACTTTTTTGGAGGGAGGGAGGGAACGCACAATTTCACGATGATTTCAATTGATTTTCCAGCACACGGTGCAAACTTGAAGATAATTGATGACTGTGGTGGAGGCAAAAAAAAATCCATTATGTATGGATGGAGCACACCTTTTATGACTGAGAGAGAGTGCATTGACTTAGCATGAAGAAAACGAGTAATATCAGTATCATGCGTTTGCAATGGAGCAGCACACAACTAGATTGCACCATATTGGTCTTTGTCGGTTTTTCAAGCGGCTCCAAACTGACCTACATCGTTCAAATTAAAGCTAAACGCACTACCACTGCGGCCCGTGCAAAAAATCGCAAAATCTCAATGTTAATCAGCCGAGAAAAGTGTAATTCACTAAGTGATTGCCAGGGCAAATGGGTGATGAAAACACGTGGTGAGAGCGGGAGCGAGGAAACTGTCAGATAACGTGCTCAAGATCACCACTTGATCTTAAGAAATGCGCTGCTCCGCTCAATGGTGATGATCTTGAGTGTCACACTTTTGCGAAGAAACTGAATGAAATATCATACAACAAGAGATGCTTGTGAAAAATGTGGGTGGGTCAATTAACAGGAGATTTTGTAATACTCCTTCAAAAGCACGTTCCCGTGAACTTCTCGACTGTGACTCTAATGTTACTTTTTTTATTCCATGTCATTCATGCCATCCTCATTCACTTTCAGCAAGATAATTTTTCATTTTGCAAAAGCGCGACACGATTTTGTGGATGGTAAACAGCGAAAAAAGTCAATTTCAATATTATCTCCATGTCGATCGGTTGAAGGATCGCGAAGAGAGACCCCGAAGATCATCCACGTGAGGGAAAAGTGTGCGCGCACAGATAAAATTCCAAGATTAAAATACCTGCCGATCTCTCACCATTCACAACACAATAGTGACACTCAATGAATCATTCTGCAAGTGAACTTTTTTCCTACAACACAACAATCTTCTTTGGATCGCAAATGGTAGACGAATTAACCTTGAGATCGTTCAATCACGATCGACAAGTTTAAATGAAAATGTCGCGCCAATTTCTATGTGTATGCGTGGATGATTGAACCTTCCTCGCGGTTCGAGGTGAGAATATAAGAAGTGGAAATGCTTGTGCGCGCATAAAAAGTTGAGACGCGCCAGAGAGGGATCTCACACTAAATGATCCTCATGCATAATCCCTCCATTAAGTGTGCTCCATTCACTTTCGTTCTAATAATCTACCTCCAAGTTTGCTGATGATCTCAAATTTACACGCATGTTGAGAGCCTCTATGATCTCACGTACAGCTTGATCTTAATCGCCTATTCATTTGATGTCAATAAAATTCCATCGTGAGGTATCGATTGCTGATCACTCGATCGCCACTGTTTACCTATCGCGAGCTGGGGTCATTCGTGTGTTCAAACGGAAATTGCCACTTTTACTTTCCACAACAAACCGGCGATCGTCTGGTGATGATCACTAAATGGTGTTCCTTGCTGTGATCCTCACAATTAATAAATATTTGACTCACAGCGAGAGATGTGGGTCAAGTTGATGTTTTGAGGTAGAGAGAAACCCTACCTCTATTTGACAAACCACTCACAGTAAATTGCCTTTAATTGAGAAACACACTGATAAATTAATCGCGTCGCTGAACGTAATCACTCTCCTCCTATTATGCGTTGATCATGATGGTTCCAATAGAGAAAAAAAAAATCACATGGGGGAAAATATGAAAGAGATTCTCTTTGTCATGATTATTTGTGAGTTAAAATGCATGTCAGTTTCTGTGATTACAGTAAATCATTAACTCAATTTTCATCTCTCTGTGTCTCATGAAAATGGAACTATTTATTATCGTTTGATCTCTTGCGCAATAATAAAGAAAAAAATGAATCTTTTCCTCTTTCGTGATTTTGCTAACAATTTGTAATAAATTTTGTGGTGATCAGGCGATTTTTTAAAACAGTGGAGATCTCTATAAATTCCTACAGAAAATATTCTTTCATCCCAAAATTTAGTAGGTTATAAAAATATTAACGAATTTGCCCACATATTTGCTCAAAAGGCGTCCAATTTCTGCGTCTTTCAAGGTTGATTTGTTTTCACAAACAATTATGTTCATACCGCAAAGCGTTTTTTTATGCTTTTGCCGTAAGTAACATCTCTCACTCTATGAGATTTGTGAATGAAGACAGCAGTGACACGGCCGGAGGTTTTTTTTTGAGAGATCACTTCAACAATTACAAAAGTAATAATCACTTTTGCTTTCATCCAGTGCGCAACATTCAAACAGTGAAGTTTTACGAGTTGTTGGCAAACAAGACACGGTAAAAGAGTAGTGATTGGATTTTTTTGTGTGCCTCAAATGCCTCCTGTGTTTTTCACTTATTGACGATCATCTCTCTTTCACTTACGATTTTCCCACGCATCGCTTATGTTAATGGCACCGATCATATTTGAATGTATGATTGGGGAGATGACTTATGTGGTGCTTTGAATAAATCATCACATTCAATCTCTTCGAGCATAGCTCTGAAATCTCAATCTCGTGCACAGCCTGGATGATTTATGCTGCATGCTGTGTCGATGGTAAACACGTCGACTCTTGATCCTCGTGGCCGGCAATCAAATTGCCCGAGATCTTGAAAAACAATGCTAAAGTAAGCGTTAAAGTCAATGCAAAAGAGCGGCGAAAAAGAAGTGGAGGAGCAAAAAAACTGCTTAATTCGACATTAATCGATTTAAGCTGAAGAACAGCCATTATGAGGTAATACAAGTTGGCCAGCGAGGAGGTGGCATGGAGGACCGGACATGGCTCGTGCGAACTGGGCCAAAATATTGCCGCGAGCGCAGCAGCAGCAGCAACTTTGGTCACTCACATCTCACCTTCCCTGGAGACCCGCGTGTGTTGTATTGATCTCGTGCGATCGCGCGTCTCTCGATCAATGATCGCGAGGGGCAAACTTGAGAGAGTGCTCCCATGTGCCCCACGGTGTCTGGCTTGTGGTTAAATGATGTCATCAAACTCTTTGGCGCATTTGAGCTTCAATGGCGACACTTGAATAGCTCACACGTTCGGTATGATTTATGCACATATTTCACTTTTAATTTTCTTGCTGTTCGTGACTTTTTGTGTTGAATTTGTTCTACACACCATTTTACCATTAATTCAAAGCACCATTTAAATTATCTCGGTCTCTCACTTCACCAGCCCGTGCGCGCCCCACTAATATGAGCGTATGAGATCGTCAAGGGATTGCCATATGGCAAAATTTCATCGTATAAATCCATCGTGGAAATTGTCTGGTGATCATGCAAAATTTCTGCAATATTTCAAGAAACATATTTACTCCCGTGAGATAAATTCTGCGAAGAGTGCGAAAAGGTTAAACGGTGACAATAATTCTACATGTTGACACTTTTAATGAGGTTTATTAAAAAAAAAATCAGCTCATTTCGTGGGCAAAGCCACCACTTGGCGGTAGGGATCAAAGGAAAAGAGGCCAAAGACATGCCTTTTATGGGCTTGTATGACTGCATTTGAATGTGGGATTATATTGCGAATTTGATAGACACCTTCTTATGATTAGCCATAAGTATGTTAATTTGAATTTGTAGCTCCAACAGTGATAATAGCTCATGCGAAATGACCGCACAAAATATCAATGGGAGACAAACACACACACGAAAAAGGCAGACACAACACTTAACAGTTGCATGCGATCGTAAAAGCCTGCTTTACGATCGTGAAGAAGTTGTCTCACAGGTGGAAAAAAATACTCCATTGGAATTACTGTAATGAACGCATTAAGCTAATTTTAGTGGTCATTCATGAATTGGCTCCAGCTCAATTAATTTTTATTGGAATGGCCCCCTTGTTGATCAGCTGAATGATCAATTTGGCGATCGTGATCTTGTGTAGTTCTCTCAGCAGTAAATTTTTACTGTTTGACCGAAAGTCGATTGATGATGTCTCTGTGCGTATAATTTGTAAAACCATCGCGACTGCGCGCGTTTTGCTTCCCAGAAGTGGAAAAAAGTGCCCGAGATTGATTCACATGAACCTCACGATCACTGATCAAGGCTGAACAACGAAATTCAAGAATTACATAATTAAGCATCGAATAAACAGTGGTTTCATCGTTGAAACAGCCATAAGGTGGACTTGATAGACGTGCTGGCGTCTCTGTTGATTTATTTGACGATTTATTTTCTGCGTGGCTTTTTTCGCATTTTCGCACAGGTGACTTTGAGAAAAAATTAATTAATATTCCCAAAAGAGCACTCGTGCGAAGAGAAAGATCACTTTTCGTCCAATGAGCACTGATTGCGAATCATGCGTGATAAATAGGCGATCTTGAGTGATCTTCGCGGCATTTGCTGAAGTGTGCGGGAAGATATTGTATAAGAGACCTTTTTCCGCTGCAACTTCAATGCAAAAAGAAAGGGTTAGTCACACTTGAAGTCTCTCTCTGAATATCCATATTTTTCTGTGGCGCGCAGAATAAAAAAAACCCATTTAAATTTTGCCCTTCATCAATCACCACCAATTGATGTCAGGAGCAATGGAGGAGGCTGACGAGAAAAAAGATGCAAAGTTTTTCTTTCGGTCTTATTTGTGTCACACACACCAGAACATCATGCACCATGGAAAATAAAAGAAATTCTTCACACCAAGGCAGACAGGCCAACAATATCGTCCGAGCGAGTTCAATCGCGAAAAAATTATTAATTGATTTAATTCAGATTTTGTGGCTTGTTAATGTATCAAAGTGGCTGCTCACTATGGGTAAAAGAGCGCTTTTTTGCCCGCTTTAGCACCACACAAATCTCTTCAATGAAGCCGGAGAGCCGTAAATTAAGTAATAATAAATAAATAGTCGAGTGGATGTACGCGGAGAGGTGTAAAAAAGCGATCATAAAGTTATTCATTTCGCGATTCAAGTTCGCGATCAAGCAAACCCACCGAATTTGGGTCATTCACGTTACCTTTTTTCAGCATTTCTTCTCAAGCGTGAGCCTTTTTTTGCGTGCTCCCGTGTGTGTGGTTTTGATGTCGCGTTTAGGCATTTTGCTCATTTGTTGGCTCGCGATCACGAGTCGATTCCATTCCGCAGAAAAGATTGCTTCGCCAAATGAGGCGATCATTTCCCTCTTTTGTGTATTTTCCTCATGCACCTTTATTGCCCATTTGATGCTCAATTTTATGGCAATTTTGCCTATTGCAAAAGACACATTAGATCGCGAAGATCACGTACATTTTGCACATGATCACTTCTGCCAAGTGATCGCATAAAGTGTTGCATTTTATGATGTTTGACAAAGCCAGAGCGAATGAGGAAAAATGAGAATAATAATGAGAGAGTATAAAGTAATTTTCACGTCAACACATGCGGCTTAAATGGTTACGCATAATCCAGCAAAGAATATCTCATTGAATAATCCAATATGTGACGGTGAGCTTTAAATTTTACAATCATCCGGCTTCGTGGATGATTACAAAGTGTCTGCTAAAGTTTCTCGCTCTTGTGATATGTGGAGCACAATTACGTAGAGTATAAATGGAGATATAAAGTCATGAAAAAAAGGCGTGTACACACGGGAGACGAGAAAAAGTGCTAAAGCAAATAAACTCACGGCATTTTCGTGTGGTCTCTCTCTTGATGTGCACCACTTGAATCTTCATGCATTATTACGCTAAATTACCCTACAATTAAAATTGCGCAATGGACAGTTTGTATTGAGAGGAAGGAGATTGCAGAGAAAGACATTCCACACATTTCAATAAAGCACAGAAGAGAAATTATTGCTCAATTTGATTCAAGGGGCAAACAATAATTGAGATGAGAGGTCACGAGATCGCGTTTTGTAAGAATGTTAGCTTTCTAAGAGATTTCCTCTCGCGATTATGGCACAGTGTTTATCAGTGAAATATGGGAAATGAGTTTTTCGCTTAAATGGTTAAGATTCTAGATAAGAGTGGCAATTAAATTAACTTCACTGATTACATGATTTTTCTGTACTATAGTCGCTACGGTACATGATTTTGTGCAATGAATTGCCTTTTCAGTTCACAATAAACCACGAAAAATATTTGATGATTTATTTTGAGTGCTCTTTATAACGCGTGCCTCTTCTTTCTGCAGGCCTTCGGCCACGTGAGTGGATGTCACGTAAATCCCGCTGTGACTTGTGGTCTTGTCATCACTGGCGACGTGAGCATCCTCAAGGGAGTTTTCTACATTGCCTGTCAGTGCATTGGAGCCATCGCCGGTGCTGCTCTCATTAAGGTAAGCCCAAAAAACTGTCTGTGTGGTCCATAAATCTCCTTCACTCTGCGCGATGGGTTGTTTGAGGAGGCAGAGAGAGAGATCACTCATGGGGCCTAAAGGGCGTGCTTTCGAGTACAAATCACTCAATTAGTGGCACAATTATTGCGAGGGCCGGCCCCACAATTGCTCGCAATTAACTGCATAAACACTGGGCGACAAGGTGGTGCGGTGAGATGGCGAGGAGTATAAGAAAGAAAAAGAGTTCAACGAGAAAGTCTCAGTGGAGAAGTGATATTAATGCGAAGCACTTGTTCTCGGGGCGATAATATTTTCCCAATGAGTACTCTTGAACTGGATAAAGTGTAAAATGCCAAGGTGAAGAGTGTGAGGATTTTATAACATATATGTACAAGAATAAAATAATTATGTTATATCCATACACTGCGAGTAACATATCTCGCACAGCCACCTGTGAGCACTTGAGGCAGCATAGTGAGAGACAACAAAAGCCCTCTTAATCCTTTCTTTGTGCAGTCAAAGTCTGGGTGTAGGCAGAAAATATCGCAGCGAAGAAAAGTTAATATATGTAAGTGAAACGATAGAATTACTCATAGAAGATCACATAAAAATATGATTTGCTATTCATCTCACGAGATCACATTTGAGGGACGAGCGTGAAGATGATGATGTGACGGTGGGATAAACATTTGAGAGACACCTCTTAATTTCTTGCCTTCAGCAGATGCTTCAATATTTCCAATCGCTTTTACGAAAAATTCATTCTCATAGGGAAAACCCCGTTAACCTCTATCTTCAGTGATCAATCTTTCCCCCGGGGGTAATTTTTTTTCCTAATCATTCTCACGAACTTTGTCATGCTTTCGCGATTGTGTTTTCATCGATATAATGAATTCCCAGAAGTAAAAACAATAGATTCTAGTCATAAGGCACAATTCGTTATAATCACATTTCAGTGAAGATTAAGTAATGTATACTTTTAAGTGTTTCTAGTTCTGTGAATCTATTGCGGAAGGCACGATTTTTCTGTTAAAAAAGAGTGATTCATACAAATCTCAACGTCAAATAAATGCATTTTTATTATCTTTTGAATCCAAAGATTATATCACTTAATTTCACTTTCCATAACACTTAATAGGTAAATTGTGGGAAAAATGTGGTAAGAGGGTGTTATTATTAAGAAATCATCTCTCACTAATCGGACTATTAAACAATGCAAAGAGGCGTGTGGAAAAAAACCAGAAATAACAGCTTGAGCTGTGCATCTCATTTGGAACATATTTCACGTCACTTTAAATATTGATTTAATTGTAATCCTACCAAAGCCGGAATCTTTGAAAGTATCTGGCAAGTGAGAATTATTGCTGAGACTTCAATGAAATGCGCGCAAAAAATAATTTTTAAGCAGCTGAATCAATTATGATATTTTCTTTTAAAGAAGTGGTGTGTCCATGGGAAGAAATAATCCTCTGTAATTGATCTTGTTTCGTAGAAAAGAATGATGGAAAAACCGGATTTATTCCCATTATTATCATCCTCGTGAAATATTTCACTGGTAAATTACGCGAAATTTCAGCGACTCCAATCAATTCTATTGCGCGGTTCACACACAACTTGATTGAATTAATTGCCACATTAGAGGTTCACAGAGTGAGTGAAAATCAAATGCCAAATGATGTGTGACTCACTGGAGCACCGTATTTGCCATTCATTATTGAACCATGAGCTTTGTGGGGCTCCCCATCACTTTTTTGTGGGCTTTGAGGCAAAGAAACCAGGGTCTCTCTCTTGCTGCGGTGCTAAAGATCATCGGGGGTTTGTCAATTTAGAATCACGGAACAAGTTTTCAAGTGAAACCAGATCAATAGAGGTAGAAATTTGAATATTTAATTGATAAAATCACGATAAAAGTCGGCATAATTTGGACATTAAAGAGAAACTGGTTTGGCATTTGGAGAACTGAATGAACGTAGTTTGTGCTCGCGATATTTCAGAGAATAGTAAACCCCTAGAAGTGCTCTCTTCTTCGGCCCACCATCACTGCCAAAATGATCAAATGGCAATTAAGAAGTGCGCGAAAAGGCATCATGTTACCTTGCCATTGAGATAATCTGTGGCGAGAAAAAAAGTCAATTGTGAATGCAATTGTGCAATGAATGCCGCGGTGAGAATGGTGTGGAATCCTTTTCTTCATGTCTTCTTGCAACTTTACATAGAATGGAAGGGCACATGGATGGACAATGCTAATAAATCAGAGTGGCTCTTGATAAGGCACAGCTGGGGAGCTTTTAATTGGGTCTTGTGAAGACCGCAAACACACCTTCGCAGATCAGTTGATAGAATAACTGAGAGGTTGCATGTTTCGCTATCATAACGCGATCCAATACGCTCTCCTTTGGGGTGGAAAATTCACTCTTTGTATGGGATTTCTAAATATTTCCCCATTAATTTTCACCTCTTTCACTGCGCGTCGTGAATGTGTGTGAATTAAATTCCGCATTGGCGTGCGCGCAGAAATTCAAGCCAGAGAAATAATACAGCAGCTTAAAGACTTTCGCAATTTATGCGGCGTTGCCGTGAACTTGAGAAGAGAGAGATGAAATGCCACACACTGGTTATTTAATACATTTCGTATATGCGCGCTGGTCTATCGGGAAGAGGAAGCGAGAGAGCGCAAAGAAGTTGATGCAGTGGATGTTGAGCAATTATTTATGCACACACCAATGTGGCTGCCGTGTCAACCGAGGCGCTCAAATGGGCACGTGAAACAATGAAAATTCAATTAATTCCACGGTGAAAAAACTGGCCGGTATAATCAGTGTGCAATATCATACTTCGCTTCGGTGATGTTGCGAAAAGTGTAAAGGGAACAAAGTAAGGAAGGTTGTCCTGATCTAACGCGTTATACAGCGTAATTGGTACGTGAGAGTCATCGAATTGAGAATTTATTATATGTATGCACAGAAAGCACTGGGGAAGCTATCAAATATATCTTCGGAATGTGAATTAAAATTCTCAATGGGAGGATAAATAATCAATTTATATGGCTGTCATGAGATGTCGCGTTTCATAACATTCTGCATATAAAATATAAATTTTCTTAAGCTTGTAAACTTCTAATCTCACGTCACTCTCCTAAAGTTATTCCGTCTTTAGATAACACACCGCAATTAAATCTGACGGATTCATTCTTCTGAACAGTAGTGAATCACTCACTGTATTTTAGTGGATTTCCACGTGATCTCAATCTCATGTGGATAATGTAAAACGAGAAGAAAAAAAAAACGTTCTCACAATCTTTTTCCTACCTTTTCTCTGCGTATCACAAAATGTAAGAAGGGAGAAGAAAAAGCTCTCGTGTCATCAACAAATCAAGTTCAATGTTGAATTGAAAACTTTTTGCCATTGACATTCACAAAACCATGAAAAAATATCTTATTGCTATTTTGCTTGGCTTTCGTGTGTCTCTCTTTTTATCTACTTGAGCTACGCGACTTCTTATCAAAAGATTGCGGCTATTGTAATCAAACGAAATGATATTTGAGCTGTAACAGTAGACCAGGGATTTGAAGCTGTTTAGTTTCTATGCAGTTAAATTGTGTTTCATATTTCTCTTAGTTGTATTCTATTTTGATAATTTTTACATGCACTTTGCTGTAAAGACGTTGGAAGAATCATAAATTTCCTAAGCACTTCAAGTCTATCTCACTATAATTTTTATTATGCCGCTATAAAAGACTTTATAATGCAATATATTCCCATCAGCGAATGTTGCACTTGGCAGAGAAATTGCAAAGTATGCCACACAATTATTCATAGTTAGAGTTTGGTAAAACGTGACTTTTAGTCTTTTGTTGGTGCTACCTTTTCAAATTAGTAACTGCAGAGTTTGCATGAATGAAAAATGTGGCTCATTGTTTCTATAATTCACCACTTTGCCATGTGTCTTTGACATTGTTGCCCATGAAAAAAAGACGCTCGCAAGCACTGTCTTCCTGTGGACGAATCACGCAGACAACTTCCTTGGCATTGTGTGTTGGATGATTTGTCAAGGAAATCAAATTAATTCACATGGAAGTTGTGCGCTTTAGTTTCTTGGACACTCAATTATGTGATGCGAGTATAAATAATTCAGCAAAGATGATTGTGGAGAGAATCAATAAAAAATATTTTAACATACCAAACAAACTTGATGGATTTTATCTGTTTCTTTCCTCCTTCAGGTTGGCACACCGACCGCTCATGTGGGCAATCTGGGCAACACGATGCTCCACGAGGATCTCTCGCCGGCCCAGGGAGTCCTCATTGAGGCTCTCATCACCTTCATCCTCGTCTTCGTTGTGCACGGCGTGAGTGATCCCCGTCGATCGGACAACAAGAACGCCGTACCACTGTCCGTGGGACTCGCCATCACTGCTGGTCACTTGGCTGCGGTAAATATTTGCCCATGATTTATCACGCGAATCAATAGAGTAACGACATTTCTCACCTGCAGATTAAATTCACCGGCGCCAGCATGAATCCCGCTCGGACCTTCGGCCCCGCCGTAGTGACGGGCTTCTGGGAGAATCACTGGGTGTACTGGGTGGGCCCCATTCTGGGAGGAATCATCGCCGGATTGGTCTATCGCTTCATCTTCAAGGTGAAAAAGGGAGACGGAGAAGCTTCATCCTACGACTTCTAGGCTTATCCAGCTTCTCCACACATCACTTCTACCATCTTTTACGTCTCCAATTAAATTATATTAAGCGTAATGTGAGATCGTCATCTCTAATTATTGTTTTTGTCATACAAAATTCTCGCTTTTATCACTGCGAAAAACCAAAAAAGAAGCATCACTGAATGGGAGATTGGAAAAGTAGAGAAAGAGATATTTTGCTTTCGATATTCTGCGTAATTAAGGACATTCATTTTGGGTATTTTGTATCTTTTATACCGGAGACATTCACTTGATGCATTGCAGTGGGGAAGATCATCAAAATTACTCAAATACTTGAACTATTAATCGTCACAGTGAGTGCCTCTTCAAATTCATTTGTGTGCCTAATTGGCACAGAGATCAATTTGTACTTTTTTTGTGAATACAATGAGCATGAACTATTCATGAAATTTCTTTGTAAATATACACCATCGTACCTTTAACCATTACCTTTCATCCACAAATAATTTTACATAGAGTTGCTGTGTAGAGAGTAAAAAGTTTACATCTTCATCCTCGGTGACTAAGAAACTTGATATTCAACTCAACTCCTGAGAATTCACAGTAAACACTTCAATAAAATTAATCTCCTTCGACAGGAAAAAAAACAAGCAAACTTTTCGGTAAACAAACTTTCAACCCACTATGCAAAAGACAGATAAACAAGTAAGAAAATAGTAAAATAAAAAAGAACGATAAGCTATAGAGTAGTAGAAAAAAAAATCAACTCTACCGAAGGAAGCGAAGTTTTAGAATCAGAATGATTCGCATTTGAATCTTTTTTCGTCTTAACGTTTCTCCTCTTTTTATTGTATATTTTGAAATGTGTAAAACTCAACTAACCACTTTTCGTTAGGCGATGTTATATCTATAAATATATAATGTTGTGCAAAATAAAGTGTAATAAAATATTTTGTATGTAGATCTCAATTCTTTTAATGCTCAAACGATTTCTGCAATTTCTCAGACATTGGACTTGAGATAAACAGGAAATTCCGTGATTTGTTATTGTGTCGTGGCCACTGGAGACAAAATGTATCTCGCGGGAATCGCCGAGGAAATTTTCTACGGAGTTAAACATTAGATTTTATGCATGATGAATCGTCGAAATGTAGCGGAGAAGCGCAAAAAAGTGTATTTAATTTGCATTAATCACCCTCCAGGCGAGATTCGTTTTTGCTGCGTCGACAATTCTTCCTATTTCTATAATCTTGACAAAAGTGTTCTCGCCAGTGATTTATTTACAGAATCTTGTCGTGCTCAAATAAGTGTGATTTTATTTGCGCCTTACTAACTTGACCAATTTGATTAAATTAATGTTCATTTTTTTTCTTTATCAATTTCACAAGAAGAAACATTGTCTCTGTTCTAGCTCTTTGGGAGGGAAAAATTGAGAATTCTCAGAGAGCACATCATCTCTTTAGCTGTCAATTGCGTTGTTGTCCGCCCTACAATCGTATCCATCTACGTCTATAAAGTCGTGGCTCGTGGTTCCCCTGGTCTATCGCCTTATAGAGTAAGTACTGCTGGCGATATTTCTGATACTGTTAGTCTGCATTGCTCTGACCCAGCTCTTCAGAGCGGAGTGTGGCTTTCTCCACGGCATTTATGAACACGTTTCTGCGTGCAAAGAGTGATTTATCAATTGGCAACATTTTGATCCCCTCATAAATTCAAAATATTTACACTCACCTAATTCCACCCTTTTCGAGCTCATGAACTGCCGCAATTGTTGCTCCGCCCGGCGAGCACACTTCATCCCTGAGCTGAGCCGGATGTTTGCCCGTCTCCAGCACCGTCTTGGCCGAGCCGTAGACCATCTGGGCGGCCACTTGGAGGGCCGTCTGCTTGGGGATGCCCTGCTTCACACCCCCATCCGCCAATGCCTCAATTATCGTGTAAATATACGCCGGGCCACACCCAGTAATCGCCGAGAAGGCATTTATCATCTTCTCCGGCACCTCCTGCGCCGTGCCCAGCGAATTGAGGATCGTGTTGATTTTCTCCACGTCATGCTGCGTCACATAGCGTCCCGGCGAGAACACCGTGCATCCTTCGCCCACCTGCATCGGTGTGTTCGGCATCGACCGAATTATTTTCAGTTGCGGAATGAAGTAGAAGTGCTGGAAATATCAATCAACCAATTCATGTTAGTGGATCAATTCTTGGCACGCAACAAACTCCACTTTTACCTTTTCAATTACATCAATTGATATTCCCGCCATCACGGAGATGAAGAGCTTGTCCGAATCCCTAATAGAGCGAATGTGTTTCCTCTGGATCTCAGCTGCACACTTCTCCAGAATGTGAGGTTTCACGCAAATGAAGATTATATCGCACTTGATGATGACCTAAGAGTGTAAAAAGAAGGCTGTGTGAAGCTAATTGATTTTCCCATTTACAACCATTCACCCAGAAAATAAGAGAGGATTTTCAGCAAAATTTCAACATATAGTTTTTCCTCCCATTTTTTATTATATTTCCCTCTCAAACACGCAACGTCGTTTATGGGGCCACCAAATAAATTTCTCTAGGAATAATGTTAGAAACAATATTATGGTGACACATAAAAGTTTATGTTGATTGCCTTAAAATATTCCATTTCGTCATAGTACTAACTTTTTACATTGATAAAAATCACTGAGTTCTAAGGCTGAATCGTAAATATTTGACATTCTAACCAACGATTTAATGAGAACAGACATGAAAATCGGATTCCTCCGTATAACTATTGTCTGCATTCTTGACGGGCAGTGACTTTTCCACATGTGAGAATATAAAAAAAAATAATCGACAAATAGGTTATCTTTATCCGCTGAGGAATTCTTGAGAGACTGATTTAATGTTGTAATTTGATTTCAGATTAATCAAAGTGAATTTCACTTTGAACTTGAGACGCTTTCAGCTATCTTCCTCTCTCATTAGTCATTCTTCTCTTGTAGCACCAATTCTGAGATACAAAACTAGTTTTGGAGCATTGAACTGATTTATCAATAAATTATTTTAACCTAGAGAGAAAACAGTGTAAAATTGCTTGGCTATAAAATTGTCCCAATCAGAGTCAGAAAAAAATGTGACTTTTCCTCCCTTTTTCCTTCCACCGAAAACCAATTAATTTGTCCACAAATCACTCAATCATCTGATAAACTTAAATACATTACACACTCTGTGGGATTATAAGTTACAGTCGATCTCAATTGGATTGCAATTTGAGAAAGTTTCATCATAATAAAGGGGTCTTATGCCATGCAGAACCTCTATCAAGATCTAATCACTTTATGATTTTCCTTTCCTCCCAATTATTCATCGCTCTGCGGATCAATAATCCGTTGCGGTGGCAAAAACCCCACAATGATATCTCAATTGAAGGTAAATATTTTAATGTAGAACTCACAGATGCACTCAAACAGTAATTTAATTTCCATCAAACCGATCATTAGCAGACGGAGAAAGTCTTCTGGTCGATGGTATAAATTTTTCATTTTGAATAGCACTAATGAAAATTGAGCAATAACTTCTGACTGAAGTACCAACATTAAAAAAGAGTCTCATTAAAGAAATCATGTGAGAAAACTGCTGTACGCTAAAGGTCTTGCAAACTCCTCCTCCTCCTTTGCCACACTGGAAAATTTTTAACACCCTCTTCTGAGGAATTTTTCATTCCATATCGCTGTTTAAAATCACAACAATAATTTATAACTCCACTTAGCACATTTTCTCTCTATATAAGGATTAATTGCCCCGATTCTGCTCTCCTTTCCTCTCTCCCTCAATTCTGTGGCGTGCTTGGAGGCAAGGTCCATTTTCAGGTGACTCATAAATTGGTGGAATTTCTAATCTAAAAATTCATGCGAAATAAAAGAAATTCAGTGAAAATTCATTCACGTCTTCGCGGAGAGAAAATAGGTAAATCCTTCAACATTGTAAGGAAAGTAAAAATGTGAAAATTTCATTTCGACAAACATTCGTCTCTTGGCCACGTGAAAATTCCGATAACAATCTTCCGTGTCTTGAGCATAAAAAGCACATTCACTTTCACCACCATATTCTCCGTCCGTTCTTTCTCACCATTCCCACCTCTCTATGTAAACAATAATTAATTCAATTGAGAGTCAAGGGTTCTGTTGGCACATTAAATGTAGGACAAAGGAAAGAATTCGTCTGCATGCCTTTTTTTCACCATTGATGGTGTGAAGAATTTGGGTGCACAAAAAGAGGTCATCAACCGTTACTTACATCTTCATTATCAGCTGTTATTTCAGATCCAATCTCCTTCCAGCGCCTGAGATTCTCAAGATGAGGTCCAGAGGCGAGAATTTGCGAGGGTTTCACCAGTCCTCGATTCACCATGCCAGATCCAATGGCAAATGCCATATTTCCTCCGCCCAAGAATCCAATTCTCTCGTCAAATTTGGCCATTATCTCCTCCTGATCCTGATCAGTGTCTTCACGTTCTCTACTCCTCCGCGAATTGTCTTCACTGTCTGCTGCCAGAGATCCTGTTTGTGAATCGCAATCCATTAATTATTAAGAGTGTGTCACCAAAAGGCAGAACTGTTCTGTGCTTGAACAACAGTGAATCAAGTGAACGTGAGAGTGGAGAATAAATGGAGTTGTTTTCCCGACCGAAGGGTAGCAACGACTGCCTCACAGTTTTTTCCCACTCAGTCGTGTGACCGTCAGGAAGTTGAGAATTTCTCTGATTGCTCACAAAGACTCTCCCTTTCACATGGACGAAAAGCTCAGGCTTTCTCCCCTAATTAACATACTAATTTGGCCGTCAGACGACCTCGACGGTGGCTATCAAAGCACGCAAATACTTTATTGACATACAATTGCTCCATTGTGAATTTCAATACTGGACGGACACTCGCCCCACAATCCGCCGCACTGCCAAGCAAGATGAATTGATTTCCACCTCATTTTTCACGTGAAATTCTTCCCACCTTGTCGCAACATTTAGACACGATTTACTTGTTCTTTCCACCGGCCCCCGAGTCATTCAAGAAAGCAACCACCCCGTGACCTTCAGTAACAACATAGGAAATCTGTGATACGTTGCTCAGGACTCATGGTGGCGATTATGATCGCTCCGTGGGGGTTGCGTAATTACAAGAAATGACATTAATAGTGGAGAAAATATTTGGATTGTGAAGTAATTCCATCGTATTACTACACAATCAACTGTACAGATGATCCATTATTTGATTTGGGTGTAAAATAACGAGGAACTCGGCCGATGTGGCGATTAATTCGCATAACGAATATCTCATTTACTGAACAATTAATGGAGTCAATGTCATTATTACGGATTTATGATTGCCGCGTGGAGAAGTAATGAAGAAGAAAAGCAATAAAGAACATTTACAGTGTTTGGTAAATAAATTTAGTTGAGTTTCAAAACTCAGAATCTGAATCAATCTTGAATAATAATCTTGTATAGTCACTCATATAAAAATTGATAATCCAGATAAGGTTGATCTGCAAAGTTTTACTGAACTTTCCCGTTGTGTCTTGCTCCATAGACAATCCGATAAGAAGTGCTGGAAAAAACCCCGTTACGTTTTTATAACTGGGAACCTCGGAAGATTCTCGAATGCTTGCGTAAACACAAACGTAATCGGTTCCTTATCTTGCAAAATATTGCAACACTCATTCACAAGATTTCCAGAAAGACCGGAAAGATTTCCCAAATTGTGACTTCCGGAAGCCTTAATCCTCACTAATATTTGCACTTAGATTTTAACCTCACAAACACACCCAAGAACTCACGGAATTAGGTAATTAGATTGCCCACATATCAAGAAGGTCAATGATAAAAAGCAAGAGTAGTTTCCCGCGATGTTGTTGGGGATTTTCCACGAGAAAAGATGCTGCAGAAATGGACCCCAATGTCGCCATTGGTCAAGTGGTAAACATTGCAGAAAACTCACACTTTAATTGCACCGAGAAAGCAAATATCTTTAATAATTTATCAATACTCACAAGTGCTTCCGATTCTTATCAGAAAGCGTAATCAGCACTCCGTTTTGTGCACAGAAAATGTGAAAAATCCCAACACCTCGCGGCTGCTGCGTGGCGACGTCACAGAAACTCACACTTGCGCACGTAACAGCTGATCGCGGCGAAAGGAATTCGGGCGGTTTCGTGCACTTCGCCGCGTGTGGTGGGGAATTCTAGTAGTCGAGGAAAAAAGAGGAGCTGTCACTTTGGTGCGAGAGTGTGTGAGTGAAAAAAGGGTGAAGAAAATTTTAGAAATTTTCTCGGATTTTGTGGCATTTGTCACCATTCTTGAGTGAAATTGATGTTGTGAGCGTCGAACAAAGCCCCAAAAGACTGCGTGAAGTGTGTAGAAATTGTAATTGCCATAGAGATTTGCTTGTTTGACTGGAAATAGTGAATTGGTGAAATTTCGTCATTTGGGTGAGTTTTTCGGCTTGGGGGCGAGTGTGTCGCCTTTTTGCAGTGATTTGCAGGAATTGGCGGCGACTGGGAGGAATGGGAGTTGGGGTAGATACGTCGGGCGGCCGTGGGGGAGACGCAATGAGTTCAAGGAGACATGCAGTTGCGACTGTGTGAGTTTTCCCACAAAAATAATTGTCATCCCGATTTCTCAGTTTTCAGACGCAATTCCCGAGCGCCATGGCCGTGAAACATCTCGAGAAGCAGGTCCATCAGGAGGAGAAGAAGGTGTACGACATTACGAGCATTATCCAAATTCTCGAGGCATTCAATGCACAGGTCCAGGCTGGCGCCCCCTTGCCGAGCGGCAGCGGAATCGTGCACTTCTGTGAGTACATTGTCCGGGAGCTGGGCCAGGTGCAGACGCCACGCGACACCGTGCTCATTAAGACTTTCCGCGAGGATGTTGCGAAGGTGTTCCAGTACCTCACGGAGATTTGCGAGAGCAACAGCGACATCCAGGAGGACATCGTCACGGGATGTCTCAAGGTGCTGTACTCCCTTATCATCAATCCCGCGGAGCCGTACGAGGCGGTCTCGGTGGTGCTGCAGTTCTTCGACAATTCGCAAATTCCGCGCGCTGTGAACTGGCTCCTTAACAACTACGAGCAATCGAGCGATGTGGCGCTGACGCGGGGCTTCAAGGTACTCTGCAATTGGCTGCGAGTCATCGACTTCACCACTAATCTGCACGTGTGGATCATCGAGATCCTCAATGGATTGCGTGAGAAGCAGAAGTATGACTTGCTGATTGATCTGTCACTGGAGGTGATCGAGCCACTCTTCAAGCGCCTAGTGTTGCCAATGTATTTGCCAAAAGTGGCTCCAGTTGTGCAGAGAATCCTCACGTCCATTCGCCACACGCCTGTGGTGTTTCACAAAATCCTCAAGAGCGTGCCACTCGTGCTGCAGGTCCTGCGGCAAGAGAAGTTCATGCTGTGGCACCAGCGAATCATCCAGGATCTGGTGGACACTTTCGCAGCTCTCATTCTCACCTTTCCTGGTTATGATGATCTCTACAGGGCGACGGTGAGTTGTCTTTTGCTCGACTTTTTACTAGATAAAACTGACAAGACATAATCTGATGCTATTTCTCTCCGCAGGAAGTTGCTCTTGCCGCATTCTCAACCTCCCCAAACTTCCGGATGATCCTCGACGTTCCTGCCTGGCATGCGGAGATCACACGAAGTGGACTCAATGCACGCGTGGGACTGGTCAATCTAGGTAATACTTGCTACATGAACAGCGTCCTTCAGGCTCTGGTCATGACAAAGCAGTTTAGCCGGGAGATTTTGCTCTCGGAGAGCAAGACGCCACTCCTGCTGAAGATCCAACAACTCCTGGCACTTCTTCTACATTCCACTCGCCCTGAGTTGACTCCACGAGCTGTTCTGCATGCCACTCGGCCTCCAGGTTTCCAGCCTGGCTTCCAACAAGACAGTTCCGAGTTCCTAGGCCACTTGTTGGAAACGCTGCACGAGCAGGAGCGCCAGAGCTCCGTACGCACCAAGCCAGAGGATGATGATGTGACCATGAACGAGGCGGCGGCGATTTGTCCACAGAAGTCCAACAACCACAACTCACTGATCCAGAAGACGTTCGGCGGGAAGATCTGCATCACATATGAGTGTATTAATTGTGGGGAGAAGAGCACAAACAGCGACACTTTTCGTGATATCTCTCTGTCGTTTCCCGATGAGAAGACGGAGATGACGCAGAATTATTCAGTTCAGGACTTGCTGGACTACTACTGCTCGTCAGAGAAGCTGGACGGTGCCAATCAGTACTTTTGTGAGAAGTGCAAGAGATTGTGCGACGGTGTGCGATCGATTGATATCACGCAAGCTCCGCAGAATCTCATCCTGACACTGAAGCATTTCAAGTATGACCAAAAGTATCATGTGCGGGCGAAATTAATGCACAAGGTGTTTCACGATGAGAGTGTGGCTCTGAAAGTGTTTGCCGATGATAGTTACCAGCAGCCCGCAGTGGTGAAGTATGTCTTGTATGCGGCTGTGGTGCATTCTGGAGTGAGCATGGACTCTGGCCACTACTACACTTATGCGGCAGACCAGGAGTGCTGGTACAAGTTCAACGACAGCTTTGTGAATAAGTGTTCTGTGGAGGACTTGCACAATTTATCACCGCCGAATACACCCTACATTCTCTTCTACCGCCGAGAGAGTCCAGCTGATAGTGGAGCGTCTAATCCAGTGGCCGGTGATTCGCTGGTGGGTCTCGAGGAGCTTCCGGGGCATCTGAAAGAGTTCATAATCAAAGACAATGTGTCGTACTATGACGAAGTGAAATTGGAGGCACAAAAGAGGAAGTCAAATATGAATGTGTCCATTGTTCTGGCGCCCAAGAACCAGCGAGATTCCGACGATGAACCTCCACCCAACAATTGCGGCGGCAATGCCATCAACAGCTACAATAGATTCATCATCTAAAAAGGCTTCATCAGCATTCTCCTGATCCCTATCCCCCCGACAAGGACTCATCAGCTGGGTAACATTCGCGCGTCTCGAAGTGAGAGTGGAAGACAAAATGTGTGGAGAAGAATGAAGAGTGGCAATTTTGTAATGCTATTTATCGCAGAAGACAATTTCGTTTTGATAAACAGTGAATTAATTGATGTGTGTCTCCCGGACGCGCGAGGACCATTTTTGTGCACATTGTGTGTTATCCCGTGGCGCCAATATATTGGATTTATGTGAACTATTCTTGCAATTCATGATTAGAGACAGAGAAAGAAAGAGAGAACTTTTAATTTTTGAAAGTGAAAGATTCATTAAATTATTAAATTTAATAATATATTAGAATTTCAGTGTATTATTTGTAATATTATAAAACACAGAATAAAGTTCAAGAGTTGCAATAAGACGTTGTCTCACGATTTTACTATAATTCTGCCGAGTTGAATCGCCAACAAAGTTGCAGTTTTAAGTCTCAACCGTCTCAACAATGAAAAATCTATATTTACTTGGGATGAATCTGAGATCTATTAAAGATATTGCTTCAATGACATGTTCAACAGTGTCAAACTGTAAATTTTAGCAAAATGAAGAGAAAGTTACCAAGAATGTGGCTGAGATTTAAACCTGCAGTGGCGACACTCTTAAGTCACATGAACTCTAGCTTATTCCCAAGAAAATAATTGTTATGAAGCTGTGCACGGGTGGTTTTTAGGATCGTAAGGCCTGGAGGCGACTCTGCATCTCCTCGAGCTCTTCCTCGTTCTCACTCTCCTCGGCAGCGGCGGCAGGCACTTCTTCTTTCACCACATTCGCCGTGGGCGGGAGAGGAGCCTCGCCCAGTTTTCCCTCTGTCAGCTCCCATAATACTTTGTCCACCTCGCCCTGGGCCTCCTCCTCCATCTCCTCAGTGTCCTCCAGCGACTCAAACGTCTCCTCCATCATCTCTTCGATGATGCCCGCCTTCATCATCTCGCGCGACATCTCCCTCATTGCACCCGCCACTTCGGGGAGTCGGACAAGGCTCTGCATGGCCGCCATGACCTCAGTGGACTTCTGCAAAGAGCCAGCTACTCGCAGAGTCGCCAGCTGATTCTTCATCTGCAGCTGAACGGAGTTCAAGTGAGCCTTGCTCGTGTAGATCCGCGTGATGGCTTTTCGCGCGCGCAGAATCTCTTTGGCGAGGATTGTACATGTGTCCCGATCGCCCTTCTTGGCCGCCTCCTTCAGAGCCCTCTTCACTTTCTCCTCCTCTCGCTGAATGCCCCGAATTTGCCTGTCCAGTTGATGACCTTCCTTCCTCAACTTGGACGACCATTCGTTCACCTGCAAACAAAGACAGTGTCATCAATCATCTCTCAGTGTTTCCCTTGAAGGTTCGTCTTACTTGTTCTTTGGGATCCCGCTGACTTGATTTCCCGAACAAACCCATCTTCGCAATCAATTATCACTGAACAAGAGCGAAATTTGCAAATTTCTGACTCATCGACCCTCCAATGTTTTGACAGCTTCGAGGTCGCCAAAAAGTGCTGAAAAAACTGCTAGAACGCGGAAGCGTGGTTATGTTGAACACGAGCGAACCGCAGTTGCATCATCAAATGCGTCCTAAATTTTAATAAAACGCGCAGTTTTGGGGACAAACTTAAGTGAAAATGTTGAAAAACAGTCGAAGATTGTCGTTTCTGTGTCTGGCTGCGCAGAGGGTGAGCCTGAGGACGGAAGTGCAGCGTCAAATGCTTAAAATACCGGGACCCGCGTGGGTGGCCCAAGTGCGAGGGAAGAAGGATGAATCCTCGTCTAATCTCTCAGCCCTCTTCAAGCCAGTGCCAGTGAAATCCAATCCTGACGACATTAACATTGGAGCTGAACTCACAGGCAATCTTGACAAGGCAGAACTACTGAAAGTGCTGAATAAATTCAGCCAAAAGAGAGAGATAAAGATGTTGTGCACAGAAAATGGACTGGACAGTGAGTCTCTTTTGGGAGATCTTCCATTCAACTCTGTTGGTAATTCACGGTGTCTTTCAGTTTATTTGCAGCAACAGGCCTTTGCCAGTTTCCGGAGATACTGCATGGACGCGGACAATCTTCCTGCAGACCTCCACATAACAGTTAGTGACATTCTCCAGGGCGCCGGTCATGTCGATGACCTCTTTCCCTACTTTCTGCGTCACGCCAAACAAATCTTCCCTCATTTGGACTGCATGGACGACTTGAGGAAGATCTCTGACTTGCGGACTCCGGCGAATTGGTATCCCAATGCGAGAGCCATCACAAGGAAAATCATCTTTCATTCTGGACCCACAAACTCTGGAAAGACTTATCACGCCATGGAGAGATTTCTCACAGCGAAATCTGGAGTATATTGTGGTCCTCTGAAGCTCCTGGCTACAGAAGTGTTTCACAAGAGCAATGAACGGGTAAGAAGTGACATTTTTGTCTGAGATAAAGACACATTAGTGAAGATTATGGTTCTTTTTAGGGGACAAGTTGTGATCTAATAACTGGAGAAGAGAGAAAATTCGCCAGAGGAGACGGATCCCCATCTGTTCATGTTTCCTGCACAGTGGAAATGACGTCAGTAACACATCCTTGTAAGCATCTTGATTGTTGAACTTCAAGCCTGGATCATTAGTGAAATGTTTACGTTACAGACGAAGTAGCAGTAATTGACGAAATTCAGTTGCTTCGAGACCCTCAGAGAGGCTGGGCATGGACTCGAGCATTCCTCGGACTCATTGCTGAGGAGATTCACGTGTGCGGCGAGGCAGGATGTGCTGATCTCCTTCAACAAATCTGTGCCACAACAGGAGAGAGTCTCGAAATTCGCCACTACAAGCGCTTAACGGAACTTTCAGTAGAAGATCGAGCTCTTGGTACGCTAGAAAATGTCCTCCCAGGAGATTGCATTGTGTGCTTCAGCAAAAATGACATCTACGCCGTGTCAAGGGAGATTGAGGCCCGTGGAAAGGAAGTGGCCGTGATCTACGGTGGATTGCCGCCGGGAACAAAACTAGCCCAAGCAGCAAAGTTTAATGATATCAACAACAGCTGCAAAGTCATGGTCGCCACAGACGCTATTGGGATGGGATTGAATCTAAGCATTCGCAGGATTATCTTTTACTCCTTGATAAAGCCGACGATGAATGAGAAGGGAGAGAAGGAGATGGACACGATATCTGTGTCTGCGGCGCTTCAGATCGCTGGAAGAGCTGGACGATATGGGACTCAGTGGGAGGAAGGATTCGTCACCACGTACAAGGCAGAGGATTTGTCGACATTGAAAACTCTTCTGAGATCTATTCCTGAGCCTCTAACGCAAGCAGGTCTCCATCCAACAGCTGATCAGATCGAGCTGTACCAATATCACCTGCCCAATTCCACTCTCAGCAATCTCATGGATATCTTCGTGTCGCTGTCCACTGTGGATGACTCCTTGTACTTCATGTGCAACACTGAGGACTTTAAATTCCTGGCGGAGATGATTCAGCACGTGCCACTGCCTCTGAGAGCGCGATATGTCTTCTGTTGTGCTCCAATCAACAGAAGAATGCCATTCGTGTGTTCGATGTTTCTCAAATTTGCCCGCCAGTACAGCAGAAACGATCCCATGACGTTCGACTGGCTGATGAATCACTGTGGCTGGCCATTTGTCATGCCGAGGACAATTCTCGATCTTGTGCATCTGGAAGCGGTGTTTGATGTCATGGATTTGTATCTGTGGTTCAGCTACCGTTTCATGGATCTATTCCCGGATTCCAGAGCCGTGAGAGATGCTCAGAAGGAGTTGGATGACATCATTCAGCAAGGCGTGTTCCAGATTACAAAGCTGCTGAAGAACAGTGAAACGGCAACGTCCAACAACACTCCAGATGAGGACTCCTTTGAGCTCAACCAGAAGAGAAATCACTATCTGAGAGGACCTCGAAGTGGTGGCGCAATTAGGGGGAGATTGACTGAGAGATTGTTGGCCCAGGGACTCCTCACGCCAGCCATGCTGCAGGAGTTGAAGCGTGAGTGGAATGAAGGACCAACGAAACAATCAGACGCAAGTGACGATGATGATGATCCAAAGCCCAAGTCACGCTTCCGCAAGAGGAAGTTCAAGTGACGCCAGTGAGCTAGACAGGAATGAAGAAGAATAAAGACACGAGTCATGAAGGTAAATCCTCTATTTATATCCCATGTCACTTTATCTCTTTTTATGGTGCTAATCAGCTCAAAGCGTACAACTGGTGTTCGAGATCAAAGACGTGAAAATTTTACGTGATACTCTTTTACTTTTCCCCCTCGACACAACAGAGATTCGTGCATAGAGTGAGAATTCTTCACCTGAGGCGATCTGGGAGTATTCTTTCACCAGATGGCACAGAATGTGTGACCTTAGCGGATAATTTCTCAAGCATGGGTGATTATTACAATTTTGGCGCCATATATGGTCATCTTATGAGCAAGATCATGTAAAGCTGTGGAGATTGTTCGACTCTTTTACTCTCTCTGGGCAGTGCAGTGTCTCTGGAAAAGCTGATATTTCCTCTGTCTCTTCGCCGACAACCACACTCACGCATTCTTTCGATGAAAATATTCCTGGCCACGATGGATCTCGACGGAGTCTAAAATTAGACTTGTGTCTTACTGAGTTTTTCTCCACTCGTGAGTCTATATAGATGTGAAAATTGCACTCAACAGCTTTTCTCGCTGTCGTATTTAGAAATTTTGTGTTTAGAAATTTCCTGAATATTCACTTAATAGCTCTCAAAGGCTTTTTAAAATGCATAAAGTTCCTTTGCTGCCGATCATTTGGTGAGCGCTAAGGGGAAACGATGGCGAAAATTGAAAAGTGCCGATCACTCTTGCGGCCCTGAGCATTTTCGGGTGCTTTTCACAACAAACCGCGAGACAGATCATTCAGTTGCTCGTAGAATTTCTTGCCAAGTGAACGTCTTTCTCGTCCTCAGAAGGTTGAGTGGCGGAGAATATCAAATTGATTGCCATTGAGGCAGGTTTAGGAGAGCCTTTTCAGCCCAATTTCATACACTCTGACCGCCAGCAGTGAGTGGATTTTGGCAGTGACGACGAGATCATCCCTGAAAATGTTAGAGTCCCAATTTTGCAGCCTTTGGAGGAGTTCTGTGATACAAGAATAGATTGTGATCAGCATTGTCTTCATAAGAGGGCATAATTTTGGCAATTTTATAAGCACTTTGAGTCAATCGGGACAGGTATTTGTGAGCGTGTGTGGCGTGAAAAAGAAATATGTGGCATGAACTAATAAGTGCTTTTTTCTTCACGAAGCTTCTTCTGTGAAAATATATGTGTATCTTCTGTCTATAAATAAAAGCTTAAAAGTACGCACGGTGTGGAAGAGATATTTGTATATTGCAAGACATACAAATCAATATTTTTGGGCTCAATTGAGGCTGAAATGTGGAAAAAAGCGCAATAATATTGGAGTTTTAGTGCTGTTTGTCCATTCTGAGTGATCCATTTGATAGTGTTATTAATGTAATTTCCCAACTTCCACATTCTTCTATCTAAATATTTACATTGAAGTCCAATCGTGATGGTCAAATGCAGCGCGTGTGTGCGGAGGAAGGAAGAAAAGCCTCTGAGATTGAGGATATTTCTCCCTGTCGAAGAAAGTGTGACTTCGCTTGAGACACTTAAAAATAGATCTGTTATTAGTTTTTGAAATATCGAAAGAAAATATTTACCAAACACTTTATTGTTGAATGTCTCTCTCTCTCGTTTCACCCGTCAAGATGGAAAGTGTCGAGTGAGAATGGCATTATTCTTATGATCTTCATGTCGATTTTACGAGTTTCCTCACATTAAAACTCATAAAATCCGTGCGCTTTCTCTCTGCGTGCGAAATTTGTCACCACGACTGGCGGAAAATTCACACTTTTCCCCATTGGGGATCTCACTCTCTCGGGAAAACACTGCGTGAGTCACGTCATAGAGAAGATTCGATGGTATAAATAGCTTGTGTAAATCATGCGACAGGAATTCTTTTCAACCTCAACTCGCTCGTCACCTCAACACCTGTACACCTGACTTTCTTGACCAATTGCTTCAATAGCCAATGACCAATACTGGTGCTCCCTTTGCGCGCATTTCGCACATTCAGCAATGTGCATCCGAGAGGGAGAGGTTGAGGGGAGTGATCTATTTTGGGCGCAGGTTAATCATTTTTAATTATAATTGAGAGAGAGCGAGAAATATCTTGCGGTCGCGCAAACAAATCACATATTTTGCCAATCTTCGTCGTGGCTGTTTATTTTGATCTTGACTTTCTGTCTGCCCCCGTGGCTCTCTTGCACATTGCTGACTCTTTTTTGCAATGCAACATTGCATTTTTTCAATGGATAATTGGGGTGAAGCGAGACCAATTTGCCTGATAATGATGTCGACTGTGTGAACTCATTGAGTGTAGATTTGAGTCGCTTTGTTGACTAATTAATGATGCTGAAATACTCGATGAAAGCAGATTTTTCATCCCATTAATTAAAATTTGCTATATATAGAGTGGTTTTTACATATATAGCGTTTTTTTGTGCCATGAAAAGTATTGATTATTCGTTGAATGGTGCGAATGCAATGACTTTTTGATGCATCCTTTGACCGGATGTTTAAATAATAAATTCATAATTAATAGTTCGCAGTTTCAACAGTGCACTTATAAATAATTCAGATATTCGAGGCATCCTTCAGCAAATTGTCCTTTCTGTCAGTCCCATCATTGCCTTAATGTTCTCTCATATTGAAATTAATTAATAATTGTACATCCACTTGCTAATTGGCGCCGATTGTGGAAACTGAAAGTGAAAATGTTCTTCTCTTTTGCAGACTTTCCGGCGATTTGCCGTTCCCGCGTTCTTCCCGCAATCGAGTACGAATTGTACGAATGTATTTTGTAGTTCCAGTGTGAGCGCAATAATTGAAAGCCACGAGACTAGAGGCAGAGGATTGGTGTACGAGTGAGGTGTAAAAAGTGAAGAAGTCACAACCACACAGAGAAGATGTTCGGCCGGAGTGGTAACAATGCAGCGGCGGCTGGAGCGTCTGGTGGTGGTGGAGAGAATGCCGGCTACTTCGGAGCGCGAGCCACGGGTCCTCCAGCAGTTGAGACTGGTCCACGCGCGCGATCGGACATAACTGACTACCGTGGTGTTAACTTAGCGAGCGGCGGTGCAGGTGGATTACCCAGTGGATACCAGACTCAGCAACCACAGCAGCAACCAGGCCAATCTCACCTGTGCCAGCAGGATCCACAGCAGGTAACTTGGCGTGTGGTCGCACTGGAAATTCTCTGGTTTCTGAGGAGGCGAAGCACTCGCCACGTCTTCATCTCACTGTGTGTGACCCTCAAAGTGAAGAGATCAGAGAGGAGTCAAAAAATGCAGCCACGATCGTGATGTTTGCCAGAGACTCTCCCAATGAGAAACAAGTTGGACAGGATTTTGTGAACTTTTCGGTGGCAAAAGCTCATGTGAACCTCTCTCGCTGCTCCGCAATCTCCCCGTTGTGCCATCGTCGAACGCACTTCGACAGACTCCAATAGACATCACAAAGTGATGATTTTATTTTTATGATTCTCGCGATCTTCTAACAATTCTCTGGAAATTCGCGCTTTTTGTCCCGCTTCACGGGAGAGAATATTGTGACGGAATTGGGAAGCAATTTCGATCATGTAGTGTAAGATATTAACAAAAAATTATTTCTCGGATTTTTTCACGGTCAGTGGTGAGATCCGTAGATGGCAAGCATAAGCGAGTTTGGGCGATTAACGGTGTGAATTAAATTCCCAAAACATTTGCTATATTTTGAGGGTCAATATCGTCAATATCTGTGTGAATCTGCACGATCTGCATGACAGAGCGATGGTATAGAGAGATGCTGTAAATGAAAAGAGAGCGGGAGAGCAGAGTTTACCGTAAGAGTTGACTTTTTTCTGTTATCAAAATTTATAATTTTGTTAAGAATTTCAATGAAGATCGACAGTCAATGTGGGTCAGTCGCCGATGTCGCATCGTGAAAGATATTTTGTCAATTATCTGCAGTGGCAAAAGAAGCAATAATTTGCATAATTTTCTCTTTGCGGGATTTCTGTGCCAAATTGCATAGTTGCTTCGTTAGTTGATGAAGTTACTAATTAGCATTCACTTTTTTCGGCAACCATTTCAGGCTGAATACTACGACGAAGACGAAGAGATGGAGGCTGAGAGAGATTTGGCCGAGGATGCTCAGTGGAAGCGTATTCAGCAGAACACTTTCACTCGATGGGCCAATGAACACCTGAAGATCATCGACAAGACCATCGGGAGTTTGGAGACGGATCTCAGTGATGGCCTGAGATTGATCGCATTGATTGAGGTGTTGTCGCAGAAGCGTCTTCCCAAGCACAACAAACGTCCCACATTTCGCAGTCAGAAGCTGGAAAATGTGTCCGTGGCGCTCAAGTTTCTCGAGGAGGAAGGAATCAAAATTGTCAATATCGGTGAGTGTTGTGCGCGGCAAAGTGACCTTCTTCTCTTTAGTGCCCATTCATTCCATTTTTTCCTTTTCAATTTAATACACTTTTGGGTGTGTCTCAACCTGATCCGAATTCTCGACACTGTGTCTTCAATATTTCATATTTATTTTCTCCATTTACAAACTCTTTTTTACGATCACTCTCCGCGTGATCGTGTGATTGGTGAGCAAAGAAAATGGCTCATTTTTCATGTTTTCGAAGGGGGCAATTTTGTGTTAATTTGCAAAATTGCCATGCACAGACATCATAAAGCGTCTTGAGTGATTTTCACTGACAGATGAGAGAGTATTTTTCGATGTGCGGGGAAGAAGCGATATGCCATAAAAATTGACCCAGAGTCTTTTACGATAAGACTCAATTGATAAAATGCTCGCCGGCATGGAATTTAAATTATCTGACATCATACTACAATTTCAGCGTGATCTTTTAAACTCTGCGTGCCGTGGATTCTATGCACGAGTCCAGTAAACAGAGTGAGATTTGGTGTTGTGAGTCAACCCCATGGGAGGAGAGGGAATGAATGTGTGTCGGTTTGGCTATTGAGAAGATTTAGAGGGCTTCCAATTCACTGCATAGCTCTATCCTGCGTGTGCTTTGGCATCAAAGGGGGAAAACCAGTTTCTTCCACTTTCTGATCATCTTTTGTTGCACTTCTTGGGCGTGTGGTATTTTTACTTCTCCTCTTCTAATCCCTGGAGCGGGCGGACGGGAGTGCTGCAGTGCAGAGAGTGAAGATATTGGAATTTCATTGAGCACGCGACACATAATTCATTGTTCCTCCAATGGTATATCATCTCTTTGTAATTAATTGGATTCAATTATGAACGCCTGTTGGGAGATTCAATTCTGCGCTTTCGATGCTTTCGGGTGGAAATGGCTTCACCAAAGAATCTCTCATTGTGTTCAGAACTCGCCATTGTGTGTTTAGTGGAGAAGATTATACTGTAATTTATTGATTATTTTGATTTTCTCAGATATTTAATCTATTCATGCACTGTAATCCACTTGAGTTTCTTTTCAGTTTACTATGATCTTGATTTTCTTTTCCATTCTTTGACACTGAACTTCTCTTGTGTATTAATTATTCTGTAAAACATTCAAATCTAAAAGTAATTTCTCATAATTAAAAGCGACCACTTTGGACGTGGGCATGACTAGTTAATTCCACTTTCAGACTATCTTGAGCTCTTGGTATTCTTCTTCTTTTCAGCATGTTTCTTCAACAATGCTTTCAGCCTTCGCTCTGACTCTTAATTTTGTGTTACAATCTTGAGGATATTATGATGGTTTAGCCGTTCGATTGTCGCTGGAATCTTTTGGCTTTTCGCGGGAGAATCGCGAAAGTGTTTCTGTGCGTTTTGTGTCTTCTGTATGTATTTATATTCTATTTGACTGGTTTTAGTTGCTAATTCACTTTGACTTCTTTTTTCCTCGCATAAAAATGTTGCTATTGTTGTATTGGGGGATCGTTCTTTTTTTATTTATGTGTCATGCCCATTCTATACATAAAAGCCACAGTATTGTGGCGGGAGTGAGAGAGATATGCAAAAAAGAGAGTTTTATAACCATAAAAGACCGCCACTTTCAAGGCTGGAAGACAACAATTATAATATTTTTATGTGTGTTGAAGCCAGTGAACCACTCTTTGGGTTCATCTCCGTCTCTGGCTGTTCCATCTCTTTGCCTGCGCATGGAGAGAAAATGCATTATGTGTACATCATCAGTGGCAAAAGTATGTAAATTGGGCATTCAAATGTAACTAACCATTTATAATTCAAATGTCTTTTCGGCGATCATGTCTCCCTTGATGTCTCCTCGCCTGCTGTCGTGTCCGTTGATTTGGTGTAAGAGGAGAATTGAGGATTTCAATTGCTTGTTCGTGAAAGAGACTTTTTGGTGCGAGAGGGAGCGATTGATTTTCGCGAATGTTTCGCGATTTTTTTCCCCTTCTTTGGGTGGACAAAGAGAAGAAGAGACGATGTGTGTTCTCTTTTCGCTAATAAATGCTAAGGAAACCGGATTGGTTTGAGAGTTTCATACAATTCGCAAGAATTCTCAATGTGGTAAAAATGGGACTGTGATGTCATTGTTTGTATAAATGTAATTAAGGTGATATTTCTACTTTTGCTTCTGGCACGATGTGAACATTTTGGGAAAGCCACCTGTTGACGGGGAGGAGACAGGAGATATATTTTAAAGTGAGTGTTCTCTGCTCATTCGAGCGCGGAAGTAGTCATCAAGAGTTTTGTGCCCTCTTCCATTTCTTTTTTGTGTTTTACTAGATTGTATTGTTATGAGGATAATTTATTCCTCTTAATTATATCACATGCTGCTTTGCGTGCATTCTCTGTATGTTTGCCATCTATCAGACATTGGGGAAGAAGAGAGTACGAGGCGAAAGGGAGATTTTCTTGAATGAAGAGTGTGATGACTGAAGATGCTTCTGAAATTGTGTGTAGTCAAAACATTTCACACAGTCTATCTTCAACCTTCAATTGTCCCAAATTATCATACACTTTTTTCTGGCCTCGAGCCACCAAATGTATCGCTTTCTTCGTCAGCAATTATTGTGCTTCTGTGTGCCATTTCAATTGTATTCACAGCGAGAGACTTTTATCTATTGATTCAGGTTAAACAGAACAAAAACTGAACAAAATGAATAAATTCTCCGATGGAGTTATAAAAGATAGAGAAGATTATCACATGTGTGAAAGGTGAGGCAAAATCTCAATTAATTGCCACTATACTTTTCTGCATGACATTCTTCCGGCTCTCTTCCCCGACTATGTGATGTCGTTTTTTGTTGTGAATTAATACCAAGAGATGAGTTATAAAAACTGTGAACACTTTGTACGAGATTTAGTATCAATTTTCACGCATTATTACCGCAACAAATTACTTAAGTTTTTGCTTCGTTACTTTTTATCAATGAATTGTAGCGTGTATGGAGAGAAATGCTAAATCTTTCGGTGTCCAATTTGTAACACAAATTCGCGGCTGATGGAAAAAATGTGTGGTAATTTGAAGCATTTTGGAGCTTGAAGAGGAGAAAATGAAGAAATTCCATAATTACCTCACAATTGTACTCAATATAAAAGTATATATTCAAATTAGCCGAACCAATTTGACGTGAACAGTGAAGAGGAGGGAAGAAACATCATGTAAATGCATATAAAAATTATATTTTCCCACTTGTGATTAAACACTGCACAACATGCTAAAAGGTTTAGTGAATGAAGTTATTTTCATTGAACGCTATTCTGTCTCGCTCTCAGTGCACACATGAGAGCAATGAATTTTTTCTCTCTAATTACACGTCTGCTCGTCGTATTTCTCATTACGATGAAACTTACTCGGGTTTTATCATCAAATAATCAGCTCTGGTTCATTTTCACATGAAAAAGTTTTACCATCCTGAATGATTATGGTAAAATTTTATTAGTAATTGCACTCAACATAACGATATTTTTGTATGTTTTGGCTGTTTTGACGCACACTGTGGATCTGTTTTGATGCTCCGCATCTAGAAAATGCTGTGAAAACACCTGAACTGAGACATTCTGTGTGAATAAATATGTATGGACATTATTTAGGTTGAGTGGCAATAATTCCCAGGGTGTACTTTTGAGGTGTTCTAAATTAATTTATGTCGTGATTCATCATTCTATGTACTTCCGAGTTTTTTCTTTTCGCCTGTCCACTATTGAGGCATTTCTCTGAATAACACGAAGATATTTTAATGAGAATCTTCCCCTCTCTGTATTAATACAAATAGTCAGAGAATTTTCATGAAATTCCGCCCAAGCATTCCTCGTACCATGTAAAGTTGATTAAATATATTTCTATTTTTATCGTGTGACTCCCATAGGAGAAACTATCCGGTGGTGACGACTCGCAGTACCATTGAATATTCTTGTCATATTCATTTTTTTGTACAAGAGTCGCGACAAGGTGAGAATCGTGCAAAAAAGTTGCATTGAGAGTTGATTAACTATTTTGATAAGCGGAACGATGACTTGAGTCTTCTCTTTCTCTCCATTTTCTCTCTTTCTCTCTTTCGGGTTGAAAAATGTTTTCCATGGAACTAGAATTTCTTCGCTTGAAATTGAAAAGTTGCTGATATGAAGTGGGTCAAAAAGTGTCTCAGTGGCATTTTTCCTCTGCCTTTTGCTGTAATGTGTACATATTTTCACACTTATTGTGTGCGATGGGCAAGTGAAGAGGGAAAATATTTGTATTTATGTAGAATTTCTATTCTACTGAAAACATTTGTATTCTGAGAACTCTTGCAATTCCAATAATTTTTTCCCTCCCTATTTATGATGTGTTGAGTTATGGAGGTCTTAAATGTTCACGAGTGAGGAATTTGCAGTAATTCATCTTGGTTTCCCGCAGTCTGGCAGAAAAAAAATTACCTCATAAATATCCATTTAATTTTATATAAACTCGGCTATGACAATTATGTTTGGCAGAGGAATTGAGGCGATGAGTCGTCATTGGAGGAGAAAAAATCGTTTATTTGTGTTTATAACAGTCAATTAATTGCTGACCATTCTCCAAATTGCAGTCTCGGTAATTCAAACAACACTCTTTTGCAGGCACATGTATGCGGAATATGAGAGAATTGTGATATGAAAGTGTTGAAGAAACATGGCATTAACCTTGTTATTTGAGCATGATTATGATTATTGACTGTAATTGAATTTTGTGCAGCGTCTCTTGCCGTCCGTTGGATTGTTTGAAGGCGTTAGTTTCTATTTGAATTGGGTCAGATTTTCTGGACATTTTTCATAGCACAGATGCTCAATAGATGTGGAAATTACTCTCTCAATATGCTTTTCGAGAATTGTATATCTCCAGAGACTCTCTCTTTCTCTCTCTATGCGCTCTATGCACTCAGAGTCTGTTTGGTTGAATGTAAAAATATTTAATGTGTATAATGATTTAAAAGTGACTTTTAAGATTGTTTATTCTGAGAGTATTTTCAGACAATCTCAAGTTAAACATGCATCTTTATGTGCGTCCTCTGGCAAACAATTTCTGATCATAAAAGTCTCCCTATTTCATTGGCTTGCGTTGGAAGATATTTGGTCATTGTGAACATTTCGTCACTCCTTTGCCTTCTTAGTATTTCCAATTAAACTGAGAGGAAGCATAAATTAGCAATTTGACCGCAAGATTTTTCCTACGAATTTCACCTTTCGATACATTGATGTCATCGATGAGACATTGAATGCATTCCTCTGTGTTGACTGGCAAATCACAGGCACATTATTTGGTTTTAGATTGGCAATTATATGCTGTTGGATTTGGTATGGAGTGCATATTGATGTTTGTCCGTGGATTGAGTGATGAATGGGCCAGGTTTGTCATATAAGGCTGAGGATTTCTGCGTGATCTGGGGAAATTGAGATGTGCGTGTCACTTTGTCAGTAAGAAGAGGGGAAATGCATTGAGTTTTGCCGATTTATAAAGAAATTACAGTGTCGTATTAAATATTGAGAACAAGAGTGTTATAAGATCAATTTATGCTCTCTTCTTCTTTTGAGACACTGTAGTTATGACCCAAACGTGTGCATAAATTTGAATTTCTGTTAGGTTTCACAAATTTTGTGATCTTTCTAGTTTTCTTTTAGCTTCTGCATCATTTATTTACGCCACGAGTCTGTAGATCTGTGAAGGAATGAGATCTATTACTTGATTCCAAGTTGTTGTGGGTCAAATTTCCAATATGAGATCATGTCGCACATTTGTATATGAAGAGAAAAAGCCTTTTGCTCACTTTGTCACACACGAGAAGAACATGAAATCGAGAAACTCTGCCGAGTCCGACAGAGGCAATTTAAATGAAAAGGGGCTCAACATTCTCTCCATTTAGCATTTATGGCGAGAGTCATAAGTAATAAGTTGCCGAGCGCGATTTTAAATATTGAGACGTGCGTGTGTCTTGTTTGCAAAATTGGATTGGAAGTTGTTGGGAAAATTTATGCTTTCCACTGTGAATGAGATTTTATTTTATTATTGTGAATCTTCTTGGCAGACTCAACGGATATCGTGGATTGCAAGCTGAAGTTGATTCTTGGACTGATATGGACACTCATTCTGCACTATTCCATCTCGATGCCAATGTGGGAGGGCGAGGATGACAGTCAGTTGAACGGAAGTGGACCGACTCCCAAGCAGCGTCTGATGGGATGGATTCAGGGCAAGATTCCAGATCTGCCGATTGGTAACTTCACCACGGACTGGAATGACGGCAAAGCTGTTGGTGCTCTCGTGGACGCCGTGGCGCCGGGCTTGTGTCCTGATTGGGAGTTGTGGGATCCCAAGGATGCCGCTCAGAATGCCACAGAGGCCATGGGACTGGCCGATGATTGGCTGAACGTGCGCCAGTTGATCCGTCCGGAGGAGATGGTGAATCCCAAGGTGGATGAACAGTCGATGATGACGTACTTGTCGCAGTATCCCAATGCCAAGCTGAAGACTGGAGCTCCATTGCGTCCCAAGACGAATCCCAACAGGTGAGTGAGCATCCATTAATTATAGACTCAGTCTCTTGCAATTTTATTATCTCCTGTTAATCATGACTTTCCACCTTCTAATTGTATTGTGATAGTTGAAAAACGGGAGGAATGTGTCTATGAAGATTAATTCTCTTTTTGATAATTTCTCTGTTATTTCACATACAGCATTCCACCACCTCGGTAAGTGAGGAATGCCTTTGAGGAGAAATAGCAAGCAAATGAGATGAAATTGTAAATTTGCTTTGCCCACTTCTTGGCCGATTTTTGTTCTAATCAAATCTCCATTCTCTGTTACACACTCTCTAATCGTGCTTTTATCTCAGTGTTCACATGTTCTTTCTCAACACGCTATTGAAGTTGTAATTTATATTTGTTGCTGTATTTCAACTAATTGGCTTTTCTTCACAGTTCATCTCAGAGCAAAAGTTGTAGTGTAAGGCGGCTGTACATATAGGCAAATGCAATAAGAAGAACAAAAACAGCCATCGAGTTGTATGTTATAGGAAGAGTGAAGGAGAGAGGAACAGAAAACACAAGTTCAATGTGTGTTAGTTTTTCTTTTTAGTTACTAGGTGTTGATAATTGCAGTATTTGGAATTTTTAATTAGTCTTTAATGTTGATATGGATAAGAAATGTAGGTTGGCGGCAAGTTGCTTGACTAAACATGAGCTTCGATGCATTCTTACAGGGTACGTGCCTATGGTCCAGGAATTGAACCGGTTGGACCTGTCGTTGGGGCTCCGGCCAACTTCACCGTGGAGACATTCTCTGCGGGAAAGGGGGTTGTGGATGTGACTGTTGTGGCACCAAATGGGGCCTCCGAGAAGGCAGATTGTCGGTACAACAATGACAAGAACCTCACGTACTCTGTGTCTTATGTGCCCAAAGTGGAGGGGCCGCACAAGGTGTTTGTCAAATATTCCGGTCGGGACATACCCAAGAGTCCATATGAAGTGCGCGTGGAGGGACACGCTGGAGATGCGAGCAAGGTCACGGCCAGTGGACCTGGACTGCAACCCGATGGCGTGAGTGTTAATCGCCCCACATTCTTTGACATCTTCACTAAGGATGCCGGACGTGGAGTGCCAGAGGTGATAATTCTCGATCCGGCGGGGCACAAGACGACAGTTCCGGCCAAAGTCAGGCAGACGTCGCCGGATGTGTGGCGATGCGAGTACATGTCTGGTCATGTGGGACTTCACTCGGTGAACATCTTTTATGCCGGCAAGGCCATAAAAAATAGTCCCTTTGGCGTTCGTGTGGCACCAGGTGAGCGCTGAACAGAGTCATTTATCATCTTTGCTGTAATTTGTTCTGACGCCTTGTCGTGTTTTGCAGTGTCTGATGCGCGGAAGGTACGTGCCAGCGGACGTGGTCTTCAGCCGACAGGTGTAAGAGTGGGAGATGTGGGGGATTTCAAGATCTACACCGAGGGTGCTGGCGAGGGAACTCCCGAAGTGAGGATTATCGGACCTGGAGGAGTGAATGAGAATGTGTCTCTGAAGAAGCTCAATCCAACCACTTACGAAGCGGTGTATTTGCCGAAGAAGGAGGGCCGCTATGTTGCGATGGTGACTTTCAATGGCCAGGAGATTCCCAAGTCGCCTTTCGAGGTGATGGTGGGTCCACACAAGAAGTCCACAATTGTCGCATATGGTCCGGGACTGACGGGCGGAATTGTGGGCTATCCGGCAGCTTTTGTGGTGGAGACAAATGGAGAGACAGGAGCTTTGGGCTTCAGTGTGGCTGGACCCTCTCAGGCGGAGATTGACTGCACAGACAATGGCGATGGCTCGGCTCTGGTGAAATATCACCCAACTGCTCCGGGAGAATATGCTGTGCATATCTTGTGTGACTCTGAAGATATCCCCAAAAGTCCTCACATTGCTCAGATCATCCCCCAGTCGGACTTCCATCCCAACTTTGTGAAGTCCTTCGGACCTGGACTCCAAGCGAATGGTGTGGTGACGAATAAGCCCACAGAGTTCACAGTGGACACAAGAAAGGCTGGATCAGCACCGTTGGAGGTGAAGGCGCAGGATTCCAATGGGACGCAAGTTCCTGTGATGGTGAAGGACAGGCCAGATGGAACAAAAGCCTGTACCTATACTCCGAAATCCAATTTGCCACATACAATTGAAGGTAAGACACAGTGTTTTGTGCTCGATTCTTCTGTCCTTAACGCAATTTTTACTCTTCAGTAAATTATGGTTCTGTGGCTACGCCAAACTCTCCGTATCGTGTGTACGTAAGTGATCCTCTGGATCCCAGTAAAGTGGAGGTATTGGGACCTTGGGTGGAGCCTGGTGTGAAGCCCAATGTGCCGACTCACTTCAATGTGGACGCCAGGAATGCGGGAGATGGCGAGCTGAAAGTCAATGTGGTTCATGATGAGACGAAGATGGATGTTCCAGTGAGAATACTAGACAATGAGGACAACACCTACGCTGTGGAGATTACTCCACCTCTGACTGGTTCATACACCACCAATTTGACTTATGGAGGACTGAAAGTACCTGTTTCCCCGAAAGTCTTTGTCGTGAAGGCCGTGGATGTGTCCAAGATCAAAGTTGATGGCTTAGAACCAAGTGAGTATAATTTAAACTACCTTTTATCGGGTGGGAAAAGAAATTCATAAAGGGGATTTTTGAACTGTAAATCCCTGGTTAACATGATCATGATCAATAGCCGCTCCGGTGAATAGCCTGCAACAATTCCGCGTGATCTTGTCAGAAGGTATTGGGCGGGCGGATCTCGCTGTGACAATCACCAGTCCGTCAGGCAGCCGCGTAAAGGCGCATGTTATTCCGACTGCTGAGGGCTTCCTTGTGAATTTCACACCCACTCAACTCGGGGAATACTTGCTGAGTGTGAGTTTCGGCGGGACGCCAATCACGGCGCATCCCTTCCACTTGCAATGTCTCTCGGGCAGTGATTCGAAGAAGGTCACTGCCAGCGGACCCGGCTTGGAGCGCGGAATTGTGGGACAACCGGCGGAGTTTATGATTGATACACGAGGCGCAGGCCAAGGTGGCTTGGGAGTGACGGTGGAGGGTCCATGCGAGGCTGCAATTAACTGTCGGGACAACGGCGATGGGACTTGCAATGTGGCGTATCTGCCCACGGAAATTGGCGACTACTCCATCAACATCACATTCAATGATCAGCACATACGAGGCTCACCGTTTCAGGCCATTATCCTGCCACAGCCGAATCTGAACAAGATCAAAGTGTCTGGCATTGGGATTCAACCTCATGGTAAACTGGAGTGCTGTACTGAGGACTGATGGATGTTTAATTGCCCTCGTAGCTTCCGTTAGTGCCACTTTACCCCTGAAATAATTTGCTTGGAGTTATTTGTGTTGTTGTTGTTCTAAACTCGCTAATAATCTCAGATTGCAGTGTTTGGGAAGTCCTTCGCTGAAATGCGGAAGCTAATGCTCTTTTGCTTTTAGGTGTCGTCATGAATGCCGGAACGGATTTCACGGTGGACATGAGCAAAGTTGGTGGTGATGTGGACGCTAAGAAGCTGATGTGTTCTGTCTTTGATCCGCGTGGGAATATTCTGCCCAGCCAGATTGTGCCCAGCACTTCGAATGACACCTTCCAGATCATGTACACCCCATTCGAGGCAGGAAGGCACACCATTGAGCTACTCTATGACAATGTGCCAGTGCCAGGATCACCGTTTGTTGTACACGTGAAGAGTGGTTGCGATCCCAGTCGATGCAGGGCATTTGGACCGGGTCTGGAGCGAGGCTTGACAAACAAACCGTGCCATTTCACTGTTGAGACGCGTGGTGCTGGCACTGGTGGACTCTCGTTGGCCATCGAGGGACCCTCAGAAGCGAAGATGACGTGTGTGGATAATCGCGATGGCTCGTGCGATGTGGAGTACACACCCACAGAGCCGGGAGAGTATGACATCACGATCAGATTTGCTGACAAGCACATCCCTGGATCGCCGTTCAAGGTGTTTGTCGACGAGTCTGTGGATCCCAGCAAGGTGAAGGTGTATGGAGCGGGCATTGAACATGGTGAAGTGCGCGAAGGCGTGCCAACACACTTTCTAGTCGACGTGGGAGAGGCAGGTCCTGGGAGAATCTCCGTGAAACTCAATGCATCCGATGGGAAGACTTTGGAGAATGTGAATGTGGAGGACAAGGGCAATGGTCTATATGCTGTTCACTATGTTCCGCCCAAAGAGGGAACAAATCTCACGGCCAGCATCAAGTTTGCCGACCAAGAAGTGCCTTGCAGGTGAGAATATCTGTTTAAAAGGATACAGAAATTGATTTAAAATTAAATTTTATCCATTTTCAGTCCATTCGTTATGAGTGTCTTTCCAAAATTCGACACGAAGAATGTCAAAGTGTCAGGAGATACTCTTAAGAAGGAGTTGCCTGCTTCGCTGCCGGCTAAGTTCCAGATCGAGACGAAGAAGGCCGGTCAAGCGGACATCAATGTGTCGATAAAGAATCCGCAGGGAAAGGCTCTGGTGCCGAAGATGGAGGAGATCGAGGATGGGACGTACGCTGTGACTTTTGTGCCAGACGAGTGTGGTCCGTACAATGTTAGCATCAAGTATGGAGGCAAGGATGTCATTGGATCGCCTTTCTTGCTGCAAGCTCATCCCACGGGTGAGGCGAAGAAGTGCAAAATTCCCGAGGAAATTGTGAAGAAGGCCGAACCTGGGACGAAGAATCACATTCCGGTGGACGCGAGAGAAGCCGGAACAGGTGCTGTAACGTGCAAAATTGTATCACACACCGGAAGGTGAGAATGAGTGGGATTAGTGAGTGATATTTTGGAATTGTACAATGAGTTGTTTGGTGTTTCAGTGATGTGGACATTGATATTATGGAGAAGGATGGCTTCTTCGATATCTTCTACGTGCTGAGCGATCCTGGAGACTATGATTTGGACATCAAGTTTGGCGGACAGAATATACCCAATGGAACTTTCTCAATCAAGGTAGCGAAAACATACTAAATCCCCCTCCCATTTACTCTTCAATACCCCCAAAATGATTATATTTATTTTGAGTGCGAAAAATTATGCAATATACGTCAATAGAGTAGTGAAAATTGATTTATTTGCAGAAGTAATACCTTTGAGGTTTTCACAGAACTTAGCTAAAGAGAATGATAGAAATAATGTAAATTATTGCAATAAAAATTAAACAATAAAAAACGAACTCTTGGTGGCGGTGCAAATTACATAATCCAACATCTCTACATCACTCTTGTTTTTCTAGCTGAGTAAAAAGTGGAAGAATCACGAGAATTCGATGAAATATGCCGAGCATGTGATGCATGATCACTTTCATTTTTCTTTATTTTTAACGAAAATTTATTATTATTTTATGTTTTCACCCCGCTCCTTCCTAATCTCTCTATCTCTCGTGTATTTTTGTCATTTTGGTTTATTCTCACTTCTTTCAACACTCAAAACAATTAATCCATTTTTTTCGCCTCTTTCGAAATACTTAGCCAGTCTTTGAGTAGCGCGATATGAGAATAACACTATAAATGCTTATTTTTAGAGAAAACCAGATGTAATAAATAGATGAGGAGTTTTATCTTGATACAGATAAACAATAACCCAATTATTGCAATAATTAAAAACCTATTTTTACTACATTTTAATTATGTTGGCGTATGTTGTATAATTTTTTTAGCAGCAAAATAATATGATTTTTATTTACTTTAATAATTGCGCAGAGTGAATGATTTTGTTAATTGTACTAGATTGTGTGAAAAAGATGTGGAAATTTATTGGGAGAGTCTCAAAGGTAGGTGAATTATGCTTTGCCATGACACCCAGTGGAGAAGATCAAGAGCGAGACTCTTCCAAGGTTAATTTTTGCAGAGAGACTTGGACAAAATGGGTTGAAAGGATCCGTAGTGTGACGAAAAGTTCAAGTTCACTCGTGTTTGCTTTGACTATAGACAATCAATGGGGAGTTTTTGGTGAGTTTCGCGAGTTTCACTGTGAGAGCGGATATGCAACTTTCTTGTCACACTGTGTATTCTTGGTATCGTGTGGGATTTTTACACTGTGCCAGAGTGTGTCTCCACCTTGGAGAGGAGCATCATGTGACGATTATTATGCGAGAGATATTGGGTGGCGAAGGAATGCAGAGGATGTGCTTCTCAACATTTTCATGATATGTGTGCGGAGTGGGGAGGTGAAAAAAGTGATTGAGCACAAGCCGTGATCGTGATGTGCAGAGCCTGCGATCTCACTCTGTCCCACTGGGCGGGAGATTTTGTCTTTTATTAATGCTTGTGACCAAATAAATGGTCCACAGTATTAAATTTGCGACACCAGAGCATCGCGTCACTAAATTCGTCGCCTCCGGGATCGACGGTGATGCCGAGCCGCCGCCCTCGCTGAGCCTCTCGCGTGAGCTCTTGCATCAGAGGAGCATCGCTGATTGTGGCGGAGATGCCAGAGAAATGTGTTGGAGGAGAGAGAGATTGAAAAATGCTCACGCTGATGAGTGTGCGTGATCACTCGGGTCGATCGCGAGTGTCCTCCACGGTGTGTGATGGTGTCACAGAATCAAAATTCGAGAATGCTTCGGATTCCCCTGCACATCGTGGCGGGGATCAATCTGCCACTTTTGTATTTTGTAGTGAGTAGCCGATCCGGACAGTAGCAAATTTGGCGAGGAGAGCCAGTAACTCCGTGAGCACTTTCTTGGTGGTGGAATAAAAACTTGCGCTCCCAATTGGCCTGCGTTGTGGAAGGAGAGAGGAGTAAGCGAACGAGGTGAACAGAGACGTCCTGGCAGGAATTTGGGGGATATTTATGCAGTATTTAGGAAAATCATCCACAGTGATTTAATGCATAATTGCACGTGAGTTATGGGAGAATATTTTGGAAAATCCTACACTCGTGTTCCCGATGTCAGTTTTATTTTCTTAACCATCACTCTGAGCTTACTCACCCAACCTCTGACTGGACTTGGATGGTTGGATGACGGGCAAAAAAGTGTCTCGTACGAGAGATTATTTATGGTATCATCTTCCTACATGAAGACATCATTAGTTTTCTCCTGTTAAACCTATTTTTAGTGCATTAGACTTTAATGCAGAACTTATGAATTTTCTGGGATAAACTCATCAGCGCTTTATTGTGAAATAGTCCGGATATTTGCTGTCCCATAATTGTGAGTTAGGTAACACAGATTGAATAGAAGTTTTGAAATTGTGTGTTTTTTATATGACATTGCGAGTCAATCAAAGGACATTGTTGAAAGTTGTGCTCATTTTTTTCTTCTCGTTCTGATATTAGACAATAAATCTGTGAGGAAACTTTAAAAAAATTAAAAACTTCTTCATATTCAATTTACAGTTATTCATCATGAATTAAATTGAAATTTTTCGTATGATTAAAAATAGTTTTTGGCTCTTATCTTGCCATGACTTCAAAGTGATCTTCTGATATTTCAACTATCATCATACATAGTGCCAATATGTATGAAGATTTCCTCACATGAAAATGTATTGAAAGACACTTTTTGATGAAAATCTGTTTGGAAATTGCTGCTTGAGGCATTTTTTTTTGGTGCAACTGTGAAAAGTGATTTTATGGGAATTTTCAACATAAGTGGTTCATGAGTGTGGCAAAAAGAATCTCTGAGTGGATAGGAAAACATCCCAAATTCTCAGAAAAGCTGATGAAAAGCGACGACAGATTTAAAGTTTCCTCGCATAAATGTTGGTCCGATCAGATTGTGTCCCAAGGAGTATTTTTGGCTGTTTTCCTTCTTATACTGAAGATTTTCCTACATGAAAATGAGTGTTTTTGATACTTAATAATGTTGAGAAGATAAAAAGTGCCTCGTGACTCAGAAATTTTTCACTCTTTTCTCATTCTTTAATGCGGCGAGAAGAAAAAAAATCTTTATGACTTGAGATTTGTGGACGGTTGTTAAAAGCCCGCCATGTGAGAAGGATGAGGAGGAATTTCTCAGCAGTTGAACTTACGCGCTTTTCCTATGTTCGTAAATCATTAAGAAGGGGAGAAAGTAATGCTTTCAGCTGTGACTTGGCCACGGACTTTTTGTTGGTTTGGGCAACTAAACCAGAATATGTGTGGTGACCAAATAAACATTTATTGCCTTCCCAACTGACAGTGTTCCTTGCTCTCCGATACACTAATTCATCCGTCTGGTAGAAATTGATGTGGTTGGGGAGAGTGTCTATTTTTGTAAAAGAAAAAGTAAATTTCTTTCAGGAATTTCTCGAGTAATTTTCCGATTCGATTTAGGAGCAATTCTCGAAGCTTTATTGCTGCTATCAATTATTTTGGGGAGTGAAAGAGATCATGTAGGTTTAGTGGGATCAGAAGGTGTGCGTGCACAATGCCTTGGGAAGACACATGAAGAAGTATTTTTTTCTATTTTTAAAGCCATGTCATTCAGCCACGAAATCCGTCTTGGAGCTTAAAGCACATTGGTTGATGGTGTTTAATTTTTCTTTCATGAAGAACCATTTTGATTTGAGACTTCCTCTCGGCGGCTGTGATGGAATTTGGGAAGGAATTTCACGTTAACTTGTCACTGGGTAGAGTGTTTCGCGTTGCAACTGGTGATGGGGATATTTCTCATTAGCAAAAAGCTACATTTTATTGGCATATCACATTTTGGGATGTTCTTAAGTGGGTGGATGGAGTGTCTGATGAATTTCCGCTTGGAGAGCAAATGTGTGTGAGAGAGAGATAGTTTGTGGGTGAGCCGAGAGGGTTTGCGGAGGGAAGTCCGCCTATTTGGGCTTTAAAAATAACTGTAATAGTGTGTGGTTGGATGTGAGGATTTGCGCTGAAATTTATTAGACGATATGCCTGACTCATGGCAGGAATTTGTTTGTTATTCTTGATGCAAAGGCCAATATTTGAAAATTGAACATTTTGTATGGCGCGCGCTGTACGTGTCTTGTGGCTTGAAGGAGCCAATTTCTCACTCTATCCACGCTTCGGCCATAATGTGATCATGTGTTTCCCATCAAGATCGATTTGTAAGTGATTAGTGGACGAGGTGTCGTGTTCTCTTGGGCGTGAGATCTTGCAAAATTATGCTTCTGTGTCACCCAGAGTGACAGCATGATTGTCCGCGGGAGAGATACCTCCTCATGTGTGTCCAATTATTCAATTTATTCACTGTATTTTTATCTTTTATCTCGCAGGCTGTTGAGAGCATCCAACAGACCAGCATCACCACCACAACAACCAGTCATCATCAGCAATCTATTGAGCAGTCACAGACGATAAAAGTCGAACACAAGTCAGACAGTGAGCAGGTGTGTAGTGCTGAAAAGGACTTGCACTATGGGGTGCTAAATCCTCTTTGATATCCATTGCAGATTGACGAGAAGCCTGTTCACGCTGTCAACGGAAAATCTGACTATAAACTCAACAGCAGCAGCAACAGTAGCACCAGCAAATTCAGAACTATCGCTCTCGATAAGCTTCCTCTTCCCAGTACAGGTGGAAACGTTTTAGGTGAGTGAATTCATCTTATTTGGCTATCATGTTACGATTCTTCCACACACTCACGAGAGTATTTCACCGCACAAGAGGTGTCCAATGTGCTATGAATATACAGGATTTTTCTTCAGTTTCATTAGCATAAATTTCAGTGCGAGTGTCGCGCAAGATGATATGTTGCTGAGATTGTCCTGTGGCATGAGAAACTTGTAGACAAGCCCCGTGATTTATTGCTATACTTTGTGCCACCAATAAATTAGAGAATGTCTTTTGTTGTTTGCCAAAGTATTTCATAATGATAATGAAAGAATGGCAGAAGATTGATTGGTGAAAACTGAGTGCGAGGAAGTCTTCGGTCAGAGCATTTTTGCTAATGAATATTATAATATATTGAGGGGGAGGATATTGAGAGAAAAGAGCCAATTAACTTTTCATCACCTCAATCAGCCCCATTTCATATCTGCTCATTTGTACAGCTCCAACATACATATTCGCCTGAGTAAGATCACTGACCTAGTGTCAGATGCTGAAAAGTGAAAATAATATAGTGTTTTCTTCCGGTGTCTCGTGATGAATTGGGAAGAGGCGAAAGAGAAGCGCGATAAGCAATAATTTCTTATGTGAATATGATTAAAGCAGACATTGCAGAAGATGTGACTTAATTTTATCCCTCCATAAATACATGTACAACACCCACAAATTTCCATTAAAATTGCTCGCGAAACATCCAATTGCAATTGTGTCTTTGCGGTTGGGCTGTCTTGTAACAATTTAAACGGCATTTGGTGGCCATCCAGAAAACCGTCAAGATTGTGTCACCAGGAGTTTATTTTATTTTTACTGTGGCAGAAGAACAGCATAAACAATCGAGGCAATGTTCTCAAAATACAGTTTCAACTCAACCATTGCACAAGAAGATAGAAAGAGTGGATTTTGCAGTGATGATTAAAATGTGTGTCTGCTCATGACACTTTTCAATATGACTCTGGGTGAGCAATTAAATGGTTCTTATAATTGTCAAGGGTCTTATATTTATCGTCACAAACTTACCTACATATATGCATGTCGCGTGTCTTTGCATTTCACCCGAGTGAAATGTGACGTGTTGAAATGGATGTATGCTGAGATAATTCATTTGTCCCGCCACGGAATAATCACTCATAAATTACCTGCTAATTACTTAATTTCATCACTTAATGACTTACAGATTTCGTGTCCTTTTTTTGGTTCATGACAATAATAACAATGTTTGAGAACAATCTCTTTGTTGTCTGCTCAGCAATCAATCTCTGAGAAATGGTGTGTGACTTTTATATGGAGTGTTAATGCTTTACACAAGCCACAAGGATTAAAAGAGGAATCTCTTTAATTAATACAATAAATCTGAAATTTTCTCAGTAATTTACGATCCACTCCGATGACTTTATATTCTATTTTCCACCCATTAATTACGCGATGAGTTTGTAAATTTCATGCAAAGTGCATTAGTTAATTCATTAAATTGTCTCTACGAAAAGAATTTATGTGCAGCGTTAAGGTGATTTTGTAGCTGAGTTGGAAAATGGATTTGTAGAACACTGTGCGATGTAGCAAGGAGTTACTCTACGTGTGTCTCTTCTGCATATTCGCAACAGAAAATTTGGCAAGAAACTCTTGGGGCAAAACTTTACGACAAAACTTACTCAATATTTGGACTGGAAGAGCTTGAACTGTAGATGAATTAGTTTTCTGTGCAATTCAAACTATGAAGTTGTATTCAATACAGTGAAAGGGGTGAAAAGTTTGCTAGTGGCAATATTTGTGAAGCATTTTTCCCAACTATTAGTGAGAATAAATTGAAACAGTATGACAAATATTAGGTCAAATGTTTAAAACTTGAAAGCATTTGCATGTTTTGCCACAGGAATCCATATCAAAGGCGAGAGAAGACACTCGCTTTCAATAAACTACCAGATTTATTTTGATACTATAAATTAATGAATTAAATAATCCAAGACATTATTTTGTGGTTATAAAATGATTTGAATGGGGTGAAGAAAAAACTTGCGAGAGAAATATTTATGTGATTTTGAAAAGGAAATTATTATTTTTCCAACGGGCAATTTCTCTCAAAGTATGATTTGTCGATGAATGTGTGAGTGTGCGTGATGTGATCCAAAATTAAATGGGTTACAATTTAATATATTCCACTTGGTCTAATTTATCAACAAATGTACGACTTGTTTGAAATGGCATATTTTGTCAGATTCTCTTCATGCGAAACACCTTGATGATGCTGCTGAGGAATGCGACTGTATCGTGAATTTTTCTCTAATTGAGATTGATTCAGTTGACTTGAGAATAAATCTGAGGCTCTAAATTTCACGAATTGTGCAGTGGAAGTGGGGAAAAAGGTGGTGAATTCATGTGAGTTCGCATTGAACTTGTTGCCTGTCGAGGAGGAGTTTCTGTGGCTATTTTGGAGTGAGAGATTTTGCATTTGGCAAAAATTTGTCTCCCACCGTCTAGAGAGTGAGAAGAGATATGATTTCTTCTCAAGAATTCCTCATCGATGTCTTGATCATTGACGTATCTGGTTATTAATTGACCACAGAAATTTCATAGTCGTTAATCATCAAAATGTTCGCGGTGTGTTTGGGTGGGAAAATGAGCCAGAAAGTCATTCAATTTTAGCCACTTTTTCACTACATAGTGGGATTTTAAAGGGGGGAAATTGACACTGAAATGAGTAGTTTAGCATTGAAATTTCCCTGTGCTTCTGCACATATACGAATGTGGTGGTTAATTATGAAGAACTGTGCTCACCCTTGAAGACTGAGAGGCTCTCGATAAAAGCATCATTAAATTGGTAAATTGTCATGAAAGTCCTCAGAAAGTGACTTATGAGATCTCTCAATGTGATATCTGGCAAATTTTACACGAATTTTCTGCATGGCGAAAGGATGAGATACATGTTTTCCCGCGCAATATTTATATGGGTGGATGCGAGATGTTGCATTTATCGCACGGAGATGATCGCGTGCGAAAGTGGCGTGATGAAAATCAATTGACAGCTGTTCGGCAAATGTAGCTAATTTTGAGGGATGTGCACGGAAATTGTTTAGAGATTTTTGTTGCTTGACGAAATAATATAATCTGTGAGATTATTGACATTGAGAGATCATAACCACACACATAAAGAGAGAGAGAGATATGAACTGAAATTTTAGTGTATGATTTACATAGCAATATTGCCATCACTTCCAGGACCATCATCCTCTGTAGCTTTTCGCGATCGTAAAACTTTGAGTGCGATAATGTGCCATATTCTCTGATCTTGTGTGTTTAATGCTGCGATTGAGGGGCATTACAATTATTTTGTATTCGGTTTGCTATAGTGGATTTTCTGTCTCTTTGATTGTAGTATCTATTTTTATACAAATCTCCTTTTATTGTTTGGATTATGGGGGATTTTTTTTCTTACAAATTGTGTTGCTGAGCAAAATGTGTAGCTTTGAATCTCGCAGATAAATAATGATGAATTTCCTCGATCGTCGTGATCGCGCGGCTTCCAATCGCGATCGTCACAGTGAATTCCATTAGTAAATGAGTTGATTTGCTTCTGGGCGACTCACTCGTCATTTTTTTCCTCTTCCTCCCCACTCACGATCGTGTGAATTTCAGTCGTGATCTCTCGTGTGCGTGCGTCAATTAGGTGAGGGTGGTGGAGTTGGATGTGGGCATAAGTGTACTGCGTTTTGATTTGATGCACTGCATGTGTAATTTTATGCGCTGAATAAAAATAACACTTTCTTGGACACCCTGGAAGTCCGCCGATCGAGCTGATCGGGTGGCCTGAAAAGCCACCTCTCCTGGGATTATAGCTCATCTTTTGGCGTGTGCGTGACATAATATCAGTCCGTGGACAGATTGGGAATGTCTCACTCATAACTCGACGGTGCGATCGAGTGGACGCTCCGAAGAGGGTCCTGAAGTGTGGAGTTTCTCAAGTTTGTGCAACTATTCATTCAATTAAAAACCCCTGAATTGATTGAAATTCTTGCAAGTGTTGAAATTTCCTCCTTTATTAAATTCGCTGGGAGATTTTTCTGCTCAGGAAATCATTTGGCAAAAAGATAATTTCATCATGATCGTGATCCTCATGAGTTCTTTTTTTATTAATTCCCACAGCAGTTGCTAGAAATTCATTATAGACATAAAAATGTTGATTTGTCACGTATAAAATGACACAAATTGGAATATTTGGGAAAAATCTAAAATTGGATTCACTCACTAATTGGCGATCATCTCCTGGTGTGAATGCGCATCTCTCGTGGAAAAAGAATATTTTCTGAGCGGAAAATCTCACGCGATTTAATTCCAATCTCTTCACATCGGTCTGTGCCTTCGACACGATCAAAAGTGTGCACGTGAAGGGTGGAAGAAGAGGAGAAAAGTGCCTTGCGGTGTGGACAAGTCGTTGAAGAGGAGGTGTCACTAGTTTAATCCTTTTTGGGCAGTGTATAATGTGGGGTGCAGACGAGGAAGAGGAGCCAAAAGAAGCAACATGGGAGGAATATAGTGTTCTCTTCAAAGACTTTTATCGTCACATGACCTTTTCGGAATACGACAAACCGGAAAATAATATTGTCTTCATCCATGAACATGAATTTCCTCAAAATTCAGTGAATGACGCCTTCTCCACGATCATCTCTAATTATACAATTCACACCCATAAAGGTAAAGAAGTCTTTCCCCTTGCAAATTACAGCTTGAGCGCTGATCCTAGGATATGGAAAATCTCATTCAATCTTCTATCTCGGCCAATTAATCGACTGCATTTCGCATTGGAGAGATTATTGCGAAATTGTGTGTCTCCTGCGCCCTCGCGATCGGTCACGGTGGGTCCATGTTCAAAAATAAGAGCAGTTTGAGGGGCGCTCGAGACGAGTGCGCGGGAGAGTTGAGGCTCGATTGGCGGGGACTGGAACTGAATGGCTTATATGTGATGTTTGAACTAAATGTGACCCAATGATCTAAATTTATGTTCTGTCGCTAGCGAGCATCGTGTTCTTTTTTGTCGCACGGAGAGCCTCTGCCAATTGGGGGGCCCCCAGGGCACCCACAAGCTGGGCGGAGAGAGAGAAGGAAGACACCCGATTTGTCTGGGTGGGAGTGAGAAAAGGGAGAAGAGTGTTTGCGCGGTGATCAATCATAAATATATGCTCAATCTGTTGAGATGTGTGGGCGGAAAATCGCTGTCGTATAGCATGAATATCGCCCAGGAGGAGGAGAGAGAGTCATTGCGAATGTGGAGGATGGAATTTTACAGATTTTCAGGCCGTGATCTTCAATCTCATGAAATGAGTCATCTCTCTGTCTCTTATCCTTACAGCCGAAGTGAAAATGCCGTCTGGAAATGTGGATAAGCCGGCGATTGAGGATAATCGCGATGGCACGGTGTCCATCAAGTACGATCCGCGCGAAGAGGGCATCCATGAGCTGGCCGTGAAGTACAATGGCGAGCATGTGCAAGGAAGTCCCTTCAAGTTCCACGTGGACTCCATCACGTCGGGCTACGTGACTGCCTACGGACCGGGTCTCGTTCACGGCGTGAGTGGTGAGCCAAGCAACTTCACGATCTCGACGAAGGGCGCGGGAGCTGGTGGCTTGTCGCTGGCCGTGGAGGGTCCCAGCAAGGCGGACATCACGTATAATGACAACAAGGATGGTACAGTGTCGGTGTCTTATCTGCCCACGGCGCCCGGCGAGTACAAGATCTCCGTGCGATTTGGCGACAAGAACATCAAGGGATCGCCATTCTTTGCCAAGATCACCGGCGAGGGGCGGAAGCGCAATCAGATCTCGGTGGGATCGTGCTCGGAGGTGACACTGCCGGGCACCATCACGGATGCTGATTTGCGGGCACTGAATGCGTCCATTCAGGCGCCGAGTGGCCTCGAGGAGCCGTGCTTCCTGAAGCGTCTGCCGACCGGCAACATTGGCATCTCCTTCACGCCGCGCGAGACTGGCGAGCACACGGTGTCGGTGAAGAGGATGGGCAAGCACATCACCAACAGCCCCTTCAAAGTGAATGTGTGCGAGCGTGAGGTGGGCGACGCCAAGAAGGTGGTGGTGACGGGAAATGGACTCAAGGAGGGCCGCACTCACGTGGAGAACAACTTCTCCGTGGACACGCGCAACGCCGGCTTCGGTGGCTTGTCGCTGTCCATTGAGGGGCCCAGCAAGGCGGAGATCCAGTGCATGGACAAGGACGATGGCACTCTCAACATCAGCTACAAGCCCACGGAGCCCGGCTACTACATCGTCAATCTCAAGTTTGCCGATCATCACGTCACGGGATCGCCGTTCACGGTGAAGGTGAGGTGGAATTGTTTGCAATGTGTTTTTTTGTGTTTTGTGCAGGGCAATAATTGGATTTGCAGGTGACTGGCGAGGGCAGCAACAGGCAGCGCGAGAAGATCCAGCGCCAGAGAGACGCCGTGCCCATCACTGAGGTTGGCAGTCAATGCAAGCTGACGTTCAAGATGCCCGGCATCACGTCTTTCGATCTGGCTTCCACGGTCACGTCGCCTGGCAACGTGATGGAAGATGCGATGATCCAAGAGGTGGAGGATGGCCTGTATGCAGTGCACTTTGTACCGAAAGAGTTGGGTGTGCACACGGTCTCTGTGCGCTACAAGGACATGCACATCCCTGGATCACCCTTCCAATTCACTGTGGGCCCGCTGCGTGACTCTGGGGCACATCTCGTGAAGGCCGGCGGCGCCGGCCTGGAGCGTGGCGAGGTGGGAGTCCCGGCGGAGTTCAATGTGTGGACACGCGAGGCGGGCGGCGGCGCTCTGGCGATTTCCGTCGAGGGTCCCAGCAAGGCGGAGATTGAGTTCAAGGATCGTAAGGACGGCTCGTGCGATGTGTCGTATGTGGTGAGTGAGCCTGGAGAGTATCGCGTGGGACTCAAGTTCAACGATCGCCACATCCCCGATTCGCCGTACAAGGTGTACATTTCGCCGGCGATGGGAGAGGCGCACAAGCTCGAGGTGGCGCAATTTCCGCAGGGCGCTGTGCAGGCGGACACGCCGGCGCAGTTCATCGTGAGGAAGAACGGCGCCAAGGGTGAATTGGACGCAAAGGTGCTGGCGCCATCCAATCAGTCCGATGACTGCTTCATCCAGCTCATCGACCAGGACACCTACTCAGTGCGATTCTACCCACGCGAGAACGGCATCCACGCCATTCACTGCAAGTTCAACGGCGTTCACATCCCAGGATCGCCGTTCCGCATCAAGGTGGGCAAGGATGTCGCTGATCCGGCGGCCGTGCATGCGTCCGGCAATGGGCTGCACGACGTGAAAACGGGCGTGAAGACGGATCTCATCATAGACACGTGCAATGCTGGAGCCGGAACGCTTGCGGTGACGATTGATGGGCCGTCCAAGGTGTCCATGGACTGCACGGAGGTCGACGAGGGCTACAAAGTGCGCTACACGCCCCTCTTGCCAGGCGACTACTACATGTCCATCAAGTACAACAATATGCACATCGTGGGATCGCCGTTCAAGATTACCTGCTCAGGTGCGTGTGTGTGTGTGTGAGGAGCCGCATTATGTCTCAAGTGTTATCTCACAATTTGCCTTATCTTTCGTTGTGCAGGTGATAAACTGGCTGAGGAAGGCGCTCAAGAGACGTCATCAGTGATCGTTGAGACGGTGCCTAAGGTGTCCAAGGGCGGCAAGGTGGCCGGCCCCATTCTGCCCATCTTCCGCTCGGACGCCTCCAAAGTGCAGTCCAAGGGCATGGGCCTGAAGAAGGCTTATCTGGGCAAGCAGAACCAGTTCACGATCAACGCAACTGACGCGGGTGAGTTGCGTGCGATGTCGCGTGCAATGGGTTGATGATGATACAATGTGCGATTTATAGGCAACAACATCCTGTTTGTGGGCGTGTACGGGCCGAAGGGGCCCTGCGAGGAGGTGTACATCAAGCACACGGGCCGTAATACGTACACGGTGAACTATGTGGTGCGCGAGCGCGGCGATTACATCGCCATCATCAAGTGGGGCGACGATCACATCCCTGGGTCGCCCTTCAAGGTGGAGGTATAGGAGGAGGACGAGCATCAGCCAAGAGAGACACCCTTTGCACACTTAAGAGAGACATTAATCATCGAATATATTCGTTCCTTTTTGACCCCCTCCACATCCCTTGTTCTAAGCCACTCTCTCCGCAAAGTGCGCGCACGCGACGGGAAAAGAGGCGCGCAAGAGATTCTCGAATGATCTTCAATCTCTATTACACACTTTTGCATATCACAAGACTCAAAGAGATGATCAACCTCTTCTTCTGGCTTTTGGCAGTCTCGCGTGAGAGAGAGAGAGAGAGGATAATTGCAATTGAGGAAAAATTAATGATAGTGTTTTAAGTGACATACAATTTAGTGCCCACTTCCTTTATACATTTAAGATTGTAATTTACAGCAAATTTATTGTATTATTGTAACTTCTAGGAGGAGAATAAATTTATTAAAAGTTTACCAGATGTTTCAAAATTTTCGCTGCTCATTGAATCAATTGTTCGCCCTTTATAAGAGCTGTCGCGGAATATAAAAAAATAATGCAATTATCGCCTTTATTACCGCTGAAAACCTGTATAGTTGAATGGGAAATAAGCAAAAATAAACTGTAAGATGGGAAAAATGCCAATTCATTTTAATACTGCAAACTGATTGACCTTCTCAATCTCCCAGAATGTCTTCAATTATTCCTCATTCGCTGTTATTCCTACCATGACATCACCAACACTGCGATTCCGTTCTTCATTGCGGAAACCTTGTTGTCTCTGCGTTTTTCCAATGACATTATCTATGCAAATTGCTGAAGAAGGCGACGCATAACAAAAACACTGAATAGCAAATTGGGTTTGTTGGGTTTTTTTCCTTTTATTTACATGACATAGAAATCTTTACAAGATTCGCAATACATTAAATTCAACGAAATTTTTTTCTTCTCTGACACGTGACGAAGGCGCGCGCGCAATAACGTGAAAATTAAATACTCAGCGTGTTTGTGAAAGGATGATTGCGGAAAAACTGCGAGTGAGTGAAGAAGATCACTCCGAAAATTGCTCAAGTGCTCCTGACCTCGGCTCAGTAGATGATCTGCGTTGTTCGACTGGCTGCCGACGATGTGATGGCCTCCTCGAGGTTTGAGTCCAGCTTTCTGTATGCCGCCGTGTGTTTTCGCCGGCCGCGGCCTTGGCTGGAGCGCCGGCCCTCGAGCACCAGCGCCAGCACCTTTGTCTTGTTGTGGTACACCACGTACGCCAGGATGCACACGGCCATCAGTGCCATGAAGTAGGTGAAGAAGTTTGACTTGTCCGGATCCTGGAACGGATCAGTCTCCACGAGTTCCATCTTGTTGTCCGGCACGGGAACATCCTTCACCACATCGCTCTTGTCGAAGGGCAGCCCAGCGTCGCCAGCGTCCAGATTGTCAGGGTCGTTCTTCCGTCCAACTGCGTCTTCCACATTGCCATCGGAATACTCCTCAAGGTTGCCATCCTCGTCGATTTCCTTATTCTCAAGGGGATCCTCGTCCTCCGGTCGCAACTCCGGGGGATTCTTCACCTCCTCCGGCGGCTTGGGATCCTCAGGGGTGGGTTGGTTACTCGTTTTCTCCTCCGGATGAGTCTTCGGCACCTCCACGACGGGTTCCTTCACCTTCTCCGCCTCCTTGCTCGCCACGGGCAGCTCTGCGGCTTTCTTCGGTATCTCTGCGATAGCCTTGGGAAGCGTTGGACTCCCCTCAGTGGAGGGTTTCGGCGGCATTGGAGGCATCTTCAGTGGAATCTCCACTTTGTCAGCAGAGCCTCCGGAAGGTGTCATCGGAAGCTTCTGATTAGCCTCACTGCCTTGACTCGTTGTGTTACCCACAGTGATGCTGGTCTTCGCCTCCTGGACAGCGCGGAGGCCCTCCTGGGTGGCAGCCGGTGCAGACATCTCTCCCACCGAAGGAGGGATCTGACCAGCTCTCTGTACATCCAATCTCCACAGAATAAGTCTGCACAGAGGGTCCACGTACTCACTGTCCGCCCCGTCGTACTTCCTGCACTTGATCTCGCAAGAGCCCACTTTGGGGATGAAGTTCTGCACTGGATACTGCAGCAAGCGCCCACAGAAGTCCTTAGTGTTGGGCTCCGGATGTGCCAACACAGCCTTGAACTCGTCATTGCTGATCACTGTGGTTGAGTCATTCTGCACAACGCTCAAGTATAGATCACAGAGTTTCTTCTCCGCCGAATTCTCTTTGGGTCGCTTGCATTCATCCAGGACGGACAGGAGGATATCGTCGTGCAAGGGATTCACGGAAGGGACGACCGGATGCACGGGCCCGGAATTCGCAGTCAAAACAATACTGGCCAGCACTATTAATAGATTCCACATATTGCGTCTGTCTGATGTTACACCAAGGAGGAAATACCACGATTCATACTCTCAATTTATGGCTAATATTAAGAGCAAATCACAAAAATACCGAGATTAGATTGTAACTCTGTGGCAATTGTTTGACATTTTCTCAGAAGCGACTGCAGCGCCACGAGTGTCGGACATTACCTTCATGCACATTCAAACTAATTCCCGCAGTCATCGGCCATTCACATCTAAGTGGAAACGAGTAAAACTCCAATTTTGATATTTATTGTTGTAAAAAAGAAGAAAAACGTATAAATTAATAGTAATTTGGCAATTTCTATTAACATCTACTTCATATCATTCAATAAATTAAAAATTAAACGTTAATTAGGTTCAATATTGTGTTTTTTTTCTCTTAATTCTTAATCATGTCACATCGATAGTTCACAATTTTATTTTTTCTTCTTCTTCTAGTATTACAAAAATCTCTCCGCGCGCGCACAACACAATAAATATTTTTAGAGGCTCTTTCACATAATTTTTCACGTCGTACAGAGAAATTGAGGCATAATGCAGCAGATAATTCTCACTTTAATAACCTTTTATAAAAGAAAACATTACAACAGGATCATTATTTCACGTTGTCTCAGTTTTAATGCTCAAAGAAGAAGAAAAAAATCATATTAAATAATCTCCGGAAGGGAGGGAAAATGCGAAACAGTTGAGCAAATAAATTATAATTAAATTCTCGGCAACTATTTAGCTCTATTATATCGATTATTATGTTCTGTTTTTCATATTTTTTTACACATTGGCGTTCTTTCCTTTATCTATAAACACACATTCACGCACGGCATAGTGTGAAAAATGGTTATTTATCGTACTTTTTTTATCTGTCCTTTTTTTGGAATAACTTTTACATGAAATTATTGGCTAGCATAGCAAGAGTTCTATATTATTTCGCTTTATGTGGTTTAGTTCTGCTTCTGGGGAAACATTGTAAATTCATTCATCATGAACTTCATATAATCATTTATTTAGATCGGAAGAATGGAGAAAGGTTGTCTGGGAAGGATGACATCATAAAATCATACTTCATAACATCATGGAAAACATTGATATGATGGAAAGGCAAGCAAATAAGTCCTCAGCAATTTCATTCACATTCGCTCTGCCAAGTTTTAGTTTTACGTCTTGCTAACAAACCCTAAAAAATTCACATAAAATGGTGACTTTGAATTTCGTATTTCAAAATCCTTAAAAAAAAAATAACTTCATTTTTTGTATCCTTTCAGACAACCCAACCGAAAATGGTGGAGCAAAACTCATAAAACGCAATATGAATTACAAAATAAATATGAAAATCCTAAAATTCTAGCGATAAAAAGAAATGAAATATTCACTCAAAGGCGCGCGTATTGCTTCCAAAATCATGTACATATTTCAGTTTGTTTGTTTTCATTCGTCCATTCAGAAACAACTGTCGCGTGAGTGAATATATAAAAATTTATCATATGATAACATAAATGAGATTTAAATGATAAATAATAAATGAAATTTTAGGCAGGAACGACAATCTTCCTATGACTTTGGGCCACCGTTCTCATTTTGGAAAAAGAATAAATTGCGCAAAATTGCCGTTTTCGTTGCTGATCGCTTTGATTTGTCCGCCTTCGCGGCATCGTGACTCTTTCCCTTGGAAGACGACGATCCACACTCCTCAGCATCGTGCTCAAATGTCACCGAAATCGTCGGCTCATCACCACCAACTCCTGCAGTCTCCTGTTCCTCCTGCTCCTCCTCCACCTCCAGACTCACATTCTCCGGGATGTAGTTGTTGCTGCCCGTGTTGCTGTCCACAGACAGATTTCTGTGCTGTGAATTAGTCAACTTCCTCTGCGAGAACGTCATCCTCTTGTGTCCCGACGACAGGCTGGATGAATCCAACTCATCCCGGAATGATCGCTCAGAACTCCGCATGGATCGTCCACTGTCCACACTTAACTTGTCAGCTCCCAAGTCCTGCAGGAAGACGGCTGGTTAGACCATTTAGAGCGTGGAAATGTGCGATGGAGACTCACCTGATCGAGAGGTACGGTGTACCAGGCGTCGGACTCCTTCTTGCCGTCGATCACGTAGCAAACAGTGCTGTCGAATCGCACCCGCTCAGAAATGCCATCCTCACTCACGTTCGCCGAGTCAATGTGCTGCCGTGAGCTGAGAATTGATCCGGCAAGAGCTCGAGTGGACGCAGTGTCGTTGAGTGTGTTTCCGGACTTCTCGCTCACGCACGTCACCGCTGAAGCCGTCTCCGATGTACTCACGTCTGCCTGCACTTCCAATCGATGTCTGAAAATCGGGATTATGGATGAGTTTTCTCTGCTACAGAAATTGAGAAACTCCCAAAAATGATCTCAGGAATCAAAGCTGGGATTATCACAAATCCCAATCCATTTGTTTGTTTGCTAATCATTACGCCAAAATTGAATATTTCACCTCAACAGAGAACATCTTACCCGGTAATACTGCCTGCGAGGGCGGTTGTGGATTCTCTCGTTGATGAACTCACAACGCCAATACTTGGATTCTGACCAGAAACGCCCAAGTGACTCCCACTGGCCACACTCAGACTCACTTCACCAATACTCGTGGCCCCAATTCTTGACACAGCATCCACACTTGCGGCATCTGCAGAGAGAGAGAAACCAGGTCAATTTCGCGAGGGCGGCAAATCTCAAATTTCACATCATCGTGAAAATGTTTTTTCCCTCCACAACTGCAAAATGCTGAAGAAAAATAAAAATGGGAATGACTTGGGTGAAATTTAATATTCATACGGGTTGCAAAGTGTCACGTTCACTGATGAAAGTCTTGAAAAATTACTTTCCAGAATGACTTCACGATCATTAATACAATTTTTTTTCTTCATTGCTACGCGACGCTGTTCTCCTCTCACTGATGGTAGAATTTATTCTTGTGAGGTTTCTCACACTCCTACAAAATTTTGCATATCCTCCAACAATTTCCGTGCAATTTTCCTAATTTCACATGGGAAAAGAGAGGCATGAGTGAGTGTGTAGTCAAAATAATTGATTAAATTTCTGCATCGATTTTCATCGTAATTGCTCTCTACCCAAAACCCAACTCTAATGGCCTCTCCACATACATAATATTGATCAACTGCGCGAGGAGCTTCAAGAGCCTCCACAAAATCATTATGTTCAGTGGAATTTTCTGTAATTTGTGCGTTTCCCATTAGTGAAATATCACAACGCAAAGGGTGTGAATTAATTATTGACAGATTCAATGGGGGATAATATTAGAAGCAGAGCGCACAATTAATTGATAAAATGGAATGATTAAGTTGTTCTCGTCATTTATCACAAATGTCCCATTTTCGGCCCAGATTTTCCTCTCTCTCTCTCTGTCTCTTGCAAGACAATTCAATTAGAGAGACTGATAAAAAATTAACAGCAGCGCAGAAGTGTCGAAGAGGATTTAGACAGTGATTTTTCAATTACACAAGTGAAAGATAAAAATTACCCGGATTCCGCGTGGCGCTGTACTCTTCCTCGAAGTCAAACTTGAAGCCATCCTTGGTGGTGGACACACCGCATCCGGCCCGACACAGGGACACCGGCACCACTCCGTACACGTAGAAGAGGAGAATTGGGACGCCAATTGCCACAGCCAAGCCGGCCAGAACCGGTGCCACGAGGACCTGCAAAGAGGGAACACACGCAAATGAGGTCAGTATCCGTGGGCGGTGGAGTTTCATCCTGAAATCTGGAGCATTACTTCACATCGATTGACCCCATTTTGAGAATGAATCACACCCCCTCCCCGCAGCTTGTTGTATTCCCATTCATTTCCACAGCCGAGAGTGCAACATCACTTCGTAGTTGGGGATTTAGGTCACAAACTACGTCATCGTTGAGATGGGAAAAGGATTTCACACAGGAGAGAGAGAGGAGAGATGGGCTGGCAAAAATAGAGTCCAGAGAGTTTTACATCCAATTCAAAAATATATATACACAGGGTGAAGATGTGAAAATATCCTCTGGATGAATGTCTCCACCACTTTGAAGTGCGCGTCCCTCCTTTTCCTCGTCATCATTATTCTCGAGTTCACCCTCCTTCTCTCAATACAATCCAATTGATTGTGAATAGAAATAGAAAAGCAATTCAAGCAGGGAGAGAGAGAGAACAGAGGATAAAACGATACAATAATAATTCGTTTGAGAAAGTATTTAAGCTCAAGAGGCATTATTTTCTTGCTTACTCCACATCACGGCAATTTGATAAAAGAGTTAGAAATTGTCATGATAAATTATTCACGCTCTTATACACTGATATAGAGCTCAATGTGTAGAAGATCGACACATAGTGGAAAGCTCAATGGTTTTTCTAGCTCTCTTTTTCCTTCGAATCAGAGCACTAAGAGTAAGGCATGTGTCTCATGTCCTTTCCATGAGCGATAAGTCTGTCCTCGAAGTTTCCTTTTCTTTCCCTTTCACGTCATTCTTCGCCCACTTTTCACTTTCGTGGTCAGTAATCACAACATGATGACAAAGGACACAGCATCATGAAAAGCATAAGGAGAAATCCCTTCAACTTTTCATCATGAAGTGGCAATTTGGAAATCCACAACTGGTTGTGATATTACACTTGTTCGATGCAATAAAATTCCCTCCATCCACCCCAAAAAAGCTACCGCAAAGAAGTCTGCGCGCCCAACCAACACACTTCCTCCTTCACATCCACACCCCCAAAACCACACCACTTTGACTCCCTTATGACTCATTTTTACGATGATTTCTATCGTCGACAGAGTACGAGAGAGAGAGAGACTTTCCTCTGGACATTTTCCACACTTATTTCCCTTATTTCATGAGCTCTTCACCCTTTCCGCCATTGCCCAAATTCAATGATTTCCCAACTCTGAAGTGTGTTTGTGCTGTAAAAAAAGGGAGAATATTATGAATGATTTCCCCCAATTACATCATAAATAAAGTCGATAAGATTTTTACGAGGACACACATTCGGCCATCCTTCCAGTGTGACTCAAGAAAGACTATGACGATTGACATAAGACACACATCGTTCACCATCGTTCACGATGAGCACAAAATGTGTGCACAAAGCAACTTTTTCCCCTTCAACATGGCATAATATTTAGTTTGTACTTTATTAAAATAATAATATTTATTTAGGAATTCTCTTGTGAATATTGGAGTTGGAATATTTCCCAGAAAATTCAGGAAAATGTGTCACAAACATTGATGGAAGAGTGTCTCTGGAAAAACATTATAATCAATTTGATATAATAATAAGAGACATTAAAACTCGGAAAACAATAAAATGTTATTATTTTCGAATGACAGAAAAAAGAGAGAGAGAGTGAAGTTTTCTATACATGAAGGGAACAATAATATTATTGTACATTAGAATTATCTGGAATTTCGTAGAATTACATGAAAACCAAGGTGAAAACCGATTAACTCAAAACTACACTAAATTGCCAATGAATACCAATAAATATTGATCTACTCTTTTTGCTCCACCTTAATGCACTGCCATTACTCAATTCTGACCCACATTGAACTTTTCTAAAGTGCAAAATGTGAATTCTTTCCCATTGTCTAGTGCCAGGAAAATTTTCCACCAGATTATCCACCTGATAAGACAGCCAGAGAGCATGAATTGGGGAAGACAGAAATGTAATCAGAGACAATCATACAAATATTCATCATTTCCGGAGACAATCTGCCACACCATATTACCGTCAGTGATCGAAATCATGAGAAATCCCCACATATTGACTCAGTCAATGGGATGGAGTGGAAATTGTTGGGAGGTCAAATGAGAAAAGTGATGACAAACTCAAGATCGAGATGACATGATGATGAAATCGATTTTGCATGGGAAGAGTAGATACATGTACATCTTATGTGTCGTGAAATCATCTTGAATTACTCAGAGAAAGTTTTCCATCTAGTAACTGCACAAGGAAAAATCCTCATAGTTTCTGCCTCTCTCTATTCCTCTTCTCTCCTCTTCTCACTCATGCGCAGACATTGGCGGTGTCGCAAGCACTTTCCACGAGACACTCGCTCTCTGTCTCTCGCGGGTACATCCACCTTTCCACCCTCACCAACACCCTGGAGTTGTTGATGTTGCGCGCCCCACAATTGCCAGGCCCCGGGAAGAGTGGAAGAGGAGGATTTTCACGTAATGATAGGGTAAATATTGGATGCCACGGATATTCCCAATAGGATCACCTCATATATTGTTCAATGAGGAAAAAAGAGTACGTCACTCTTCGGGGATTATCATCAAAGAGGTCACCCAAGAGGGGTGGATGAGTTTCAACGTTGAAATACCCCCATCGAGCGAAGAGAGAGATTGGCTGGTGGATTGATTTTCGAGACAGTAGTATAAACTCCACAGCATATATGACCAAATGAAGCCATAAATTCCCACCATCATGGGTCATTTTATCCTTGGGATTGGAAATTACTGTCGAAAAAGCGCTCATTCACACGGACGTGGAAAAACCTACCCTCTCTCTCTCTTCTCGCAATTATGCGGAGAGGACAGAGGAAAAATACACACCCATAGAGTGAAAACGGGAGCCACCTCTCACTCTCTATCTATCTCACATGCCGAGCTCTCTCTCAGTGGGAGTCTCTTGGGTGGAAAATTTCTCTCAAAGTCTCCACTTCTGCACAGAAATGCCACCGAAAGCCAGTCATCGGATCGTTGCTGCCGTGTTCTGATGCTCTGGCGGAATCTCTGGTGATTTTACTGCCTCACGCCAGAGTGAAAGCAATCACAGTGAAGGCACTTTTGGACGCAAAAACCAACCCATTTTCTCGGTGGCAAAAATTCTCTGTGTTATTCTGTTTTTTGTGCATTCTCCTTCGCATTTCAACACTTTTTTGCATCGCGCATTCTACGAGGAGAAAATGAGGTGCTGAGAAGAAATGTTGTAGGATTTTTCCATACACACTTTCTCACACATCATCCTCAATCACGCACAGTGTACAAAGGATAGCGCAAGAGGTGGAATATTACCGTCGTCAATTCTCTGCAGACACAGAAACTTTTCCTGCACAAGTGCTAAAGACAAAAAAGGATACAGAAGGCATATTTTCACAATCTCTACAGCACACAGACATACACACTGTATCAAGCGGAAGGAAGTGTAGACAAAAAGTGAGTTTCACAGGATACAGAGGAGATGTAATAGTTTTCACAGTGGAAACCAGCATGAACAGCACATATTAATTTGTCAGTCTGAGGAAGTGGTAGAATGCCCAGTGATACGCATATTGTTCGCCCATGGGATGCGTCGTACAAGTTTCCTTTTCACATTACAAAACAGTCATATAATAGTTTATACATGAGATCCATAGAATTATTACATATTCCATCCCTGAGAGTTCCCGAAAACCATAGACATTCCGTTTTTTTTCTCCTTCTTCATACATTCATTGGGAAATTCGAGTATTCAACGAGACAACAAATGTCATACAATTACTATAGTGGGCGAGGGTGTTGCAAAAAAGGCATCTAAAAGGACAAAAGCGACAGATGTGCTTGTCTAGACAAGTAGCAGTATTTTCATTTCATCGTAAGTCTCTCTATATATCTACCCAAACTCCCCAACTACTCATGAACACGCTGTTCTTAGAGCACAATTCACTGTATATGTATATTTTGGGGCGAAAAACCACCAGACATGCTCTTCACCGAGAGCCACCCACCCAGGAACTTGCTGGACTTCTTGCAGTGGCACTCAAGTTTCGCGTACAACGAATGTGTGCAGTGTGTGATGGTTCTCGCCTCGAAAAGAGCATTTTAGGCCATTCGCCTTCCCCTCAATAAAATGTCTCACTCAGTGAAGCAGAGAGTGAGCAAGCGGAGTCAGTTAAGAAAAAAATTTCAATTAAGGCAATAAATTGTAAGAAAATAATGGATTTGTGTCATTCAATTGTGCCATCAATTAAATATCATCAGCCATTCCGTAATTTGAAGGCAGGAAATAGAGAAACTCTCTTCACCCACATTCAACATCGTCAATTTGCCATTTTCAATTCAGGTGCTCTGACTAGACACCCCTCATCTGACTTGCTTTTATGACGCATCAAATGCTCTGCTGGCGCTCAAATTAACCCATTAAAGCTCATTCAACATTGTAATTAATAATGTGATGGTGTGAGTTTACATCTTTTGCCATTTAAAATGAACCAGGGAATATGAAACCAACACGACAGCAAATGTATTAATTACCCTTTTCCCACTTCTCTGGGAATATATATTCTCGTGTGACAATAAAATGTGGTGTCAATTTTCACTTTTATCATCTTCGAAAAATCAATATTCCACACACATTGAAGGCACATGTGTGCGCGCTATGTCAGCAGTCAAAGCACCTTGATCTCCAATGGAGTTTACAGAGAAAAAAACATCTCTTTCACCATAAACGTTTTCTGCACGCAAATTCCATGTGACACAAGTGGAAAAACACACACATAAGATTATTTTCTTCGGCGATTTGAGCGTCTCAGTGAATGAAAATGAACAATTTATCCATTTCTTCTTCCCTTCATGCTAAAATAATTGTATGAATCCAATTAGTAAGGGGAATATTGTACGTGAAGCACAATGAAATTTCTTCACATCACCACCAAATAGCTAAATTCATACTTCCAAGCACTTCATTAATATCCAAAGACCGAAAATAAAATAGAACAACTGCGTGTGGTGGTTTTCATCAGAATCTGATAAGACAGCTTTTCATATTTCATTTTTCCCTCATTAACCAACTCAAACCACAACAACAAAAACACCCACCCGAAGCACCCTTTGCGAGGAAGCGTACATATCTCATCCGTGAGATGTAATTCGCACCAGTGCCACCGCATTAATCATGGGCGCGCACATGGAGAGCATTTTTACGTGGAAGCAATCGACGATATACAACACTTCTTAAATTACATTGAGAAATTAATGCAACGGTACGATGCAGGGAGAGTTCACAGTGGGAGAAAACTATTCTGTGTAGCTGTAATAGAGAGAATCTCACTAATTACTTACATTTCACACATGATATTTCCCCCCTGCCATTCATCATATACACGTCTAATTGACTCGCAAATTCACCCAACCACGTGGAAATTCTGACTCATCTTAAACACTAACAAAACACTGTAATTGTCCGCCATACATTTCAATTTCAAACTCGAAAGTCTAATTTCTCTCTTCTCTCTTCCCCTCTCATATTATGTCATTTCCCAGGAAGTGAGAATAATTTGAAAAGTTGACGATGTTTGCAGAAGAGACCAAAAGAATCATTTGAAGAATGACGATGACTTATCTCGAAGATTTTCCATTTATTCCCACTCGACAAACTTCTCCCCACAATCGTACAAATTTAATTTTTTTCTCCTCACAGCAATGAAAAGAAATTCAGGGTGGAATGAATAGAGATGAATCGCGACAAATTTTTTTTTCTTCACAGACTTTGTACATATTTTTATTGCCCAATCTTGTGCTCAATAGTCTCTTCTAGTGAGAAGAGGTGGAGAAATATTGTAATTTATAGATTTTCTGATAAACATCCTGTGTTATTCAGCCTTGACATTGAGACAGTGTGAAAACCAATTTACATTGACAGATAAGAATTTTCAATCTCATTTTCATTACCAATTAATTGCGTCAATTGTCAGACAAAGTATTCAATTTCAAATGCAATGCAATGCAAGAGTGGGTGTTTTTAGTTAGTAGAAAAAAAAGATGTAGACACCATTGAAATCATTGAAGTTTGCTCATCTGTAACGCAAAAATTAATCAATCTACGGTCGATTTGATCTCTCTTGTCTATTTTTATGTGTCCACATACAGCACATAAAATTATATTGTAATAACAACAATATTGCCGCTGCTTAGCCATAAGAGTGGAACAAACACGATGAGAGACACACTCTCCACACCCACCCAGAGGCGTCGTCGTCATCATGGGACGACGACGTCGTCGAAAGGGAACCCCAAAAATACATACGACTTTTTTTCCTCGCCTCTCTATACGCTTCGCATAATATTCTAAATGTTCTCTGTTGTATGTGGACATCCAACAAAAGGGGGGGATATTTCACTCTCTTGTTTCACCTTCATTCATTCAGTCTCATTTGCCATCTCACTTACACATCACACTCCCATAAAATGCTTAAATTGCCATCATTGAGAGCCACCCATCTTCAGTTCACTACCTCCGTTCTCGCAAAGTGGAACATCTTCTTCCGGGAATCTCTTCAGAGCACACTCAAATTGAAATCCAATAAGTGACACTGCTAAGACATTCTCTCTCTTTCTCTCTCTCTCTTTTCTAATCGCCGCAGCCAAGAAATTGCCACAATGTCTGACACCGAGGAGGATTCAGCCAGTTCCGACAGTTGGCCCGTGAATGAAGATTGGCTGATTGACATCATCAAGGAGCATCACAGAACCACGTCCAATGTCAAAATCACCGTAAGTGAGGGAAGGTGGATTGAGTCGAAAGAGGGAAATTATTCAGTGCCCTCATAAGCACTGAATGGACATCCAATGAAAGTGAAACTGCCCATCAAGCTCATCCTCTTCTCACTGGCTTTTGCAGGATTTCTCCGTGAAGCCCGGATCGCACGATGGTGTCAGCAATTTGAGTGACATTCTGGCAGTATCCGTGGATTATGACATTGAAAATGAGACAGCGGATGGTGCCCGTTTGGAAATCATCATCAAATTACTGCCTCACGACCCATTCAGTCGATACTTTGTGACAGAGGCACAATTTGATTTGCGTGAAATTAAGTTCTACACCAAAGTAAAATATTTATCCATTATTTTCCTATTCACTTCTAGACATTTTCATTATAATTGAGACCATTTGTCTCTGTCTTTTCACAGATTTTGCCTGATTTACTGGAGTTTCAGAAGAACTATTTGGCCACCGGAGAGACATCACTGAGAATATCCGTACCAAAGTGTCTCCACACTCACTACATTGCCGGCAATCTTCACTCAACTGGCCATCAGCACGAGGAGAACAGTCCAGAACCACCAGAGAGTATACTAGTTCTACAAGATATGAGACCTTTTGGCTACAAGGTATACAACAAAACACACCACACTTGCAACAATAGGCGATAAAGTGTATTGAAATTTCATATCTCCCCAACAGTCGGCACACTTTATCAAAGGACTAACACTTGAGGAGGCTGAGTGTGCTATTAGAGCCATTGCAGCCGTTCACGCCTTATCGCTGGGAATGAAGACAAAGCACAAAGTGGATCTCAATGAGAAGTATCCGTTCCTCTTTCAAACCGCCCGCGCCACTGATAGCTACCAACAGCTAGTTGAGCAAGGACTGCCTCAACTCACGCGCTTCCTCGAGCGCCAGCCCGGTCATCAGAAGGAGCTCCAAGCCTTGTCGGATCTTCGTCCCAACACCAGATCACTCATTGCCAATCTCTTGCAGCCCATCGAGCCGATGGGTCTCATCACGCACACTGACTTCTGGTGCAACAATCTCCTCTTCAGGGAGTCCATTCAACCAGAAAGTGACGACAACTGCGTCATACTTGACTGGCAAATGGTCACATATAGCCGGTAATTTTAACGCACATTCTCGCCCAAATCAACACACTAATAATACTCTCTCTTCCTCCACTCCATCAGGCCAACCAATGACATTGCCCTCTTGCTCATCTCGTCCCTTCCGTCCCACATTAGACGCGAATATACGTCAAAACTCTTGGACTTGTACTACAACACAATGAAGATAAACTGTGCAAAGTTCACAATTGACCTGGAAATTGATTTGCAATACGACAGGGAGAAGTTGCACAGAGACTACAAGTGAGATGTCCCTAAAATGCTGCCCTCAAACAATGTTTCTTATCATATATTCACATATTTTCTCGCAGGAAATCTCAACTCTTGGCTCTACTTCTCTGTGTAGGATCTGTTGATGTGGCAATTGGCAATGTGGAGGCTGAGCAGCGCTTACTGGATGTTCTTCAGGATTTCTACGCTGAAGGCGTTCTAACTTTGGAATCTGAACTTATTTAAATCATATAGTCACTCCCGTCAAAAGCACAAGAGCATTTCTTCTCAAAACGTATAATATAAATTAAATGATGTGAATCAAAAGAGACAGCTTAAGAAATTAATCAGTGGGAAGCGCAATGAAATATTAATTAAATTACATTTCTTTCTCTCCATCTCACTCTCTTTTTTTATTCCTCTTCCTCTGTCTTTATTTAGCAACGCTCAAAAATTGTATCCACCTAATTTTGAAGATGAGGATAGAGAGAAGAAATAAATAGCAGAAGTATCAAATGAGGAATCATTGAGCTGAGAGAGGAAATATTTTATGAAGAATAATCTCCAAAAGTAAATTTAATAATCAATTATAAATGTAATAGCAATTCGTAATTGTATCTCAAGAGTGATTAGGAGTACTTAGAGGACAAAAATTACATTATTTAGAGATGATTCACCCGGAATATATATATATTAATGCAAAAGTATTTTTGGAAAAGCAAATTAAATAATTACTCTCAATCAACCAACACACTGTATATTGCAATAAAATAATTACCAGAGTGATAATTAGGTAGTGTGAGAACGAAAATAAAGAGAAAAAAAACACTCTTTTTCTAGAGTCATAGTTTCGTCGATAGAGAGTTATTTTGGGATCATGCTGAAAGTCTTTACGAATGTAATTAAAAGCCTCTCATGATTTATGCAGAGCTTAATGCAGTTTAGAAACATACAAACAAGATGTGAGACAAAATACCTATCTTTATATATTCGCAATATTTTATCTCAATCACAATAAAGATGAGAATTTCCTAGATAAGTTCAATTGCCTTTTTTCATCCTCCTTTTTTCCCTTTCTCACATTCACACACACACAAACACACAAAGGAAAGAATTGAGAGATCTCGTGCAAGAATGTCAAATGGAAATAAGTAAATATTTCACTTACGGATGCAGCAACAGCTCCCAGAACTGCACAGTTCCTCTTGTGCTTCCCTGCCACTTTGTAGCGTGCATGAATTTTGCGTCCAACCCAGACTGGAATTCCTGTTCACGTGCAAGGGTTGACGAGGCGTCACAAGCGTGTTGACAGCAACAACAACAACGAAAAAAGAGAGAAGGACAAATGAACTTGGTCAACATTTACATAACATTTAGGAGATTTGAGTGGCTGTGGAATGTGTCAACAGACCTATTATCATCGCTGGCACCGCAATACCGGCCACAAGTGCAATACCAACCGGTGCCCCGACTAGAGTTCCCAATTGCCATAGGAGTTTCTTTTTGCGTGACCATGGTTTCTTACCCCAGAATGTGCAACCGGATGGACTGGAAGAAACGGAGAGACGTGTGATTAACTGATTCTGGGCCAAACGAGTTCTGTCAATATTGTATCAAGTGCAAGTCAATTAATGGGGAGACAAAAAACAACTCGTCAAATGCCTTTCACTCCCCTCAAATAAAATAGGTATACAACTTCATGTCTCTATAACGTGTTTGTAAAAACCAAAAATCCCCTTGATATTTGTGACAATTACCTTAAATAGTGTAGATCAGTAATTAATTTCATGCACAACCAGCAAAATTCAGAACCACACACGGCACAAACCATGTGATTGCATGAACCATCATCCATCTTCACAATCAACACCTGGCACCGCGGACACGGCTTGATGTCGTCGCGATGCTGAGAGTCTTGACTAATGCTCCCCGATGGCGCTCTCGTGGGACTGTGCCGGGATGCCCTTGCAGCATCGCACGTCTGATCCGGGTGCCACTCGGCTTTGCAGTGATAGCAGAAGTTAACATCACAGCCAGGACGTTCACACTTGATGCGCGGACACGAAGCACACCCTGTGGCGATGACTGCAAAACCACAGTCCGGCGCTGGACACCAGCGAGAGTCGGGATCTGCCAGGAGTACGCGTCTCACCATAAAGTCTTCGTATTTGCTCATGATGGACGGGTGATTCTGCAGCAGTTTCTGGATGTCACTCGGATGCATAGCCTCCAAGCACAGAGGGCAGGCTGAAATGATGACGAAACACTGGGTCAGAATGATAACACACAGCGAGACGTGTCTCAAACAGTTGTTTAACATTCTAGTTACAGTCAGAAAACCCATTCAAACTACAAACAGTGGGAGTTTTGACGATATGACAATGCATGAAGAGTGAAAGCATTTTGTAGAAATTGAAGTTTGTGAAAAAATCACGAACAAAAATACTTAAGCTAATGTAAAAAGAAAAATTCATAATCTAAGAGGAAATGCAATTTCCGATTTCAATCACTTCTTCTCCCTCACACACTCACCGATATCAGTCCGGGATTCTGTAATCTCAATTATCAGATAACTCTCGAGGCAGCCACGGCACGTGGTGTGACTGCATGTCAGCAGTGAATAGAAATCATCACGCGATGTGTGATTGTAGCAGAGAAGACATTCCTCAGACGTGGCCCCCTTTCTCAATGCTGCACTCGCTTCAAATTCTCGTTGTTCGGCAGGTGTTATACTAGATACAGTGTATTTTGGCGGTGGCGGAGTCACACTTGCACTCGCATTCGATGACGGCACATCACCATGACTCTGCTGGTGCAATTAAACACAGTATTAATCAATTGGTTGAAGGGAATTTATGCACAATTTTTAATCATATGGAACCTTCATACACATTGTCGTGCGTCATTATTGATAAATGTAACCACGTGGAGTAAGAGAAGGAAAAGGAAAATTGCCAATAATTACAATTCATGTTCAAATAAGCAATTTGACGTGAATGATATTGAACCATTATTTGATTTTCAATTTCATTTCACTTGAGAATCTCTGTGAACGCTTGTGATCACATAAAACGCAATTATTGCGACACATTCAGTGTTCAAATGCAGCATTTCTGAGAAATTTTGCGGCAAGAAACATGTCAAAGAGTTACAGTTGTTAAAAGAGAAAATCAATTGAACGATAAATCCATTGGAAAATTGTTGCTTTTTCACCCAATCGAGCTCTTACGTTATATACATTGGTTCTTGCGGAAAAAATCATCTCTACATTGGGACTTTCATCAGAGAAACTCTTTTTCTTCTCTCAATCGTGAAGCGGAGAGAAAACAACCTTCATGAATCTCAAATGTTGATACATAACTCTGTTTCTCTCGTTTATCAAATAAAATTTATCTCCCATTCTTCTTTCTCACTTCCATCGTCTTTTTCCCTTCAATCGTCAATTGCGAAACGTAAACAAGTCAAAGATTAAATATTTAATCGCACACCAATGTGATGATTGTTCTCGGCTTTTTTTGTTGTGATTGCAAATTGCCCATCTCACCTTGCTATTTCCACTTCCGCTGCCACTTGCATGGCTCTTCTCGTGCTTCGACGATCCCTTCTCCACATCGCACAGTCTCTGGCCCAACGGCGGACTGCCACGAGCCGCTCGGGCGCCCTGCAGCAACAGCCTCCGGAGCGAAAAATCCGGAAAACTGAATGCATTCCGCGTACTTCGGCGCATTTTTCACTCCTGGAAAAAGAATGAAGCACAAAATTAGATACGCAATTCAAAAATGCGTCAAGAGAAATGCAATTACTCACTCTTGCTACAGATGATCCACAAATAATATCCACAATTCAATTAGCATTTACTCGATTGCATTCTATTCCACCCACTCATGCTATGATGCAGTGCATTTGATGTTGAAGACATTACCAGAAGCACAAACACGAAATATTTTGCTCCTCTCCTGTTTATATGAATCAAAACACTAAAAAGCTGAACACTTGAAGCTCCGACTAGATGAATTGCCGGTGGTTCTGAAAATAAGAAGAGTATTATTAGAATTATCAAAAGAGGGTCATATTTTTTATCACTTAAATCTACTTTTCATACTCTATCAACTGTGATAATGAATATTTCCCAAGGAAATCCACCTAACTAGTACAAGAACTTCAGACAAAGTCAACACCGAGAATTTCTGCTCAATTGGTCAGCATAATTAGAATTCACTGAGTATATTTTGACTTTAATATAAATATATTTGCGAGGAATGTTGTGCAACGTTCAAATGATCTTCAAGCACCTCCATAAATATTTTACTCTCAGCCACTCATAAAGTCTCCCTCCCACAAATTGATGAATTTCAAACTTTTCTCTCTACCCTCATCAATTTCTACCTCCTTTTCTTCTTCTGTGCTAATGAGATTCACTTAATTTGTGTATTTTCCTCACTCTCTCATTCATCCATGGTGATTTGTGAATGAAGTTTCCACACCGCAAGTATTCATTTATTATTATCGTGTCTCAGAGACACAAAGCAGCTCCTCACAAACAAGATATCCCTCACATCTCAGAGTCAGTATGGATTTTGCGAAAAAAATATGTATAAATTAATTCATTAGCATCATCTCAATACCAAAGTCAATACGCACGCGAAAACTTTTTTTTATCTTCACAAACACACTCCGAAAAAAAACATCACACGACTTTGATTAACAAAACATTTGCATATTGATTCATAACTTTAAATGCCACATTAGCTGGAAATCTTCACTTCAAATTCTTCCTCTTTGTTCTCATTGGAGAGTATTTATCACTATAATTTCTTCCTCCTTTTTTATCTCCCATCTACAATGCAAACAAACAACAAGGCATCTCTATTCATTTTTCATTTCATAACATTTAGTGAAAGAGTGAGAATAATACCCGGGAAAACCTCAAATTAATTACATGCTCCATAGTTACTAAATGCTATGGTAATTCCCTCTTCTACACACCGTGCGATGATGATTTGCAGGTGATCTTTGCAAAAGTAAACATAAATTGTTTCAAGGTGATAGTAATTGATAATGAATCTATTATTGCTTAACTGCATTAGCGGATTGTCATTGAATTCTGGCATTTTAGGCGAGCAATTAGATAATATTTCTTGCATACATTGTAACTTTATTCACGCCTCTTCACTGGATTATTACATTCAGACAACACATTTAATGATAAAGAGAGAATACTTGAAACTATGGACACACTTTTGTATTGGCAATGAGATTGAATTTTTTTCATGTAAAACATTCAATTTCAATTCACAAATACCAGACTTCAATTTGCAATGTGAAGCAGTAATTGACATCTAAGCAGTCTACACTGTGTCCATAATTTACAATACATTGTCTTCAATGCTTAAGCTTCTTGTTCCATCACTCTTGTTGGGAGAATAACTCAAGAAAATGACATGGTTTACACTAATTTCACAACTTCTACTATTTATTGCCACTAACAATGTGACTTTTTGCCATAAGGAAGAAAATACAGCATTGTATTCATATATACACATTTTTTCTCCATCGTCTCACACATAAAAACTTTAAGGCCTTTAAGGTAGATTTATCACCGAAGAGTCGAATAAGATGCAAAGCTGAGTAAACTCGGCGCTTATTGCACATTTTTCATTCTTCTTGAAAATGCATTAAAATGCGTAGGTGTATGATAAATGGATTCATATCTCTTTTCCTGGTATTCAGTACAGACACCGCCAGAGTCCTAATTTCAATATTTACCCACTCTGTTTAGTGCACGGTGTATTTCAATTTAAATGTCTCCGCAACCGCATGACCTCTTTCCCTTCTCACGTACACCTCACAGTCAATCATTAGTGCACAAATTAACCTAGTATCGATAATTGAGGTAGAATTTGTATCAATACACATATATGCGTTTGGCTAGAGTGATCTCAACACTGATTATTCTTATACGCACACTCTCTTCACATGGTGTTTTTTAGCATTGACACATTTTATAAATCCACTTCTTTTGCAGCAGCATGCAGTGTCGTTATAATCAGCGTGTGATGAAATGCCAGCAACACACTCTCTGAGAGTTCAAGTATAGAAAAACATCCACACAATGTGAGGCGCTTCTCAACACATGGATTTAAATTGTTCTATAATTTCGCATAATTGAGAGGGAGGTTATTGAAAAACGTAACGAGAAATAAACCAATTTAACTCGCAACAATTGTGACACCCTTTTACAATGGTATAATCACTGCATTGTGCCTCAATTGGCGATATTTCTCGTCTTCTCTCTCTCTCACTGCCCCCAAATCAATTTCCAAACGCCTTCTGATTTTTTTGTTGTTGTTTTACTTCCACCATTCACACACATATTGTCACGAAAGTCGAAAAGAGAATGTCTAAAATATAGCCGAGAATATTGAATTACCAATAATTGAGCCACTCTCAGACGCCACTATTTTCAATTAACTTTTGCTCCCCATCAACCAATGTTACAGCGCACTCTGAGAATCATATGCATTCCCTCAACGTGGACGTGATCTAATGCAAGAATGCACGTGATTATGGTAAGACAGTAACTCCTCTTTTCACTCTAGTCCATCCCCCCAGCACAGCCCTCGAGTTTCATAACAAATCAATCACACTGAGAGAGTGAAAGACGTGAAGCACTGAAATACACTCTCCGGGAGTCACGCAAAATGTGCACAAGTTGCTGGTTTAAATGAAACTAAAAGTGAGAAACTCACGGCTGTAGCTTTGGTCAAACACCTAAACCTCCTCTTTACAGCGCTCGACTGAAAACCTCGTTCGCACTCGTGCTCACACTCCAAATATTCACCAACTCAATGGGTGAGCTTTTCAGCATTGGAACTCTGTGTAGTTGTCGGGGTTTTCTTATTGTTACTTATTTGTCCAACTTGATGATTTCGCGAGTGTTGGTAGATCTCAAACGTGTTTTCTCTCAGCGAGAGCAGCACTCGAGGGGAGGTCAGTAATTTTTCTGTAATTGTCTACAGAAGGGTGAAATTGTGTCAAAATGATCTGGAAGAGAAAAAGAAACAGAGACAACACACACAGTATTAGTTGAGCAATTAGACACTGTGCAGCATTACAAATGACTTTTCATTAAATTCCACACAACATCCCATACATTTTTCCACCATATAACATAGACAGTTAGAGACAGAGAGCGAGAGAGGAGCAAACTTGTTGATATTTTTCTATATTGCACAGTCATTATATTATTTTTTGCATATATAAGAGGCAAAAAACGTAATGTTCAATGCAGATTCCCACGTGAAACATGTTCCGAACGATGACATCGCTCGCCACAGACGAAAGAAGCGCGAGAAAGTCGTTGAGTCTCTATCAAATCTCACACCAACTCATCTTTGCTCATATCCATATACAAAATTCATCTCCACAAGATTTCAAATGAAACAACATCTCACTGATGACTTCTTGCTTCATTAGCTCATGCACACGAGTTACAGTTCAATGGAAAATATCATTAAACTTGCAGGCGAAGACAGAAATGAGAAATTTTTTTTCCTAACAATATATAACTCTCCCAACACGACAATTAGAGAGCTTAATGATGATAACAACAATTCTAACATGTAAATACAATTTTGCTTTAACTACTACTTGAGAATGGCTTTCAGTCACTATCTGATTAAATTTTTTCCACGACATTGCGCTATTCTTTCACTCATGCCAGAGATAAATTAGACGGATTATTATTTATATTTCATACAAAGTCAAGTATTCATGGAAGGAATAATAATTGAACTGAAGACTAATCATTGTTTTAATTTTTCCAACACTCAAAGAGATGTTCAACTTTATTTTATCATAATTACAATTCTAAACAAGCCGTAACAAAATTTTGAAAGTGTGATATTTAATTTTCTGTATATCATAACATCTCCTTGGAATTAAAAAAAAAAGATTTGCATTTTAACCTTCTTTTAACCCTTTTTTTACATCTCATCTCCCAGATTTAATTTGTATGAAAATGATTCTTTTTGACACCTTTCTCCAATTTGCATAATTTTCCAATTAAAAGAATAGAAATTGTTTGACTTTTTTTGTCGGTAATAAAAAGTATTCTATCTCTTTGCATTTTCATCGTAACACGCGGTATAATTTTTCTCACTGTGTGACGTTGAGAAACATTAAGCAGAGCCATAAAATTGTAAGATGAAAATTCACTTACATACATTTCTGCAGAAATCCACTAATTTCTGCTCTTCTCCCCTTCAATTTCTTCATACATTTTCCTTTGCCTCTTTTTTTCACCATCACGCATCTTCTTCGTAAAATTAAATCAGATATTTATTTTTAGTATTCAATTGAATGCTACATCATAGCATTCAAACGACAAAAATACCACAACAAACTCTCGAGTCGAGAGAGTTTCTCAATGACGCGGTCATACGATGAGATAAAAATGTTTCGCAGAAAGATTTATCACACTTTTTTTCTTCTCCATCCTTCTACAATACATATCTCTCTCTCTGTTTTTTTTGTCTTTTACATGTGACTATAAAATATTCTTTACTTCTCCAATGGATCTACTCCAGCTTGGAATCGAGCAAAATTTTTATAATAACTGCATCAATCTACTTTCTCTTTCATTGCTCAAATAAACAGCAAAACCACGATATTCTTGCAGCAATTTGGTCATGAACATCAGGTTTATCGTTGCAAAAAACACTTCATTTGCAATTTACATTGAAGTTTTTCTCTCTGTGTTTTTTCATGATATTCATCTCTCACTGCGCTCTGTGTCTCACTTTCTGTATAGTTCAACTCTTCAACTCGCATTTTCCTTATTTGTTGGCCATCGACACTTTTTTTTCGTCATCATTTCAATATATCAGCGCAAACATCTGCATTACTCACATGAGCTTCTATTTGTTCTCGTATTGCTATCTATTTCTCCTCACCACATTAGCGGATGAAAGTCAACATGCTGATATTGTTTTGCAAGAGAATCCTAGACTCGAAGCACTTTGTTTAGCAATGAGAGCAAAGAGGAAGCCAGAGAGACCATCTAATAATATTTTCAATTCATTCTCATGTAAAGTCAAGGTTCTGTGTTGATTGATCTGGAGCTCTGAGTGGATAGATAAATATTGCAGAGCCTAACACAATAACTGAGGATATATCCGTAGCTTATTTTTAGGCAACACACACACACACACCGGGTTAGAGACGTGAAAAAACACGCCCACGAAATGAGGAGAGACTTCAATGTTGCAAAAATGTCTCATAAAGATACCCAATAATTCAATACACTTCAGCCTTTTCACTTTTGCAGACTACTTCACTTGGCATTTTTGGCGTGAAGTAAACTTTAAACTCAATTATCGTCTGCATGCAATTGAAGTGTCTTGTCTCAAACCATGAACAGATTGTTAATTTACGAATCTTTCCTATACAAAGTATTTCTCTCTCTCCCTCTCTTATCTTTTCCTTGTTTTTTTTCTTTTTTATTCATCAAGCACAATTTCTTTCTCTTCACTCATATTGATTCTTCGTACGTTGAATGGAAGATAATACGAAAGAGATTTCATTCCTCTCGCTTTCATTATAAGGCACAAGACAGTATTTCATATTGACAGCTTTCTTCTGCGCGCGTCTTTTAATAAAAACCACCTCACACACTCATGAGCTATGGGATGAAAATGCAAGTGTCCATGCCATGGTGAATACAATATAATTAAAAGCGGTGAAAAGACGATAAATATCACCAGTACATCATGGCCTTTTCGTATAAAATCATTTTGACAAATTAATTTCACTTTTCACACAGACTTTTGCCGAGGAAAAGCATGCAGAAAGAGAGAGATTGAAAAAGTTTCTTCAACATATATTATCACTTGTAGGTGAAGTACTCCTCACAAGACATCTCATGTCAATTTAATGTTCACATTTCAGTGGATAAAGTATAAAGTTTATCTTCTTCATCGCCATCATCGTGCATCCATTAAGAGTTAAGATGTGCACATCGCCAATTTTTAATAAACAACACCATATCGTCTGTGTAATCATTTCAAAATCATATTACTACCTCCGCATAAATGTCACCTGGCTAATACACACGCCCAACATGACACCTTAAAGAGCAAAATGCAATCAAACGCTATGTATGCAATAACATCTGCAATCCACTTAAGAGAAATTTAATGTCTACTTGTTTCCTATATGCATCGATGTAAACCATATTTTGTCTATTTACCTATTAGATGGAATAATCTAACTCAAGGGAGATTAACGACAGCAAATGGGATGTTATGTAAATGAGAAATATATACACACTGTCGTCTGATGTGACAAAATAATATTAATTTGATTTATCAGTCTCCACGAAGCATTAGACAAAACACGTTTCCAAGTCTGTCATATGAAGGGAACTTTGTCAAAAATGCTATTATTCAATAGCAAATCTCTTTGTCATGCAAACCCACAGAAATTCTTCTTACTTTCCCACCAATGCTGGCGCATTTCTCTTATGCCATTACATAATAATACATTGCATAGATTCCACAGAAAGATTTCTCGGTATTTAGAATATTCAAAAATTGTCTTCGTCAAGCAATTCCAATGACAAATTCAATGTAAAAGTTGAATTTCTTTTAATTACAACCTGTTCACACGGGTATACTTAAATTTCACTTACAAAAGCGCATTTTCACAATTCCTCGCTGCACTTATCTCTCAGTCTATATTTGTGGTTCATAATTCGCCCAAGGGCAGTGTCACACGACACAATGCGAATCTGTTATTCATGTGGAACTTTACTTTATAACTGGAAATTATTAAATATATTCACGCATACCTTTGGTCGTAAAACAATTTTGCCACGTAAATAATATTATGCTGTTCGAAGTAATTTTCATAGACTGTTACATCGCAATCACAAATGCATAAGAAGAAAGCAACAGAAGTGCTTATAGAGCGAAAAAATAAACATTGTGCTTGATAAGAAGACACTTTTAAACATTCAGATCCTCATAAGCAATTGTCCTAACTAGATACACTTCACTAGCATAAGAAATTATTGTGATCTTTGCTCTCTTTTCCACTTTCACCACGTCAAAAGCCAATTTTCCACATCACAAGCGGAATATCTTGACATTTTTATGATCGTTTCCCGTACAAACACCGCACCTGAGAAGCCAAATGGCAGATGAAGCAAAAAGGTGCTATACCAAATGATACGCGTGTAATAACATTATGTCGTCTGTTGACTACACTTTTTGGCCAGTAGAGTCGCGTAGAAAATAAATTTTGAGAGTCTTTCTCACTTTTACTCAGCCAGATAGTGTCTTTTTGGGCAAATAAAAAACAGTCACGTTTGACTACTGTTAATTTCTTCTGTTTTCACGTCTCCTCAGCACCAATGTACGCATGTGAAAACATCTTGGGCGTATAAGCAACCAAAAATTCTATTATATTATCACATTACGGACTCTTTTCCCTCTCTGTCCCACTCACTTTCCATCATCCGCACCTCTTTTCCGCGTTCATACGCGAGGGAGATGTCAGACAATGCCCGCACTAAAAAATGACTGACTGAATAATGGTCAAGAGATAATTCGTATTAAAAATTCAGCTGCTCTATTAGGTAAGAGTCTCACATATATTTCTTTATTACAACCTCTCTTTACTGTTAAACCTTTTTCATGGCAATGCTTTTTATACCGTGATGTGACGATTAAGTATATTGATCCATATCTCAATGTCTGTATCGTAACGTATATATACTTTTTTTTCATCCGATACCCATCATTGAGATAGATCATGAGGCAATAATCAAGCATTAACCCTTCACCTCTGAATTTCACAGGCAAAAACAAACACTCTGTAATATTGACTCATTTCGCAAGTGTTATATTTCTCGTTCTCATTCCTTGAATTTACTATTTGGAGAGCACTCAGTTCACATAACATCCAAGCCATATGTTTTTCAACATTCTACAGTGAAATAATTTTACTGAAAAATTTTAATTATTCTCACACAATTTTCAATCGATTCATTTAACAATTTCAGTCTCTCAAATTACACACGATGAAATTCGCAATGAAAGTTTAAGTGGAAAATGCGAAATTAAATATTCTCTCTCTCTCTCTCTCTCTTCACTCTGTCATTCTCGAATGTTCACCACTATCGAATTTGCTGGCACTCATTTGATAAAACTCTCCTTTTGTCTCCATACTCCTGTGATTCATGTGAAAACTTTTCCACAAATGAATTTCAAGTTGTGGGTGAAATAAAAAAAAAACACAATTTTTCCACCATGTGATAAAAGCCACACTCTCAAATTGCCTCTCTATTAATCTGTGAGTGTCAATTAATCAGCATGTGTGAATGTTTTTCACTGAAAATTGGTGGGTGCTTGATAAAGCGAAAAAAAAATTAAAATTTGGATTACTGATAACATTTGTGATATCACACTTGTCTGTCATTCGCAGCCAAATGTCGAACACTTTTTGCCATGATTCTATCGCATGGGTGAAAAACGCAATTTTTCATGCATTTCTGCAATCCAACCAATTTTACGGTCAATTGTAATCACTGAAATGCACAATGTATTATTTGCAATGAGGAACGAAAACTTCCACACAGCCCCAAATGGACTGTCCTAGAATGCAGAAGTGCGATAGCGACTAAAATAGAAAGTGTTATGATTAACAGAATTAAGGCACAAATTGTGAGAAGGAGGTCAAGTGTTAACAAAATTCATGCTGAGATGAATGCAAAAGACACAAGAGAAGCATCTCATGGAATATCGATTTCAAAGCATAGATGTGCCACAATCTCAGCTCAAGTGAACGTCCACGAGGCAGCCGAAATTTCATTTCATGGCAAATTATCCACTTTGTGCGTGTGTAGAAGGACACAAAAAGCTATTATGCAATTTTTGGCATAGAATTTGTGCCCACAAAAAAGCCTCCAGTCAAAGGTATGCAAAAGACTCACTGTAAAAATGGTTGCATAAGAAGCAAGAGATGCGAAATAGCCCATATAAATTGGTTGTTTCTTATCGCGTGAAATAAGTGAAAGATAATTAATGCAATCAGCAAAGAGAATCGAAATATAAAAGTGTATTCTGAAGAAGTATTTTATCTCTTTTTTCTTTACATAATTCCCTGCTATTGATTTTTACTCACATTGCGAGAGTGAAAATCCCACAAATAGCGCTAAAATATGCTTGCAATTAGATGACTATTAGATAGTGGCGCGCGGTATAAAGTAAACAGGAAGAGATGCACATTGTGAAGAGATACACAAACTCTGTTCACATTCAATTTCAGAGTGAAATAAGGTGTATAACAACAATATCGAGTGGTTCTTCTCTTTTCAATTCAATCAGTCGAAGAATGACGTGCAATTAGAAAGAAAGAATAGTAGCTTGTTATTCTCGTGCTTCGCGTGAAACACTGTCGCTTCTTGATCCAGATTTAGACGCAGAATGTTTCTTGTTTGTAAAACCACTTATCACAGATATGAAAATAAAGCGGTAAATAATATTGCACAGCATCTTCAGGAAGTACACTCAAACAAATTAGAACTACTCTGTAAATATCATTCAAGAATTTAGCAAAACATGTTTTCCACCGATAAAAATATTAGATACACTTGAAATGCAATTTGATAATGCTTCTACGAATTTCATCGCAGTTTTAACTATTTATCAAAGACAAATGTGAGAATTGCCGATGTCGGCACAAAATAATCTATTCAGTCTAGTTATTCAATCTCTTGTGCAGTCTGTGACTGTGGCAAAAAGAGCACATTCGCTGTGATTTAAAAGCTAATAAAAAGCTGACAAAAACATAGGCGAAATTGACAGCAAAAAGCTAAAAGCGTCTACGCGCCTCTTTCTCACTGATAAACTCACGCCATGCGACACTGTGATAGCTCTAATCACTCTATGACTCTCAGATTTCTCAGTGTTTTGTCTGGCCATCTTCTGTCCCATTTGCTGTCACCCCCCTTTCATCGGATCACCCGCTGAATAATCTCACTCAAACTTTTTTCTCTTCTCTGCCACCGCGCTCCTTAGTCAACGCGCGCGAGTGAGAGCATTTTGTGATTAGAACGGCCCACCACATGCACACATGTGTTGAATTCTCACTCATGTAGAAAACTTCCTGACCCACAAAAATAATGTTACGTCGCCGCGTCTCGGGTGTTGTTCACTAACAACCCAAAAAGTGGATCGAAGTGGAGGAAAGTTTAGTTGAAATCCCACCTTGAGAATTAACTCTTTAATGTTTCTCTTTTCCTCACCCACAAGGTCCAGCGCTCCACAATTACATACTCGCAACATATGCCACGAAATGCTCCTCCTCTCGCATCCACCGCAGAGCCTCTGAGTCGGTTCAGGAGTGAGAGAAAATCAATTTCGTCGTCATATTCCAACCCAGTTATTTTATATGCACTTTCCCAACCATTTTTGCAGCATATTTTACCACCATCATTTCAGGGACACTCAGAGGGTGGCAACTCAGCCTGAACTTCCATCGAGGTCATCCTTCGGAGAAAGAGCACACAAAAAAAACACCCAGCAAGAACAATTCTTAGAAGAAGAAAAAAAAATCTCCCACTTCACGGATTAGGATAATCGAATGAGACGCTTCGAAAGATCAGCGATAAGAGAGGCTTACAGGATTTTACGCCCAAAACCATCCCTCGCAAGTCTAAAAAGGACTTTTAGCAATAAATTCCCTTCAACAGAGACGTGAAAGACCGGAAAAAATACTCTCAAAACAATTCATGTCTCTTGCTAAATTATTCACAAACACACACGCGCGCTAAGAAAACACCCTCCAGATTTCATCTCTTGTCACAAGATGCTTCAAATTAATTTACAAAATTTCGAATAAATGCCTTTGTCTCAGTCGAACATTATATTTGGAGGAAAAAAATCTCTTAAATGACGTACATTGTAAACAAGTAAACATGATGTTGATTTACCAGCAAAATACACACTTTTCCCACTACATTTTCCACTACTTTGGCATTTCGTAATCACTTTGAGAAAACACAGAGCAACTCACTATAGAAATTATCTGGCGATTAAACTTCAAAAATTACCTTCATGGTAAATTTACCATGTTTCACATTTTGAATCATTCTCAGGAAAAATTTCGCATTGACAGCACTCATGATAGTAAAAATACATTCCGCTGAGGTGTTTTATTCCTCCCATTCGTGTAAAGTCAATATCAATTTGTGAGAAAAATCAAATTTTCTCACAGATTTTCATAACGGTCTCACAATTTGTGGTTTAATTGGATTTTTATACTGAAAATAGGGGGAAAAAATAGCACAATGTAGACTAAACTATGTTCTACTGAGAAGTAATAAAGCGATCATATTTTTGCACTTTTTGAATCAGAACTTAAACTTTAGATTAGACGTGATAATAAGTGTGTTTTTTGACTCACAATTTAAAGTCATTTCTTTTCTTAAAATCAAATTTTTCCTTGAATAAAATTGTTCTGTGTCTCATAGAAGTTTGATTAAAATTCTAGGAATCTTTATCAAACTTCTACAACGCCATTGATGTTATTGATACATAGTATATTTGCGAAAGAAAATGGATGGAAAATAGAATTCTGCCAGATGGTTTTTCCAAGAAAGGGGAATTGTTATAAATTCACGACACAGAAGAATGTTTCCTAGCAACAACCGAGGCATCTAATGTGACTGACTAAAGGGTTGGCTAAATATCTTGGTTAAACATTCTGAATTCAAAAAACATCATAAATTTCTCCGTCACACTGTAATGGGATTATATTCATTCACAATAGCAAAGAGTCTATATATAGTTTCAGATCTATCAAATCATGACAATTCCCTTGCAAACTCTCATCGATATGCCTAAGTTCTCATAGGAAATATATTTCTCTTCTATCAACTCTTCCTTGAGACATTTCATGATTCACCACAATTTACTGCTTCTTCGTGGTGAAAATATTTTTTTTTCCTCTCTGAATTTCTGTCAAATTACGTGAGGTCGATGGCAATTCATTGCTACATCGCTTGAGATGTTCAATGAAATTATTCGCTCTTTGCCACTCTCAAGACGCAGTTGTGAGACATGTTTTGTGCAAAAAATACGCTAAATATTCGTCTTCTTCGAGGTTTTGCACAAACTCAATGACACATTCACAGCATGAGTTTTTCGCTCTTTTGCCTCGTGATAAGAGTGTTTTTCTCGGGAAAACATCTCTGAATCACACCGATGGCTTTCTTTTCAGCGGAAAATCAGCGGTAATTTGGTTATTTTTGATTGTCATTGCACAGAAAAATCGAGGGTCTCTGGCCCACGCACTTTCCACCATTCCGGAGGGTCAACAAACTGATCTCAGGGAAGTGATATCTGCCCAGAAGCCTAATAAGAAGCGCGTAAGCGAGCATTTGTTTATTATTGCAGAAGATCGGCCTAAACAGAGTTTGTGAGGAAGAGTTTCAGTGCAACATTGTGACTATCTGCGACTCGAGTCTTCTGGCATTGACTGGGAGCGATATTGGTGCTAATTGAGGCGACACTGAGCGAATTTACCTGGGAAGATTTATCATCTTCTGCCACTTTGGCCACCGAGAAATCTCATTGGGAGTAACTGTAAATGCTTTCCGTGCCACTCGGGCAGGCATTTCGCACGAGGAGACGCTGTGCTTTCGAGGAAATTCCCACGAAGCCCCTCTAGGGTATTTATAGCCCAGGAGTCACCCCACGGGGGTTCCCAGGCGCCTCTCTTGACAGCCTGAGCACCTTAGCACAACCACTCTGTATTTATATGGAGCCCCTTTTGTTTTCACTTTTTTCACTAGAGATTTGCTCAGCTTCTGCATGGGGAGATGCCCAAAGAGCGCCCCAAAGACCAAATTAATTCTTTTGACCGTGAGTTTGAGCTAATTTGATGCATTTATTTGGGCGAGAGGGAGGTTTTTCGCTAAAAATAAGTGGAGGTGCTCGCCTGCCAATATGCCTGAAAAATTTTTGGGACTACTATTTACCAGATTTCCAGGGTGTCGGCACTAAAACTACTCCTTCAAACGATGCGTGGCACAATTGATTAACTATTTTCACAGATTTCGTGAATTTATTAACTAATTTAGGCATATAATCACAAAGCAACACCTTTTCCGTTCAATGGGCTCACGTCCATTTTGACATTTGTGAAAGGAATCATCGGCTTGCCCGATGGCAGCTGCAGAAGTCTGCAGAAATTCTGCGCTCTGCAGATCGCAGCGAAATCTAGCGGCAATTTTGGGTTTGCAGGGAAATGTCGACACCAAACACAATTCAAACGCCAACGGTTGCGAATAATTTATTTGTTGGCTTGTTTTTTGCTAAAATTTCTCTTTATTTATTCTTTATTTCTGCATCGTCGTCACATAAAATTCATACACAATAAATCAAATACTTTTTTGGCATGTATGAACAACATACAATAGTCACTCATTCAACATTTAAACATCCTTCAGTAAATTCACTTTATTAACTAATTTGTCGAACAATTATGAATTATATATAGAACATATCTCTTTACCATTCCCTCTAGCTACGCTAAAACCTGCCTTTTGATTGAAATCTTCCTCTATATTTGATTTTTATCTTAAACTTATCTTTCTTCTCCTCATTAATGGCTATTTACAGAGTCACTGGACAAATTAATTATCGTCTTGTTCCATAAATCGACTGTATAATTTCTTTACAACTCATAGTAAAAACTACAGCGGCTGCATTAAGAAGAAAAATATCACAGATGATTTAAATAAAGATATTTGTTCTAAACAGAAGTCATAAAATTTTGCAGAAATTTTCCACACTCGGTTTCAATATACGGAAAACTCACTGATTACAACGCATTGTGGAGGACTCAATTGAAATAAATGAGTCGTTCTTCTCTGGACGAGGCGGAGAGCAGAATTTTCACACTGCAGGATTTATTCAGTGTGTGTTTTAGAGCAAGTTTTAATTAAATAGGATTTTTTTTTAATATTGAAATAAGAGTTATATAGGATTTTTTCCTGAAACACAGCCAAAACGACGCACGAGATTGTTCATGGGTACAACAGAAATTGTTTATGTTTTACACGTAAAATCAATTTACTCTAGTATTTGAATTTGCATTCTCCAGTGAAATTGACAGTTTTACAAATTTGCAATTCAATAAATTCATGGCGATTTGGCTTGAACAAAGAGTAATTTTTCTAGATAAATACAACTATCGCCAAAAATACACACGACACTTAATTAAAAATTAATTTAATAGGAAATACATTTGTGCTCGCTTTTCTCGTGAGAAAAGAGGATTTTTTTTCTACTGAGGTCCGGAGCCGAGTTGAACAGTGCCCACAAGAGTGATTGAGACACATTTCCTCCCTTCTCGTTTTTCAACACCGTTGATGCAATTAACAATTCACAGTGAAATTAATGCCTCTCCGTCGTGCGGGGAAATTAAGTAGAATGAGCAGAAAATGGTAATGAATCGTGCTTCTGGGATTGAAAAAGTGAGCTTTGCAGAGGAATTTTCTAAGTGTGCCATCGGAAAGGATATCTCGTTATAAATTTCTTTAATTCAATATTGCAAAATAAAGTGTGGAAAGGTAGAATAAGAAGCAGAGAAAAACTATTTCTTTGTCACTCTTAAATCTATTTTGCTGAATCACGAATTAATGACGAAAGAGTGTGTAAATGAATTAAGTTTTTATTAATATCTTAACACATTAGGATTTTTATAAATTCCAAATAAGAAAATAGAAGCAGAAAAATCCTTAAACAAATTTCTAATTCTATTCAGTGTAGGGAAATTCCTTTTCATCTGCACATTTACAAAATCCCAATGTAGATGGATTTATGTTGCGCTTTTTCTCGACACTTTCACGCTATTTCTTACTTCTTCTCTCTATCAGCGAGGATTTAAATGAGAACATTAGGTGGTGAAGAAGAAACTCATTGAATTTTACATGAACTATCTCATTGTACAATTTATTATCCTCTTACAGCTATTCTTGGAGTATTGATTATATGTTCATTCAATTTCAATCGTAAGCATGTTTTATTTTCTCTTTCTCCTTCCTTTTTTTGATTCTTGACGAGGTTTACAAAATTATCTTTTTATAGACTTTAATATATTCTTCATGAATTCTTACGTGACTCTAGATGTAATTATTTTATACAGTTTGTCACATCCTTTTTATACATTAAATGTTATATTTGGTAATTTTACACTTACTTCCTTGTTACCTAATATACCTTACTAAGAATCCTTTTTGCCCACCTTCGTGGCTTCTCCTTTAGCTGTCAGGTGATTTCTTTGCGAGATTGCGAAATGCCCAAGTTACATACGTGCTGAGGTCAATTTTCCGCTCCTTCTCACATCCTCATTTCCTCAGCATCCGTCCGGGTGTCCATTGCATTCCGTCACACACTATCTCGTCAGGAATCGTATGACAGACACTTTAATTAACAATGCCGCAATTACTCGTGTGGCTGCATCTGGACTGGGACTTGTGCCTGAACTAGGTGATGTCACTGAAACGAGAAATATCAAGTTTTCCAGTTCAATCCGTTGTGTTTCGTAAGGAGTGTGACATTTCCGCTTAGAAAGTTCACTGGTGACAAAGAGTCAAGCACAGATTTTCAATATATGAACTTTCACAGCCCCAGCAAAGCTTCCAAATTCTGGAGTGGAAAACGTGCCAGTGTAAATAATGGTGAAAAAATTAGGGTGAACCAAAATATTATCTTTTCTGATACGGATGAGAAGAGCCACAAATACTCAGAAAGTCCCCGTGCGAAGGCACAGAATTGCAAATTAGCCAGGATGGAAAATTCGCTGAGAAAAATCATAAATATGTACTTGGGACATTAAATTTGTGCTCCTCCCCAAAGCGGAGCTTCTGCTCTGCATGAAACTTTTCCCTTAATCTCTTGCAGGGGTCATTTAAGTGAAATATGCTTGACATTCAAACTCCAACATTTAATTGTGGCCGTTATTTCTTTTCTCCGTCCGACCGTTAAGATGAAAATTAGTATGTGTCCACAAAGAAGGGAGCTTTCCACGCGCGCGCTTGTGGTGACGGAAAAGCTCAACGACGTTTGTGTAAACGCGTGAATCGCCACTAAAAGCAAATTTCCGTACAATTACAAAGTTTCACTGCATTTCAAAGGAGGGAGAAAAGGAAATATATTTAAATACACATAAGGAAATTACTTTTCACACAGTAAACTCCTGAGCAGCCACAAATGCTTTCTTTGATCATTTGCATTGTGCATGACAAATTTCCCACATTTCGAATGGAAAATTAATATAAAGTCGGAAGTTTGAGCTAGAGTGGTGCCTTAAAATTCGCAAACGCCTCACTGTTCCCATTCGCAGTGAGTTCATCTCTTCGTCGCAGCTTAGAGCTGAAAGCTAATGGGGGAAAGCCACTCTTATGAAGCTAGAGTTCATTTCCTCGGGAAAAGCTCAACATTGAACCTGAAAGTGCATCTGAACAAATGTTTATCCAGACTTTATTACACAAACCGTCATTTTCAATTCTGTCTGATAACAAAATCTTTCCTAACATCGTTGGAAGTGTCATTTATTAATTATGTTCCCGTTTAAATTATAATTATATCCAAGAAAATATCTTCACAAGGAAAGAACTTAACAAGTATACTTTGGGGAATGTTATTTAGTTCGTAATGAAAAGCAGAGCTCGTCTTTTAATTGTTAAGTGACTCAAGAGAGGTGTTAAGATGATAGACAGAATTTAACACTTAGTTGCTATTGAATGCTATTCAAAGACAAATCAAAAGCTGAGATGGCTTGACAACCTAGACGTTTATCACATAAGGATGCCAGAGGACACCTAAGATAGTCCTTTCTCGAAATTCAAGCTTAAATTAATGAATATATAATAAAGAGCGATTGATAAGAAAGGTTTTAAATACATTTTTTCGTCTCATCGAATTAAGATTACATTTTTTCCACCTTGATCTCATTCTCATTAAAGCATGGATGAACTTGAGTGGGAGTCACTTTGAGGAAGATGTACGTCATGGGATCGTTTCGTTGCTGAGACAGAGTCACGTTCGTGGAAAAGTTCTCTGGAGACACTGGGGGAGCTTTTCGTTACGATTCTCCTCACTTTAATGTGAAGAAAATTATTTTTCTTTCCCCACACGTTCAGCACTGCAACATATTTGCCACATTTTCACACATTACATGTGGGTGAATTTGTTTTCCTCGTTTTACTGCACGTTCGTCATCTGTTCTTCACATAGTTTCTCTGGTATAGGAAATACCTCAGGACATTTTCTATCAGTTTCGGACAAGTCAAAGTGGACGAGAAATACTTCTTCAACTCCTCGCTCGTTGTTTTCCGATCATTAGGGAGGAATTCTTATTTGTTTACTGCAAATTTCTGCATCACTCCACGCCAAACCTATTTCTCACGATCCTTAAGTGCTGAGGTATTTCAAGATTGATGGACGAAAGCGAAGAAAATCTCGTCCGGATGTTTCTTCAAGCGGACTTTATAAGCTCTTCCGGCATCAATGGAATTTATTCGCAAAGTAAGCAGCATTTTGGAGGATGTTTGCCAGTGAGATAAATACCCTGCTAAATCTGCACTAACCATGCCTTCGGGGTATAATATTATCAATTGAAAATAAAGCGGTGTTCAGTAAATAATCCCGAAATTTTCTCAACTTCAAACGGAGATTAAGTATGCTTTCCAAGTTTTTCCTCTGTTTCAATGGGAAAAACCTTTAGGAAGAAGTAAGAGAATATTTATGTGAGTAACTCAAGGAGTAATTTAATTGTTGGCAGCGAGACACGAGGAAAAGTGCAGAAATGCACCGTATACAAAGACACACAATTCATTCTCACTCTCGTACTTTTTTCTCCGCACTGGCAAATCAAGCGGGTTGAAATTTTCAGTCAATTGTGCAACATTGCTGGGTAAAGAAGATGGAGAAAAAGCGGCACAAGCGGAGAACTATGCTAGACTTTTGAGAATGAATTTGAAAAGATAAACAAAGTTTTTCTCACATCGCACTGAAATACTGGCTGCGAGCTTTTTTTCCTGCTATATATACTGGAAAATGTGCAGGCGCCCGCCGACCCGACAATGTTCTCCTCTTGCGCCAGCAAACTTCCTCGCCTGAGAGGGTG